AGACCATTTATACCCTTCCTAACATTTTGCCTAATACATAACACTAAAATCTATTTTGACACTTCTTTTATCAATACCTCAACATCAGTCAATGCATGATCTATCCAATGGATTAAAGATTATACTTGATTCTAATATGGCAAAATTTATTTTTCGTATGAATTGCATAGAGCATCATTTTGCAGTTATAATAAAATGCATCCATTCATTCATTGGCTCATAGTTAACAAAAAAGCTATTCTCTGGAAGGTACAGTATAATTTCTATTAGTATTTAGCAAAATAATTGCAAGATAAACAATTTACACATGTTTCTGATATGCTGTATTTTCAATGATTCCTAGATCCTTCAATAGTGGTTCGGTATATGTTTTTGAAATACTTCATATAATTCCTAAACAAATCTGTTTAGTGTATGCAATCAAAAAAAGTAGATACATTTGTCCCATACTTGGATATGTTTCAGATACATACAAGGGCCGAGCAATATATTCGCTACTTTTTGCTTTATTTTCTTTTATATTTGTTTATTTCCATTGAAATTTGGTACAGACATAGAGTGTAGATTTCCGCATCTTTTGATTCCATTTTCAAGCCCATTGCCAAATATGGCAAAAAATTATGGTTGTCATAGCAACGGAAGGTATGAGCTTCCAGAGCTGCCCATAATTTTACTGCAATTGCACATGCAACAATATCTTTATATGCCCATTTCTCATAACAAAAACATTCAGTTTGGGTAATTTTTATAAACATTGTTTACTGGACATTGATCCAATATTCAGAACAATGGTTGTGATGTCATAGATGTTCTTTTCAAATAATAAAGAGGTCACAATTGATCCGCATATGCATCACAAAAGGGAGACTCTGCTTCCTGAGTTGCAGGTCTTGCGAAAGAACTTCATGGATGCAGTTCGTAAAAAGCGCCCAGTATTGATCAACCATATGATATATCATCAAGATAATGCTCCATCACACAGGGCCCGTGAGGTAACTGATATATTAGCAGCTCTAAACATTGAGAAATTTGATCATGCACCATACAGTCCAGACCTTGCATTGTGCGACTTTGAAATTTTCGGCAAACTGAAGAATGAGCTACGTGGGCAGAGGTTTGGTGACCGTGAAGAAGTGGTTGAGGCCGTCCATAAGGCCCTAAAAGACCTATATGGAAATGGAAACGGACTGCAACAGGCCTATCAAGACTGGCTTTCCCGATGTAGAAAATGCATAGCTGCAGATGGACACTATTTTGAGAATGAGGCATGGAATGAGGAGTAACTGTCTTAATTAACAAAAAGGACATTTTGTATAAAAGTTGTTTTCTGAAACATTGTCACAAATGTCAGCTCCGGTGGTCACTATCAACCAATATTCAATGCCATGTAAAATATTACGGATGTAACCAAATAAATGCACATTTGGGGATATTACAGAAAAATGTTTTTTCTATTATTCTGGAAATTTTCAGGTAAGATACTTTATTATTAACAATTTGAGAGCAAAAAGTAGCGAATATATTGCTCGGCCCTTGTATAGCAGGTTTATAAATACTTATATTTTCATCAGCGGGCAGATATAGCTAATGTCCCTGCCTGAGAGGGCAGATATATTACACCTGCCCACTAAGTCATAACCATCATTTGTGTATGATTAGCAATGAGGGAAGTAGCATACTTAATACGTTAATAATCAATGATTCGAGAATATGTGGATGAATACTTAAAAAACAGGAGAATCCTCCTAAGGCCAAGAAAACAAAATTAGTCATGAATACATTTATGTGGTTGTATTCTTTCTAACTCTGGCCAATTTAACAATGTGAACCAGATAAGAAAGATTGATATGGGATAAACAGATAATCCTATAGTCAGTTCATGCTATTAGGATTATCCCTTGGCGAATATAATATATTTTCCCCCAGGACCTAAGGCCTTTGGCCAATAGAAAATATCTTCCCTCGGGACCTACGACCCTCGGCCAGATATATTATATTGGCCTCGGGATAATTCTAATACGCTGAACCTCATAGAGGATAATCTCTATTCGTCTTCATCAATTATTATTATACATATAAATCGGGATATAAATATAACCTAAAGTAAGAAATCACATTCTCTAACCAGTAATATTTAATTTTAAAATTGGTAAATGATGATTATGTCACAATAGAATTGATGACCATGATTTATTTGAGAATAAAACAGACAAAACAAAGGCTAACAAAAATCGTAAATATTTAAATATTTTAAAATTGCTTGTTTTTCATCATTATTACTTTGATCTCCAAACCCCAAAATTTGAGTGTTACAAATTGTTTCAAGTTAAAGTATGCCTAATTTCATGAGCAAACTAGTAATCTTGTTGGATATTTTTCCTCGACAATGCCTTATCTAATTCATCGATATACAAACTACTGGATTCAAAATGCTATTTTACAGGATGGGTGTTCATGAAAGTAACACTAAACATCAATTTTGTCATAAACTGAACAATGCAGCTTATTGATTCTCCCATCTAAGCAACAGAGCCTCTTTTAATATATTGTAATTTCAAAATTGCCTCTAATGAAGTTCTTCAATCAAATCTAAAATGGACACAACTGGTAATATCTTTATACCATATGAGTAGAATGTTTGTTTCTTTCAAATTCATGCTTTCGTTAGAAACATGGATATCACTAATTCATAGTTTTGATTTATACTTCAAATGGTGTGCATTATATATGAGGTTTAATTAATGGGAAGTTTTTAATACAGGGAAATACAATATATCTGAGGGAAATACAATATACCTCCCCGAGGGGTTGAGGGTAGAATATTGTATTTCCCAAGGGTTATACCTTGTAACCAAAATTATTTATCATATACGAAAATATGAGAAATTGCACAGAATGAAATTCCTGCAGGGGATTACTGAGCGGGTGATAAACCTGGCGATACATAGAGATTATCCTATATGAGGTTCAGGATATTGGAACTATCCCGATTCAAATATAATATATCTGCCCAAGGGCGATTATGACGGAGTGGGCAGATATACTATATCTGCCCGCTCGCAACAGAATGTAAAGCTATATCTGCCCGCTGATGAAAATATAAGTTTTTACAAACCTATTTTATGTACCTGAAACACGACCAAGTATGGGATAAAGCGGGATATGCAGTACATGTATATCCCCACTCACCTAAGGTATCAATTATATTCATGCATTTTATTTACCTATAACACTAAGTATAGGATAAATAACTTTTACTGACAAATTGTATAAGTGCATGATTACATGAGTCACAACTACTCACTAAAAGGTTAACTTATTGCATGAAGAAATGTAATTCTTCATGAAGATTTCATCACTTATTTGACTGAATTTTGAATTTTTAATGATGTAAAGCAAAATTATTTCTACTTGCATCTAAATCTATTTCATTGTATAAGTCAACAATTAATAAGGCATATACATATCACTGGCTTCCTTGATTCATTTAGATTCCTTGCACTTTTAAAATCATCAATAATTCATATAGGGTTGAACTATCGAATAATGAAAACATTGCAAATGATGTGATCGAAATTTTTATACTATTTAGCTTGGAAATGTTGCTGATATAGTTTTAATGTGATTTTAGGAGATTAAATGTTCTACTGAGGAACTTTGATTATGTTCAATTTTCTATGATCTTTAACTTTCTGAAAAAGGTCACACTAAATTCTCATTGAGACGATGTTAAAAATCTTAATGTTGACTTCCTAAATGTTGAATTCTTTTGATCGTCATGAATTTAAGGTTCACACAAAATCTGAAGATCATATAGTTTCAAACACAATCTGAATCTCATTAAGTTTGGTGCGAAAGCAGTTTTACTTTAATCCAAAATAACAAATATGGTAAATCAATATGTGTCTATGGTAGATGCTAGCGTGTAGTCCAACCAGCATAAGTGCTGCCATCTACCTATCCATTCATCAGTTTAGCACCTAATAAGGTCAGTACTCATGGTAAAGCTTTTGTACCTTGTCTATGGTAAAAATAAATCAAACAGAAATGTTAACTTTACACGATTGGTAATGCCCACCTTGAAGGGTGTAGGGATAAAGGGAAGGGTCAGGATAACACTTATATAAAATATTTAAAGTGTCTAATAATGATAATGAACATATTACAATGTTACACAACATAAGTAGATGCTAATTAAATGTCAATTGTTGTTAGTATAATATGTATTTTTCATTTAATGCTGCAACAAGTACACGCGTACCAAAAAGTGCCACGCCCTCTTTTCCCTAAAAGCAGCTATGTGTGACTATATTTGATAAATATTATTGATTTATAGGATCATTATGAACACTTTTCAGTGTTTAAATGTTAAAATATACATATTGATACAATTTTTGACAAAGTAGCAGCCATAAAATCCAAACAGATTTGCAAATATTTCACTTTGAGAACAAAGGGACACATTTGGGAGGGGGTCAAATTGAGAATATTTCGAGATATAAATACTGTTTCTATGGTAACCATATAAGTTAGAGATTGGAAATTTTTGGCACTTACTAACCATAACATGCCCTACCCAATATAAAACAATGAATATCTGGCATGCATTAGTATTCTTTTTATTGGCTGGTATTAAAGTACCCCCATGGTTTTTTGGGGGTAGGGGTATAAATTGGTCCGAGGGCCGTCTGCCACCCCTATAGAAAGTCCAACTACCCAGAAAGTGTCTAGTATCATCATACAGATGGTTTGAAATAGGTTGGAATGTGTAACCTTTCATGTAAGGAAGGAGTTACAATTATCAGAGTGGGGCGTAGTCTAATGAAATTCCTATGACAATTTGGCTAGTGAACGACCATTTTGCATATGGTGGCAATTTGTGTGTGTTATTCTACGATTTTTGCTATAACTGAAAAAGTAGTAAATGGCAACCATGGTTGTTCAATGGGATATGCTACACTTTGACATTGCTATTATCTAGTTCTAGTGTGTGCTTTCAGGTATATTAGAAGCGCCCAAAGTGCACAAGCCATACTCCCCAAAGGCATACAGGACCCCATTTGCATTATTGATTGGCTTACATAGGTATGAATTATCATAAGCTTTTAACAGAGCTAGCTAGTTGAAATTTGAAAGATATTTACTATAAAAGAGACTAAATTACTAAATTACTTATAGTTATAATTGTAAGTTATGAATATATGTGAAATGATTTTTTGCAACAAATCATGATTACTTGTATGATTCTGAAAATGTCTTGCATAGTAGAAAGTAATATTGAGGAAATACGAAATTAAGTGGGTCTAGCCAGTCTATGAGGCAAGCAGGGCAACTGACTCACCAAAATTTTAAAATATATCAGGCAAGAAATGTGGAATGAATCCAATGTTATATATTCTTTAGCCCTAATTTGCCTCATTTTTTATTTTGCTTCATCTGTTCATTTTTGCCTCATTTTTTATTTTGCTTCATCTGTTCATTTTTGCCTCATTTTTTATTTTGCTTCATTTGTTCATTTTTGCCTCACTTTTTATTTTTGCCTCGTCTAATTTAAGATCCTGGCTATGCCCTTTTGATTTTCAATAATTCAAAGTTCTCAATATTGCATTATGAAATATCATTATATTACATTAATATTGTAGGACTAAGAGTAGATACTTGTATCTATGGTAATACTTTCATGGTGATTTTTCTTTTTGCCATAATAATAATTTAAGAACAGCAATACATAATTAGTATTTTAGATTTATTACATGCCTCAGTCTTGTATTCATGTTTGCTTTAATGATCTCCATAATGAAGTGCTTAATAACAGGAAACTAATGTTTACAGGAAGTTAATTTACATGATATATTTTTTTGAATCTCATAATCTCATTTTTAATTAATATTTCTTTAAATGATAATCTATCCTTGTCATGTTTTGAATATTCTTTTTATATAGTAACCTTATCTTTTTCAGTGGTCTCCATTCTGACCCTCCTATGCTTAGTATGAATGAGCGAAATGTGAAGGATCTCTCCCAACCTCACACAGACACTGACCTTGACAGCAAAAATCCAGGTAAATTTCTTGGGTGACAATTAGAAATTATTTGTACATTTTTTCAACTGTGAGTTTACTAGCTTATGCAAGGATAAGTGTCAAAAGAGAAAACAAAAAGCAGGAATCAAAACAGACAAGAGAACAACCTGACATCAGTGAATCAAGACCATAATATCCCAAACTATAATCTTAACCACAATGACACATATAATATTTCAATAGGATAAAGATATACATTGTTCCATGGTCATACTTACTGTGATATTGCGTTTGATATCTTGTCAAAACAAATATTTTGTAATCAGTTGAAAAATATGTTACAGTGTCATATCTGATTTTTAACAGATTTTTGTTGCTTAACCAGGCTGACACTAACAATGGCTGTTAAAATAGTCATTTGGAAAGCTTATTTACCTATTTTAAAGTCATCATATCCATTCATGAAGAATATCTTCAAATGGTAACTTCTATCAAATAATTACATTTAAGGCAAGTTTTTTGGTGGATTTGACAGTATGGAGAATACTCTGATAATGAAGAATCTTGTGCTAAAGGAAGCTGCCATCAACCCAAGGTATGACTGCACTTAGCTTAAAAGTACAATATTAAGATTAGTACTGCACTAAGATTAATAACATTTCACGAAGATGAATAGCACTACACTAAGATTAATAGCACTACACAAAGGTTAATACCACTACACTAAGATTAATAGCCCTACACTAAGATAAGATAACTAAATCTAGTGCTGCACAAAAATACTGCTCTAAGTTTTAAGTACTGCACTAAGATTAATAGAAACGTGTTAAAATAAATGGCACTGCACTCAAATTATTAGTACATGTTCTGCACTTAGATTAATAGTATGTACTGCACTAAGATGAACAGCACAGTAAAATAATGGCACATTTATAACACTTAGGTCAATAGTAAGATTAATGTCACTGTGCTAAAAATAGTTCTTTACTTGTTTATTTAAGTACATTATAAATTGTTTAAGTGTCATTGTTGTTTTCTTTAACTTAATTATTCAGTGTTTGTGATATTAAATAAAAAAGACAAATAAAAAAAGATTCATTTCATGTTTTGAATCAATTACTGTCATCAATAGAAGTGATCTATATACAATTGAAAGCTAGTTAAGTATTAACATGTGCTTTGACAATTGAAAAACATTTATTTCATAAATGTTTCATTATTGTTAATGACTGCCACTAATCATTTCCTGTCAAATGGACCATGATATAGGAAATGATGGACTATTTAATGAATTGTAGGTATATAGGTCACTCAAATCTTTAAAGGAGTATTATACCTAAAAAAATTGCCCTGATGTTAAAGCTTATTTATTTTGTATTTTAACAACATATTAAAATGTGTGAAATTTCAGAAGTGCAGTTACTACATATTTCATTAAGGAAATGTTCTGAACCTTTTGTTCGCATTTTGTGAATTTTCCATATTATCAAAGGCAATTGGAATATAAAGTGCAGAATGGTGGGCAGATTTAAAATATGAAAATTGAATGATTCAAATATCCGGGTGAAAGTTTTATAACAAGAAACCTTCCAGGTAGTTTCAACCATATGTATCACTAAGTATATAGATTGTTCAGCATTGATTTCTATATACTATAGTGTTAATATGACTCTATGTTTCAGCTATGCCTTGACTGTCTCTGGAAGACACTTGGCTGAGAAATGTTCAGACTTTGCCCAAGCTTATTACAACTTCAGTTCTGTAAGAGGAATACCTAAAATACCAGAAGCATCAAGGTAAGTACATACATGTATTTTATATTCTTGTATTCTAGTCATGATTACTGTGTGTATTATAGTTACCAACTAACACTACCTGCAGTAGGAAGTTAAGAATAGTATCCTATCCTATCTTAGGAAATAAATCATACAAATGTAGGGCTACACCATGCCCAATAACAGAAAATAGGCAATTGGCTGTACAATGCATGAAAGAATTGTTATATATGCAGGTTTACATTCCCTCATACTAGGGCTCATAGGGAGATGTTGTTTGAATCTCATAATGATAGCTATCCATTGTGTCGCATGTAGGCATTAATTCAAGTGCATTATACTATAGTATATATGTAAATGAAAATAACATAACAACTTGTATGCCTTAAGATCTGTGTTGTATGTGTCTTGCTTTAATGCACCTACCTATGTTTATGGTTGGCTATATTTTAGTACTCAGATAGGTGCAGAAAGGCTGTGTTTGGTGATAGATTCACAAGAGAAAGAGAGGGAGAGGCTGATAGGGTTTGCTAGACAGAGGGGAATTGTCACAAAAGTGCGAGAGCTACCTGCTGGCGACTATGTGTGGCTTCTGCTGCCCCCTGGTGCTGATGGGAGCCAGGATATACCTAGTAATAGAGAAATGGTAGGCACCTACTTGTATCACCCTTGGTATACGCAGCTAACGAAAATTGACCGGTACGGGTCAAAAGCTGGACCGGTACGGGTTAACGGTTTTATTTGAATTTAAAATAGCCATAACTTGCTCAATATTGACTTCCTTGTGTCTAATTTGAAATATATGATGCCTCCCGATGCTTTTAAGTACCCCAATTTTTACAGATTTGTAAACGGACCAAAACTCTCTAAATGCGCATTTTTGCTCTTTTCTCTCGAGAACGACTGTCTCATTTTCACGATAACTTTTATTTAGTACTTCTAACATATAAGATCTATTTTTCCCCATCAAGGTATGATGTAAATGACATGCTATTTACATCTTGTGAGTTTCAATGACGCGCGTTTGATTTTATAAAAAATGCCAAACTTTGTGACAAAGAATTTCATCCTGCTTGCAGCGAGAAGACGGACCGGTTCGGGGCAATCTGCTTGCAGCGAGAAGACGGACCGGTTCGGGGCAATAGCTGATGAAATTCTTTGTCACAAAGTTTGGCATTTTTTATAAAATTAAACGCGCATCATTGAAACTCACAAGATGTAAATAGCATGTCATTTACATCATACCTTGATGGGGAAAAATAGATCTTAGAAGTACTAAATAAAAGTTATCGTGAAAATGAGACAGTCGTTCTCAAGAGAAAAGAGTATAAATGCGCATTTAGAGAGTTTTGGTCCGTTTAAAAATCTGTAAAAAATTGGGGTACTTAAAAGCATCGGGAGGCATCATATATTTCAAATTAGACACGAGGAAGTCAATATTGAGCAAGTTATGGCTGTTTTAAATTCAAATAAAACCGTTAACCCGTACCGGTCAATTTTCGTTAGCTGCGTATACCAAGGGTGTGTATGGAAGACATTGTTGAGCTTATCTGTCTGGTTCCATAAATCCACCATCCCTTTATTTACAATGTCAGTTCATTGAAATATTGATCCCTAGGATAAACATTGAAGTCGTGTGTTTCATTTCCAAAAAAATTAAGATACTTTTACATTACTAATTTACTGCATTATACAGTACATGTATCTAAAAACGAATGTGCACTTAATTGAAAAAAATATTCATTGAAAATTGAAGTTGCCAAAAATCTAAATTCTTACAAATTGCAAGGTCACTTAAAATTAACTTTATGGAAATTGTGAAATGTTTCACCCTGAACACTTTATGTCTGATACATCCCTTTGGAGGGATCTGTGTTCGTTCCATTCAATTTGTATCCATTCAGTTTGTTGAATTATTAGATGCTGCCTTACATTGTGGAGAGGAAGTCCTGGGATGACCTCTTTGACAGTATGAGAACATCACGCTTTGACAAGCAGATTGTCAAAATGCAGGTAAGCATAGCAAGATCCCAAAATGCAACCTTTAATTTTGGAAATAAAATTCAACCGCAGTAAAACCTTTAATTTTCCTGTATAGAAACATTAGTAGTGTACCATGGAGCAAACAATTGTATATTTACTTATCTTTGTATTTGTGCAATAAAAAGAACACTGAAACTCAATTTCAAATTATTTAGATGCTTTCCTCAAGGCTCCTGAAACATTACATACCTGTATATAACTTAAAAGGTTAAAATGAGTTCATTGAGAATTTGTTTCAGTTTGACAAGAGAGATTACTCACATGCTAATTAATTTACAAACATATTTTTCAGAGGTGTGGCCTGAAGAACATATTCTACCTTCTAGAGGGATCCATCAATGATACAAAAAGTAAACTGACTGATGAAAAGAAAACACAAATAAAGGTTTGCTGCTACTAACAATCTTAAAGGAATATTCCTTGGCAGACCCTTTCTCTCTTGATATGGTAGCTATAATCATATATATAGTTTCCATATTTAGGAAAACATGGGAAAATGTTTTAATATGGTCAATATTGATCATTTAAAAATCTAGTGCTTATTTCCAGTGAGCTGCCATCTTTTAAGATTTCTTGCAGGAAGTGATGTCATCAACTCTCAACTTCTATAACCTTGCCCATAACAGTATAGGAAAGTAGCACAAAATCACTTCTAGGCAAGTGATCATTACTTTCTGTGCAAAAATATTTTCAGGGCTTGTCAACTTAGAATAAAAGAAGATATTTTCAGAATGATTAAATAAGATACAAAGTTGAAAAAGAATATTTGGCTGGTTTTGTAATTCTTAATAGCTCCTCACCTAATGCTATATGCAAAGTTGAGAGTCGATGACATCACTTCCTGTGTGAAATTTTAAAAGATGGCAGCTTACTGGAATTGAGCATCACATTTCTAAGTGATCAAATTTGACCATATCAAAACATTTTTGCGTGTTTTGCTAAACATGGCAAGCATATATATGGTTATAGCTACCATATGAGGAGAGAGATGGTTTGGCAAGGAATATTCCTTTAAGTATGAACCAATTAAAAACACTGAACTTTCAAACTAATAAAAATCTTAAGAATAAACAAATTAAGAAATATTGAACTTTACAATCTTTAGCATTGGTGAGTGCTAATACATGTACAGTAGTTAAATACAGAAAAATATGATGTGCAACCATAGTGCACAAGTACATATTCACTTTAATACAAAATAACAAATCAAAACAAAGCATTTATAGCTAAATTATGAGAAATCAAAGAGAAATCAAAGAAAGTCTAGATTTAAATATTTAATTATACCACCGAATGAGGTGAGAGGGGGATATAATGAAGCCGTCCATCTGTCCATTTGTCTGTCCATTCGTGTGTCCTTGCGATGGCTCAAATACCAGTTGACGGATTTTATTCAAATTTTATAAGCTTAGGCCTTATGGGTGTAAAACCTCTGCTCGAGATGGAATTTTCAATATGGCTGCTCAATTCAAAATGGCCATCATTTTCATGAGAAATTTAAGCTTTGATAATTCATATACTATATTCAAATTTGAAGAATTTTGATCAAACTTTATTTGCTGATTCCTAGGGACATTAAGGAGCTTTGCTTAAGAATAAATTTTCAAGATGGCCGCAGAACTTCAAAATGGCCACCCTTTTTTGTAAGAAAAATGTAATCTTTGAAACCCAAATACCAGTGGATGGATTTGGTTCAATTTTCATATGCTGATGCCTAGGTACACAAGAGCTCTGCTCATGAAGACATTTTCAAGATGGCCACTGCATTTGAAAATGGCAGCTATTTTTCATAAAATGTAATCTTTGATTACATTGGATCAGAAAATTCAAAATGGCTGCCTAGAGTTGAAATTCTCTATTACTCAGATATCTCTTCATACAAGGCATTAACATGACAAAATGTCACCACTTCGTTCCTCAAATCTGAAATCTAAAGTCAGATTTGAAATTCTGAGAACTTGTAGATGGTTTTTAAAAAAAATTGGTCAATATCCCAGATGAGAGTGGAAATAATCTTGATTTACGTCATTAAAAATTCCGTCAAACTGATGTCATATTTGGAATCTACATGTAAAATTACATTTAGAAATGTGGTTTTGAAAAGAGTTGATCAACTTTGAATATTTAATTTTCTTTGAAAATGTTACTTCTAGGTCGGGGAGATTCCCCATAGACCCCATTTTGTTGTAAAACCACAAAAAGTGAAAAAAAAATTTTCTTGTGTTGGGCAGATAATATTTTCTTTTACTGGACATATTTTAATTTGTATAACTATCAGATACATAAGGGTAATATGAAAAGTGAACCACTAAAACTGATCCATATTCAAGTTTAAGGGAATTTTGTAATACCCTGCCATGTTAATTCCCCCGAATCAGCCACCTGGTGACGAAACTGGTAACTACCTTCTCGCATCTGAGTAATTAGAAGCAAGTTAAAAAAAGACCTTTTTGACCTTGAGAAGGTCAAATCTAAAGTAAGATTTTAACTTCTGAAAATTTGTAGATCATTTAGGAAGACATTGTTGGATTATTCCATTGGAGAACTGTTATGGATTATTGAAATGCTTCTTGATCTGTAACCTTGTCAAGGATCATCAAGGATATTTATCAACATTGAGAGATCATTGATTGGACATAAGTATGACAACATATTTTATATATCTCATTTAGTTTTTTCAAAATATAGGTACATTGTTATATTTTAATTGCTGTTTTTACTTTCCTTTTTCCATTATTATTGAAGGTAACAGAATCTATTGCAATTCTAAACTGAATAATATGTGTATTGTATGACCCAGTAGTAACATCTGCATGCAAGCTTTCTTAATTTATGTTTAAATGTCACATTTAACATTTTTCTCCTCTAGTGGATTTCATGATGCATGTCTTTTGTGAAAATGTTTTAGAACAAACATCACATTTGAAGTTCTTTCCTCAAGTATGAATTCTATAATGTGTGTTAAAGGAAGATTTATGCATAAATGTTTTAGAACAAACATCACATTTGAAGTTCTTTTCTCCAGTATGAATTCTATAATGTGAGCTAAGATATGACTTTCTTGAAAATGTTTTAGAACAAACATCACATTTGAAGTTCTTTTCTCCAGTATGAATTCTATAGTGTAAGTTAAGAGTATCCTTTCGTCTAAATGTTTTAGAACAAACAGCGCATTTGAAGTCCTTTTCTCCGGTATGAATTTTATAATGTAAGTTAAGAGATGACTTTTCTGTAAATGTTTTGGAACAATCATCACATTTGAATTTCTTTTCTCCAGTATGAATTCTATAATGTATGACGAGAGAAGATTTATGCCTAAAGGTTTTAGAACAAACACCACATTTGAAGTTCTTTTCTCCAGTGTGAATTCTATAATGTCTGCTAAGATGTGACTTTCTCAAAAATGTTTTAGAACATACATCACATTTAAAGTTCTTTTCTGCAGTATGAATTCTATAATGTTGGTTAAGAATTGGCTTTCTTGAAAATGTTTTAGAACAAACATCACATTTGAAGTTCCTTTCTCCAGTATGAATTACATAATGAGCGTTAAGAGATGACTTTCTTGAAAATGTTTTAGAACAAACATCACATTTGAAGTTCTTTTCTCAAGTATGAATTCTATAATGTTTGTTGAGAGAAGATTTATGCATAAATGTTTTAGAACAAACATCACATTTGAAGTTCTTTTCTCCAGTATGAATTCTATAATGTGAGCTAAGATTTGACTTCCTTGAAAATGTTTTAGAGCAAACATCACAATTAAAGTTCTTTTCTCCAGTATGAATTCTATAATGTTCGTTAAGCTGTGACTTTCTTGAAAATGTTTTAGAACAAATATCACATTTGAAGTTCTTTTCTCCAGAATGAATTCTATAGTATAAGTTAAGAGAAGCTTTTTGTGTAAATGTTTTAGAACAAATCTTGCATTTGAAGTTTTTTTCTCCAGTATGGATTCTATAATGTTCCACTAGTACACACTTCCATTTACACACTCTATGGCATATATCACAAATATGTGTTCCTTTGTGGCCATTTCCTCGTGCCTTAAGACCAGTAGTAATGATTTTACCACTAGAAGTATCAGCATTCATCAAAGAAGTAGAACTATTTGTCATACTTTTGGCAGTATTTATCCCATCAACATTGATTATCACGCCATCAGCATAATTTATTACACTTTTGGGATGATGTATCATTACACTAGCATTATTTTTCATAAAACCAGCATCATTTATCACACCATCAGTGTTAGTGACCTTGCTACCATAGTCCATGATGTTTTCCATAGTAATGTTGAATTTGCATTAATTAATTCCCTGGTCTTGTGTATGCCTCAGTTCCTGAATAAAGTACATGTATATGCATTTATTCAATGATGGTGAACCTTCTAGCAATCTCAGATAGTCCCTGATATAAATCCTTTAGTGTTATGCTGTATGGTGTGGATTTCATGTTTCACATTCATGTCACTCTATTATTGGGTTTCTTGTCCAAAGAGTCATTTTCTGTTCGATTCAAAATAGCATTTTCCGGTCTAATAGAGTCAAATAAACATTGTAGACCTTTCTGTCATGTGTCATACTTTTTTCAGAATATTTTAGAACAGCATCATTGAATAGTAAATAGCAGTCTTTTCTTGGTCTTATTTGAAACACTTGTTTGGGTCGTATTGTACCACTGTATTATTCTCATACACATAATCAATTGTAAGTTTATCTGCTTACAGATTGTCACTGTTACTCTACTTACTATATTTACTCTAGTAGGCTCATGATAAGCTTAGATATAGATTGGATAAGTCCAATTTGTTTGGCTGTAATGAAGATTGTACAGCACCATCCAAGTACAACACATTATGTGATTTGATAGGTTATCATGTATATAAACATGGCTAATGAGGGTCTTTCTAATTCTTTATTATCCCATTGAACAAAGTTGGGTGCTATAGAGAACGGCTCCATATGTATGTCTGTACATCTGTACGTCCTTACATCCATCTGTTTGGGCAATAACTCAACTACCATTGACTCCATATTGTTTATAATTTATATGTCCCATGTGAGTTCAAGCTCTACTCGAAAGCCAATTTTCAAAACGGCTGCCAGTTGGCCAACATTTCAGTGTCAAGTTTACAGTTTTTAGTGCAACAAATAAAACTGTAATATAGATATATTTTGAGTGAAAAAAATATATAGGATTTTGAACATTTTTATGTGTGCTATTTTAGGTTGTTGCTACAACTGGAAAAGTTTGGACCGATTTTGTTGGAATTTATATGTGAATACTAAGAAGCATATTAGACTTTCTAATTTCACTTTGGCTGGAAAGCAGCCATTTTGAAAAAAAGATGCCATTTTTATGTTTGTTATTTTACATTTTTTGCTATAACTGAAAAACAGTGGAGGAAATTTGTTGGAATTTTATATGTGCATATTGCACTGCTGTCTAATGACAATTAGGCTAATTGGCAGCCATTTCCACAAATGGCAGTCATGGCTGTTTGATAGGATTCACTACGCCTTGGTGTTGCTGTTATCTAGTTAATTTTTTTTTATTTGCAAACCTGGAAAAATTTGGATGTGCCATTTCATTTAATAAAATACAATATATTATTAACATAAAGTCTCATGCTGTTTTATTTAAGACCAGGATCCAAAAGCTGCAATTTGAGGAAGACATATTTGTGAATTACACAGCATCTTGGCTGAAAACGGTCCAGTGGCTTGTCCAGATCACTTCCCTTATAGCAGATGCATACAGATCAGGTGTGTATTCAGGAAATTAATTCCAAAATTAAAGATATAATATATTTTCTTGATAAGGATTACCATTTATAATGAATAATTCATAACCTTTGGAAAATTCTACCTCCTCTTAAGGAACTTAAGGAATCTTGAAATTAGTCTGGGATTTTTTAAAAGAATTTCTTATTTTTTAGTATAAGACCATCTCTCTTTGAATGAATTTTCAAAGCGTCTACAGTACATGTATGTTCAAATAAGTATTAATATTCAAGTGATATATTTCACATGGACATTTAGTTGTTTCAAGACCCTGGACCCCCCCCCCTCTTTCCTCTTTTATCATGTAATGTGTTAAAGTAGATAAGAGGGGTCCACAGCCTTGAATCAAGACTAATGAACATTGTATTCAGTAAATCTAGGCTATATCTTCCTCCTTTCAAAGGACAAGTCTCAGTTCGGAGAACAGTCTCCTGGGCAAAAAATTATTTTTATGAAAATATAGAAATATCACCAAAATTAAATTATGAATATTCAAAAGAGAACATTTAAATCGATAAGATGTATAAATATCACAATTGCCCTCGGCAGGGATAACTGTGCAATAGACCGATTCAATAGAATACAAGTCTTGATTTGATGAAAAAAGTTCATCAGTGTACTGCGCTAATAATTTTTTTATGAAAAATCTAGAAATATCACCCAAAGTAAATTATAACTCTATTCAAAAGAAGACATTCAAATCTATATTATGTAAAAAAATCAAATTTGTCTGAAGCAGGGATAATGCTCAATGAGACCAATGAACTTCGTTCTCCAAACCGAGAATAGTCCTTTAATGTAACAATGACTATCATGATTCCAAAATATTTCCCTTTTAGGCATGGACACCCATGATAGGTTGATGAGCTATGCAGAGTTCTGTGAGAGAGTACAACATGGGGATAAAAGACACAGGGACAGGAGACCAAGGGAATATCATACTTGGCCAGCTGGTTTCTTTGTAGACTTGTTGTTCAGGTGAGGATCAAAAGTGTTATTTAATCTTACAATTTACACACAGGGTGAAAACATTAAAGGTGCAACAATTAGTGCAGGAGGGCCATTCAACAATCATCGACTAGTGTCAAAATGTATTTAAGTTTGGATATTTCATCAAGTCTAACATATATTTTTATTATCTACAAAGAAACCCTCTGGATGAACATTATTTCAGCTGATATTCCTCTTGAAACGTAGTAGATCTGAAAAATCTATAAGTGGAACACCCTTTATAGAAGCTTTGAACTGAATTCACACTTCTTAATGATAGTTTATACATACATTTCGAGAAAATAGGTATGTCAAAGAACACTGGCATGTAGCGGCCCTGATATCGATAAATTCTACACGCAATATAACCCGATTCTAGATGCTTGGTTAAAACTTTACACGAAAAAGCCTCGATATCCGGGCATTTACTCTTACACTGAACTGAAAATAGCATCATCTAAACGTATATGTGTTGGCTTCCGGGTAAGTTTATCAACATTTATACTCAATTGAAAGAGCAGTCGTGCTTATATCGTGTACCAGTTTGATTATTTTATATGTGTGTGTATTTATAATATGATAGCCTAGTAATACCGTGTCGTTAGAACAACTGCTAGATATCGAACTGATGACCTGAAATTACATTATTGGACTGATCGCGCATCTGATATTAAATGATTAATTTGCATTGAATCTGATATTAACTTGCAACCCAATACCATGCCTTTACATTTGAATGATAACACGGCCTAATATTCTAATTCATTATACGTCCATTGCAGGCCAAAAATGTTTCAATGTGGATATTGTAATGCACACGAGAATACATTCGATTTGTATATTGATCATACATCAATTGAACATGGAGATTTTCCTGTACACTTTTCCCAAACCTGTGGAATAGACTAGATGCAAGTAGAAATTATCTTGATTTACGTCATCAAATATTCAAAATTCAGTCAAAGTGATGTCATATTTGAAATCTACATGTATAGATACATCTAAAAATATGGTTTCGAAAATTGTTTATCAACTTTGAAATCTTTTTTTAGATATTTTTGAAAATAATTAAAAAATGTAAAAAGAAATTTTTTGAAAAAATTCGAAACCATCGAATATCACTTTTTATTCCATAGTTAGCATGATATCCATAGGATAACATGTCAAAATAAAAACGGTATTTTTGAAATCAGTGGTAAAATATGATATTTTTGACAAATTTTCACTTAAAGTGTGCACCAAAGTTTAATACTGCGCAGGCGCAGCGTTCTCGCTATATAAAGAGATCACCAGGTACACGATTCAGAGGTAAGCAAGGAAGGCGAACAATCTCCGTCTCGTGATGATTTCCCGTATAATCGTAACCAGGGAAGTTTCACCATTGAAATTGAAAATTACTATTAGATATACTTTGTAGATGTTATTTATGAAGCTATTTAGTGTATGTATCAATCAAATGGCTCATTTTGGACATATAAAAAGTATTTGTCTTTTGTTTCCCCGGGAATCGTATTCCCATGTAGTACACACATAAATAGTGTACATTATGTAGTACATATTGAATAGCCTGGTATAGTAACACCGTGTTTTTATAATATTGAAGGGCATGCTGATTGTACACACGAGTACAAGCATGCTAGAAGGCCTAATTTTATATAGCTTGCATACCTAAATAAAAAATAAACCCTTCTAATCCCCTTATGTAAATACGGCGGTATACGTAGCCAGATTTATCGGAATCTTTAACCATAGCATACGGTGTTTTAGCCATGACATACGGCGCCGTATGCCATGGTTTATGGATTTTTGCTACTTCAGACTCAAAACGAGGCTAAGTGACAATATCGCCGTATCGTTTGGAAAATTTGTTTTAAATCACTTAATTCACGATGATTCTGATGATGACTTTAACTATGGAATAAAAAGAACATCCTATGATTTACTCGTGATATGATTTTAATCCACTCATGGATGTTGATATCTGCACTCTCTCGCTACGCTCATGCGTGCAGATATCATATCCATTTGTGGATAAAAATCATATCACTCATAAATCATAGGATATCCTCTATATATATATTTATCGTCTATTATCCTATGACAAGTAGAGTAGAGAAAAAATAAAAAAAATTGAAAAATTCAAAAAAGGAAATAAGATTAATTTTTTAGAAAACTACTTGGTATATGATAAAGCAGATATGTGCGGTCAGTTTGGATACGGGGTTTATCCCTCGTGAGATATGCACGTCTACGTTCGGTCCCTATGGTCCATCAGGCAGATGGAGATTATCCTATATTCCATACCTGATGAGGTTTCAGAGACATATCAACCGGGAATATATTCCATATCCGGCAAATATTTTTCGTATGTCCCGCTCCAACGGAGCTCCGGGACATATAAATCGTATGTCCTGCTCAAAAATAAATTTAAAAATAAATTCGGGAAAAAAATGTGAAAATAAAAATTTGAAAAAAAAATTGTGGAAAAAATTATGTAAAAAAAATTGGGGAAAAAAAATTTGAATTCCCAAATTTTTTTTTCATTTTTGAAAAAAAATTGAAAATAAAAAAATTAAAAAAAAATTGTGGAAGAAAATTATGTTAAAAAAATATTGAAAAAAATTGAAACAAATTTCTTGAAAATATTCTGAAAAAAAATTATGCAAAAAAATGTGAAAAAAAAATTGGAAAAAATGTGAAAAATTTGGGAAAAAATTTAATTTTTGAAAAAAATTGAAAACAAATTTGGAAAAAATTGAATTTTTTTGAAAATGATAACATATTTTGCAAGTAAACACACCAGATCATATGGGATACATGCTTATTATTTCAAACCTCATCAGGTATGGAATACAACAGTTATGCACGGTCGATTTGGATACAGGAAATATACTTGGGATATACAATACATCTTCCCTTGGTCCCTTCGGTCCCTCGGGAAGATATATTGTATATCCCTCGGGATATTCCCTGTATCCAAAACCTCCCAGTGCATAACCCCTATATATAGTTTAGCATGATATGTACTTCTTTCTGTAACTGGAATACGATTCTAATATACAAGTAACACATACGTATTCCCGGGGAACCATAAATATTTTGTGTAGGGTGTGGACATTTTTCTTTTCGTTTCTCTAAAATCAGATTATTCTCATAAAATTCATACAAAGTTGGGCCTAAGCCTCTATTTTCGTATTCTGCATGTTAAGATATTTATAATGTAAAACCTAAGAGATAAATTCAATGTCTTCAGTTGAGAATAAGTATAAGGTAAATGTGTGAATTCTGCTTGTTGTTGCACTATTTTTATAATAAACAAGGTTCGATACGCAACACTGAATAGACTGCAGTCATAGCTTAGTTGTAAAGAAAACAAAAGAAGTTGGGACGTGGTCATGCTTGAATACGATTTTAGATATATCGCCGTTTACACTTGTTGAAATCGGCCTGTATTAATTTCAACAGGTGATCGGTGTACAAGGGCATATATTTGAGTTATTGGTTTAATGATAAGTATGACCTATGAGTGGGTAATGTTTTACAAATGCATGAAACAAATACTCCAATGGCCTAATCTCAATTTTCCTGCATAAACTATTACATTGAAATGATGGTCATTTGCTCTCTAACTTCCGCACTGCATACGTAACTTCGTAACAATTCAATAAGCCAAGACAGGACCGCTATAATCGCTACATGCCAGTGAAAGAAGATGTTAAGCCAAATTGACCTGATAGCTCAGAAAAAATAAAAATTTTCGACTTTTCTTTCTACAGTCCTTGTTGCCCCTTTAAGGCTGAAACATTAAGGCTGAGAACATTATTGCCACAATTCAGTATATTTGCATTCAGTCAATTTGTCAAACATTATTGCCACAATTTAGTATATTAGCATTCAGTCACTTGTCAAACATTATTGCCACAATTCAGTATATTGGCATTCAGTCAATTGCCCAATAGGCAACCAGTTTTTCCAAGTTCATTGGTAAGAGTGTAAAGTGATTACCATTGGCAGCCAGGTTGCCGTGAGTTTTTAACCTTGTTTATATATAAAATAACTACAAACCAGGGGTATAGACAGGAACTAAAATTAGAGGAGGTTAAATTAATTAGTGAGGCTTAGTGCTAAATGAAGATTATCACTACCTTTGAATTGTTAACACAATTTAAGTTGGAATTCCTGTTAAATTTCTTTAAGATTTTGAGTTAGGTTTCTCATCTACATGTACATGTACGACGTAGCTCATGCCTTGCTAGTGGCTACACCCATGTACACTTATCATAGTCCTTTTATGAATGTAGTTTACAGGATAAAATATATTAAGTCATACATTTACTTCATACATTTCTTTTAGAGATAACCATGGTGGTGGTGCTATGATGCAGACTGTGAAGACTGAGCTGGGAATACAAGGGAAATATGGCCCTAGAAAGCACCTGCTTGTTATACAGGGACTAGAGGATTACAATAAGGTATATATAGAGTACATATTAATGAATACTAAATAGTTTGTAATTGATATAAATCAGTGGTTATGAAATAACTCTAAAAAACTGAATTCACTAGGGCAGAGCATTTGTACTGAAAGGAGCGTTTTCAGTACAAATATGTACTGAAAAATGTACTAGTTTTGTTTCAGTACAAATTTAAGTATATTTTTGTACTGAAAAATGCACTGAATTTTTTTCAGTATATTTTTCAGTACAAATTCATGTACTGAAAAATATACTGAATTTTAAGTACAAATTGTATATTTTTCAGTACAAATTGAAGTATAAATATGTACTGAAAAATGTACTGAATTTTAAGGACAAATTTAAGTGCAAAAATATACTGAAAAATGCACTGAAAATTTAAGGATAAATTTAAGTACAAATATATACTGAAAAATGTACTGAAATTTAAGTGCAAAAGTCAGTATAAAAATGTACTGAAAAATATACTGAAATTTAAGGATAATTTTAAGTATAAATATATGCAATGAGAAATATTTGTGCCCAATAATGGAAATAAGAGAAAACGTAAATGTAAGGCATACTTTATAAACTCTAAATCACTCAAAAAGTTCTTCGAATGGTGAAAAAGTGCATGATTTTAAAAGAATTTTTGGCGGGGGGGGGTTCGCTTGGACCCCTGAAACCCCCCCCCCCCCCCAACAGGAATGCTATTACATTATGAAATTATTTTGGATGCTTCCTTTACAGCATCCTTTATTGTTGTATTGTATTTTGTTTACCACCAATGAAGGTGAGCAATACCTCTTGGCTATGCCCCGTATATATACGATCGTAATTTACGTAATTAACATGGAAGATAGACCCAGAAACCCCTCCTTGAAGGAGCCCTGTGTTCTTTTATGTGCACTTATACATAGACATACAAGTACACACCACAGCCTTTTGTACGAGTTGCGGACCACTCAGTCAAACACCCTGAAGTACTTCACGCAAACAAGCAAATTTAGTCTTGCCTGAACCGGGGATCGAATCCGGGACCTATTGCGTAAGAGGTACCTGCGCTACCGCTGAGCTACACGGGTGGACTTAAAAGAGTCTCTCTGTAATCAGGTTTGTTTTGCCTTGTCAAAATATTTTGTTTTGTTGGTGGATTAATAAAGTTTCTTTAGACACATCCTTTATAAAAGCAGACTCTAATCAAACTGGAGAGGCTAGGTTTACTGTAATCAAGTGATTTCCTTTTTAGAAGTTATGTTGATGGATTTATTAAAAACGGCCTAAATCACTCAAAAAGTTCTTAGAATGGTGAAAAAGTGCATGATTTTAAAATAATTTTTGACCGGGGGGGGGGGGGTTCGCTTGGACCCCTGAACCCCCCCCCCCCCCCCCCCCCCCCAGGAATGCTATTACATTATGAAATTATTTTGGATGCTTCCTTTACAGCAGCCTTTAACCAAACTTAAAAGAGTCTCTCTGTTATCAGGTTTGTTCTGCCTTGTCAAAATATTTTGTTTTGTTAATGGATGAATAAAGTTTCTTTAGACACATCCTTTAAAGCAGACTCTAATCAAACTGGAGAGGCTAGGTTTACTGTAATCAAGTGTTTTCCTTTTAATAAGTTATGTTTTTGGATTTAATTATTTAAGACGCATCCTGTATAAATTTCTTTTTAGCCCGATCAAACCTATCAAATATAATGCACATATAAGGGTTATGTACTGGGAGGTTTTGGATACCCATATTTCCTGAGGGATAAACCTTTTATTTAAAACTGATCGTACATAACATGTGTATTCCATACCTTTTGAGGTTTCTAGATACATTCTACCTTATTAAGTTCTAAAATTCAAAAACATTAAAGGTACATATTTTCTCAGTCTTAAAAATAAGATTTTCATGAGATTTTCACTCATATTGCTTGAGCAAATTAATTAATTGATATCAAAATTAAAATATATAACATGAACATAGAACCTCATTTGTTCGAGTAAAGCAAAATCCATGGTATAGATGTCAAAGTCAGGAAGATGTCGTAATTCAAAATCTAAGTATATTTTTCAGTATAAATTTACACTTAAATATGCCCTTAAATTTCAGTATATTTTTCAGTACATATTTGCACTTAAAATCACACTTAAATTTCAGTATATTTTTAAGTACATATTTGCACTTAAAATCACACTTAAAATTCAGTATATTTATCAGTATAGATACGAGGGGTGATCCAAAAGTCTTGGACGCCCCACTCTAACTTTGCTATTTTCTAATATAATTACATGAAACTTTCAGATAATAAAGATCAACATCTAAACAACTTTGTGTATAAGTTTCAACAGAAACTAATATATTTTAGCTACTTTTCTAAATATTTTTTTTTTGATACCGGGTCCCTGCCACCCGGAACGGTATTTAAATATTGCAAATCACGTCACAACTGTTATAATGTGGCAAATACTTTAGGTGCAGGTGCACAACCTAACACCAGTCATGATATGGGAGAATTTCCAATTTTCAGTCTGAGTGTCATCTGCCATGATCATCTTCACATATTAAGACCTACTTTTCAACATATTTTCCACGAATTTGAACACATTTTTCATACCGCTTTACCAATGAATGAAAGACATTTATGAAACGGCCATTGCCTTTGTGATACAAATGCTGCTGGAGTGCCACTCTAAACCTCATCCAATGAGTAAAAAACATTTTCTTTCAACCCTCCTTTCAACTTGGAGAAAAGGAAGAAAATCACACAAAGCCATATCTAGACTGTATCGTGCATATAGTAGTTGCTCAATGTCAAATATAGTGAAAATATATTGTAGTATTCTTTGTTCCACTTTGATTTCTTTCATGTTCTGCATTTCAGCAGCCATCTTGGAGCAAAAATGACACCAGAATGAGGGTTGATTGTCTGATGTCATTTTCTTAGAACTTGACATATACGGCCATTGCCATATGTGACATTATTATTAAAAAACAATTAATTGGTTGCCTAGTAACAAAGGAAGTAAACTAACATGGTTTAACATTCAAAATTTAAGGAAAGAAAGTGGTCAAGACTTGCAAAACAAGTCAAATAGCGGCAACGTTTAAGGCTGAAAGTTGCCATGTGCGAATACCAGTGATCTCCCCAGGATTTTTTCTCAGGTGGGTGCAAAATTCTTATTTTTACGATTCAAACCAAAATTGGTCAAAATATGCCAATTTTTCATGATTTTTCTCATTATCAAGTGGGTGCAAATGGATTTTCAGGTGGGTGCAAGCCTATTTTCAAAATCTCAGGTGGGTGCTGCACCCACTTGCTATAATGCTGGGGAGATCACTGAATACCGTTCCGGTTGGCAGGGTCACTATATAAATAACTATCTAGAAAACTACATAAAATATATCAGTTCACCATGAAATTAATACACAATGTAGTTAGGTTGTTGGTCTTTATTATTGGAAACTTTAAAGTGATTTTAGCAAAAATCAACAAAATTAGAGCAGGGCGTCCAAGACTTTTGGATCACCCCTCGTATATACTGAAAAATGTACTTTAAATTTCAGTACATTTTTCAGTACATATTTATACTGAAATTTGCACTGAAATTTTAAGTATATTTTTCAGTACATATTTATACTGAAAAATATACTTAAAAATTCAGTACATTTTTCAGTACATATTTGTACTGAAAACGCTCCTTTCAGTACAAATGCTCTGCCCTAGTGATTGTACCACACAAAGATTGCTTCTCAGACCCCACATTTTACAATTACAATTAACAATTACAATTACAATTTACAATTACAATTACAATTTTTTACAATTCCAAATTTTGTCTGCATCCATCCAAACTTTTCTAAGACTTAATTGTGATGGCACTAAGAAGCAAAAGATTTCTAAAATCAACATGTTGGACAAACTAATTAATACACTAGTACTGTAAACATTTAATCAATAGAGAATCTATTCAAGAATAACAATATTACACATTTTGTAGTTTAACAGTTATGACATATTGCATTTGTAATCATAGCAGATCACTGTACTTGTTGGAATCTGATATAACAACAGAGGATAAAAGCTTATTGACATGATATACTGTTCAGTATAAATGGTAAAATACAATCTGTGTGCAGCATAACAATCACATTAAAACAGTAACTTAATGCAAATGTTGTCCTATAATATAATAAATTATACAAGGAATATTATTTAGGTTAATTTCGATTGCAGTGTCGACAGCGTTACATTGACAAGGCTCTGAGTGATTTCAGCAACAATAAAGGTGGCAGTGTGGTTGACATCGTGAACGACCAGCTAGGCCCTCTGGTGGCAGATTTGGTGCACTATGATGTGACATCATTTTGGCAGTTACACATCCAGGTATAGTGAGGAATTTGGGTGATTTACATGTACATAATACATATTTATATTAGATTGTAGTTATGTGTCACCATCATATTGTCATAGCCATTGATCTTTTTGGCTACCACTGATGTCCAGCTTTGACATCTGTAACACTTGTTACACATTTGTAATTGTAACCAGGTGGTTTTCTTATTGTCATGTTAGTTTTGCCATCCCCAAGAATTGATGACATATTGTTATGACAACTGTGCTCACCTTAACACATGTATCCAAGTGTCGCCATAAATAGGTAGTGACATATTGATACAGCCACCATTTTTCATGACTGGCAGTTGGTATCCGTAACAAATTGTTACATCTATGCAACTATTTGTAGTAACTTACTAGATGGTGGTATTGGGTCATGTTAATGCCTTGTCACTTATAATGATATTGTTCCCGTTTACTATATGTTAATCCCATGTTATGTCAGCTGCATTATCTCAAATATGTCCATATTACATGTATCATGTGTTATCATGTATTTCTAGGTTTGTGTTGGTGTTGTTATACAGAGAACTGAGAAACCCCAGGAGGCAACAGACATTCAGGAACAGTTTATGCAGGGCCCAGGTACAAAACCACCATATCCAAATACCCTTCAATATATATCAAGTGAACCGTAATGTACATTTAGTCAACTTATCTACTTAAGGCTTTCGTGATTATTGAATTGAAGACATACAATCAGAGTGATTGGCTGTTATTTTCCTATCCAGTATACAATGTATGTACATCCTATACAATTTAATCTTATGAATTTCCAGGTGATCATCCTGATGACCATATGCCAAGACAGCAAAACCTTAACAATTATGTAAGACCTCCTCCCACACCCCAGTCCGCTGCCAATAGTACACAGCCTGTCAAACCTGCCTCAAGGCACAAGTCTCCAACTCTCCCAACCCAAGCCCCACAAGTGCACACTCTACCCTCCACATCTAATGCCACCATTACAACTGCTGATATAGGACAAATACAAGGTGTCCAAGAATCCCTTAACAATACAGTTGAAATACAGGGTGGTCAAGAATCTCAAGATGATGATCTTAGAAAAGCTATAGAATTAAGCTTAAGACAAAGCCAAAATAGTTGTAATGTTAGAGCAGATGGACTAGGTCCAGTATCTTCCAATAGTGCCAATAAGTATAGTGCAAATGCATCAGAAGCAAAAGGTGCAACAGATGAAGGTCAACTCTCTGAAGAGGAACAGTTAAAAAGGGTTTTAGAATTAAGTAGGATTGAAACCGCAATGAACAGTGATCTAGTCAATGACTCTGATTATGCCTCTAAACTTGACAGAGGTCATGTAACCAATGCAAAAGCTATATATAAAGATGAGGCAAGACCAACACCATGCAAAACATTAGACAGAAATGAAAACCATGTGCCATATAGAGGAACAACATATTACACTGATGAAGTCCTTATTAGTAAAGCACCAGGTGCAAGAACTACAACTAAACCAACAGCCGTTGATGAAGAGGAGGAGGAGATATTCAGAAGAGCTTTAGAATCTCTTGATAAACCAAAGATCAAGGAAGAACCAGTTGAGACCACCACTACTGCAGAACCAATAGGAGCCAATAATGATGTTGAGTTTAAGAAGGCTCTTGAAGTAAGTCTTTTGGAAAGTCAAATTAAAAATGAGCCAATAGATTCAAGTGAGCAGTCTTGTCATCCTGTCAGACCACAGCAAAGACTTTCAAACATTGTTCATAACAGAATGGACATTACAAGCGATCATTTGAAAAGTAATCCTTCTGCAAGCAATGTCCATGTTATTAAAGAAGAAAAGATGGATAATGCCCACCCTGAGGATGATGATCTGAAAAAGGCTTTACAATTGAGTCTTATTGAAAGCCAGTTTGAGAAAGATCCAATTATAGCTCAACAATATTCGCCAGTTTGTTCCTCAATAGACACTAGGTCAGGTGACAGCTATGAGCCAATACTGAACAAGGAATTATTCTCAATATCTGATGATCCAAATGTACAACATGACTTAGAGAAAAGTTTTCATGAAGATGAAAACAAAGTTGCCAAAAAAGGAGGAAACTCTAAGAAAAGACCTAGTCCAGATAGTGAACCACATGCCCCAACTAAAATCCAGAAACTGTATGATACACCAATTCAGAATCTAAGTGAAGAGGAACAGTTCAGACTTGCCATGGAGGAAAGTATGAAAGAACCAGTGCCAAAAACTCAACTATATAAATCTGATATCCATGCTCCACCAAATGCCCCGAAATCAAGAGCTCAAGGTGTTCTGTCAGATGAGGAATATGCGAGAAAGCTGCAAGAAGAGCTTAACCAAACATCACCAAACAATAATGCTGATAAAGATGCAATCCTAGCTAGAAGACTAAGTCTCAGCCAAGACCCAGTACAATATAAGCAATACATAGAAGATGCTAAGCTTGCTGTGAAACTAGAGGCAGGTGATATAGATATAATAGATGTACCTGTTGATACCTTTGGGCCCCCAGGGGCTAGGGCTTTCAGTACACCATCTAAAGCCACATCTAGAAGGAAGGCAACAGTCATGAAACAGCCATCCAGAACTGCATTAGGGAGCCCTATTGTGCATGTACCAGATACAGACAGCCAGGTAAGTATTCCATTGTACTCATGTTAGCATCAAGTCAAGTGTGTACTCGTCAGGTGTACCTGTATTTATTCTGCTTCATTCAAATATTACTATTTTTGGCGAAAGGAGTCTGCAAAGGTGCCCCAAAAGCAGTGAATGAAGAAATATAATCGGATTAGCTAATTAAGCAAATCCACCTAATTAAGCTAATTAGGCAACTTTAATTAGCCTATAATAGCTTATTCCTTAAAGTAAGTCATATAAATGGTAAATTCTTAACATACTTACATAAATTGCTGATCAGTTGTTATTTCATACTAAACCTAATGAGGTGATAGGGGCTGGGTAGGTGGGTTTTTGCAATGCAGCTGACTGTTTGCTGGCTCTAGCTAGTCTAACTGAAGTTCTAACATAATTCAGTGCCTCTGTTCTGATGCCTTCATCACAAATTACCTATAAATCTACATTTTGGCTTCTAATTGGTATACTGCAAGAACATTCAAGCATGTATAAACTCTGCATATTGTAAGCTTAATTAACTAAAGGTCAGCATGGGGAAATAAAACTTAAAGGACCTGTCCAACCTTATATGCCACCCTAAGCAAAACAAGCTTAAGCTTTACGGCACCAATTTCAAACACCTTTTCAATGCTTCCTTTTCAATTATTTCATAATTTTCATGTGCAGATGCTAATAGAATAATTTGCTGTGAAGCATGATGTACTGAAAGCGTAAACCTTAATATTGATTTACAGTCAGGTTATAACAAGATAAAGTCTAATATTTTCAGTTAGCAGAATACAGACGCTTGCAGCAGATGAAACACAGTGGGAAGACTGCCAACATTTCTGGCCATCCCAGTCCTCGTAGTCCACATGTAAATGGGCCACATACACCTAAGGGGGCAAAATCTGTACCGACTGCTACATATACTCCTATGTCTAAGCAGGTTAGCTCCTCGTCTACCTCGACATACATCCCTACGGCTGATAGGTCCATAAAACAACATGGCCGTATTCAACCTGGAACCCCTAACTTAGCCAAGCAATTGACAGGTTTGTGAATTGTTTGGAAATATCTATGAGTTTTGAGGTAGAAGAGGGAACTCCCTCACCAAAACTTTACATATTTTGACTTGTCTCAACTATTATGTCACCACTATTATGTCACCACTATGAAATGATGACATATTGTCATACCATACTTTTTTATCAAATCGTTACACTTTTGTAAACATTTACAGCTGAAGACATCATGTCATGTGTACTCATAGTGTCAATTTGCCTCACCTATTTTGGGATTCTGGCAATGCCCCTTGTGTCTTGATAAAGTAAAACAACAGAAATGAAAAATTGATTTATTAAATGTACATTGAAGTACTTGATGATGAAAAGGCCTTACAATTGCAACTTACAAATACATGTACCTTACAAATGCAACTATTCGTGCAGAAATTGTCTGGGATGATTTCTTTTCTTACAAAACTCAATATTACAATCAGTTTATTTATGACTGATGTTTACTTTTGTAGCAAAGGTACTCTATTGTCTGGTTAATTAAATTTTAATCTACATGGTATTTAAAAGAAACAATTTAATTTAAGATTCATGACTTATTTTATGAGCAGCATTACAGGAAATTGATATTGCATTTTTATGTTTAGAAAAGGAAATAATCAATTAGAAAGTTGTTACTGTACAAATTGTTCAATTTAGTTGAACATGATATTTATACACTGATTAATTGCATACAAAGTGCAGAACTTTTATTATTCAATTTATTTTTTATAAATCAATTTTTCAAGTTTGACCCACTTGTGTTTATAAAGTGTGTCTCAAATAAACTTTATGATTCAATCCCAGTGATTCAATTAGATATCTCAAGATATATCCCCCTCCCCCTTCTCACCTTAATGAGCTATACTTCAGTTTTCATGTAATTTATAGGTGTGGTCCCACAAGCTGTAGTCAGTCCAAGAGTGCACTCCAACCCTGCTGTAACCCACAGGCCAGCCAGCCATACTCAACATGTAGCAGACCAACATATTGTGCACCCATTTAATAACACTCCCATCATACCAAACCCTGACCTAACCCTGACCAATAATCCACTATCAAGCAAACATGATACAATTACGAAGGAGTTTCCTAATCCAAAATTAGCTTCTGGGGTCAATCAAGGAACAGTGGCTCAGGTTCATGGAGAGAACACAGACCAAGGTTTTGCATCATCTCCATGCAAATATCAAGCAGAGGTTAAAGGTCATCAGGGGGTCAAGGTCAAAGATGAAGTTGTCATTATAGATAGTGATAGTGATGATGACCTACCACCAAGTGGAGTTGTGAAGCCAGGCAGCTTCAATCCTAAAGTGGGTACAAAACAAGGTACGCTTTAAACGATTTATTTTCTCATAAGCTTCTAATGTATATTCATGTTATTTCTCATTGAATCATTTAATTTTCAATTAAAATTATTTCTTTTTGTTATTTAATTAATTGATTTGACTTTCATTTTTCATATTGCTTGCACCTTTGCATTTTGAATGTTGAGAAATCCAAAATATGTAAATGAAATGTCAGTTTTTTGTGATAATTTGTTTTGAGCTTGGAAGATGTTTTTTCTCCTAACCATTGATGTATCTCAGGTGGCACATTCACACATGGAGCAGAGCCACACCAGTCCAACATCAAGTGTGGCAACTGTGGCAGACTGGGACACACAAGGACATCCAGTAGATGTCCTCATTACTACTCACAAGAAGAACATGATCGCAGAGAGGTGAGATATCCATAATTGCATAAAGGGCCACTGTAAAACCCATGTAACTGAAATGCCCTTGGTTCCACTAAAATGTGATCTACTTACGAGGGTAGAATGACATTAAGTCAACTTTGGAGTGGTTCACTTATATTATACTGTAAGTTATAGAGGTTTGATTAACAACAGAAAATATGTTCACATGGTAACAAATCAGTTGATGAAGCATGCATTGGAACAATGTATAATAATATATTACAGTGTGGACACTATCAAACAGTATTGTCTAATCACAAGCAATGATACCTGGATAAAATCCTCACGCGGTCCTAACTTCGACCGTTAATTTGAATTTTTGACCTACCAGATGCTCGAAAATCAGGGATTGCGAGTTTCATACTGCACCGTTTTTCTTCAAACTTATACCATTAAAAGCAAAACAAAATTGCCTTTCTGTCGGTGCATTACTTTATTGTAAAGAGTCCCTCGTTCTAGCAGCGTTTTGGTCCCCGGCTGTTAGAAGGCCTTCTTACACCTGGGGACCAAAATGCCGATGGAAGGGACTCTGTTTAGGAGAATAATGTACCAACAGAAATGGATTTTTGTTATGCTTTGAATGGAACAAGTTTGAAGAAAAACGGTGCAGTATGAGACTCATAATCCTTGATTTTCAAACATCCGGTAGGCCAAAATTTCAAATTAACAGTCGAAGTTAACACCGCGTGATCCTGCACATTCTATTTCCTATGCAATTTTGCTAAATAATTGATTCTTATTGTGTTTTCAATAGGCCAAGAAAGCTAAAGCAAGAGAGAAGAGAGAAGCTGCAGAGAGGGAAGATCAGCGCCTCCTTGATAATCTTGTAAGCAACACATATGACACATATGAAATATATTCACAAGTCTCTGGTTTTCTGTTAGATTGAAATTAGTAGAGGATGTGAATCTGTAAGGGGGAGACACCGAGGAGTATTTCAAAACAAGAAACGATTAGTCATAAAAAAGCGAACCTCTATTATCCAAACTATGATCTTATGTAAAAAGAAACAATGTTAACCACAAAACCACCCCCCCCCCCGCCCCTTTCCACCATACATCATTCATAAATTAATTTCATAATGAAGGTGGTACTCCTATATATCAATAATAACAATGCAGAAGCTTTTCTCGTCAGACCAAATACACAGCAACATGAGTTTGCTTGAATAAATTATTGACAATGATACATCATCCATATACCAAACTTACCCTACTCCTACAGAACTACTGTAGTGTTTTCAAAATTACTCTGAACTTTTATTTTCTGTTTCCAGCAACGTAAGCATGATCGAACGCAGGAGTTGATTGAACAGCAGGAGAGAGAGAAACGCCTTAAACAACAACAAGCGCTGAATGCTGTGAATGCAGTCTTTGAAACTCAGATTGAGCCAGTCGTCGCTCAGAATCAGGAATACGAGGCAATGATCGCAGCCTTGGAGAACAAGCAGAGAAAGAATGCCCGAAAGAAAAAATAAATAGTACTTACTTGTGTTACTTTTAGGGTCCCTGTATATCATGCATTACCATGGTCAAGATGAATGTCAGTATTCAGTAGTCATATTGTTGTTGTGTATTAGTTAGTTTATAGAAATGTGTTTCTATAGTGACAGTACAGTATACACAGTACACAGAGTACGGGACTATTTAGAAGGCAATATTAGCAATATACGGACTGGTGCTATTACATATATTTACAAATATGTATTACTCTAAGACTTTACTGTTGAGAGACAAGAATCTAATCAAAAGTTTGTGCAACTTTTTTAAGTCATTGTTCAAAGAGTATTAGGGGAACGTTTATGATAGTTGATCTGATCTTTAATCATTTTCTGTTATTATTCATTGAATAATTGAATTTAAAATTAAAACTTATTTTAGAAGAATGAAACTGTCTAATGGCCATGTCCCTGTGCATTTCTGGATGCTTCATAAAGTAGAACAACTACCAAGAATAAAGAAGAGTGCAACTAATACTACTACCAGGGACTTGGACTTAGCAGTACTGCATGTTTTGATTAACCCATCGGCGTAGCCAGGCATGACGCAGGGGAGGAAACTGCCTCATCAAAAGTATATTAAAAACATTTTTGAAGATCATATCGAACATGTGGTTACGTTTTGCCTCGTCTATTTTTGGATCTTGCCTACACTCATGCTAATCAATTCATGTTGTTTCTGTATATCTAAGACTTAAGAGTTAGTTTGGTTTGTAAAATTGTTCTTAAAATACAAGAGATATGAAACAAATCATTTTGTTTTCTCAGTTTTATTTTACGTTTATTTTGTCTTGAAATCTTAATGACAAGAATGTACATTGTCGTTTAGACAGTTTTGCAAATGCATTCAGGAATATTTCATTATGAGACCACACAAGCAGATATTTTACAGCCGTAAACACTGTAAAGTCCTGATTCAAAAACTCCTTGGCAAGGCCCATAAAATCAGATTAAAAGCCTAGATCTTTACAGACTCATGCTGCTGGACAACTCCAGTCTATAACCCATGATTTATAAGGTGATCTTGATCTGTTGATACCTGTATGTTGTCGATTGGAGGGGAATGTTTGAACACGAAATACTGATAAGTCGGGAATAAGGCATCGAGTAAGACGACGTCCTTAAATTATTTTTATCGTCCATGTAAAACTGCAGCACAAACATGATTAATACACAATGTATGGACGTAAGTATTCAATGCATTGGAATGGTAAGGTTATATCACAAACTTGTAGACTCATCCAGCATATTGCTCCATAATATTGCTTTGATGCTCCTACAACAGTAGCTACTTTCCATGAGGTCAACACTTTGTCATTTATTAATATATGTACACCTTACAATGCTGTAAAATTGAAAGCTTTGTTCACGTGGCCATTTTCATTTGTACCATTTTGTTTTAGAGAATCTTCAATCGAAAATAACCCATTGTCTTTAGTTTTCTTCAACTCATTTGCTTCATCAATGTTTGCATAGTTGTTATTGTCATTTTCTGCCTCTTTGATCTCTTTAACCTCGGCGAGGTCCTTGACATCATCTGGAGGTTTATAAAATCTCCAAGCGAGGAATGTAAAGAAAGATGACCCAAATTTAAAGCAGACACCAATGACAGACATGTAAACCGCCATGTTGAAATTGTCATATGTACTGCACGAACCACGCCCCGAGCACGTAGTTGACCAAAGAACACAGGCGCGATCCAGAGCAGCTCCAAATAAGATATTCCCGGGTACCGTTCCTGGAAAATAAATTGCTTATTACAACGGAGAGTAAATGAGAGAATATTTCTTGGTGTCCATGGAACAACTCGATCCAGTTAGAGATTAAAACCACAATGTTCTTATCTGGTCCCATTTTCCCGGGCCCATTTTATTATGTCATCATCAGAAATGTTGGGCGTTTTGTGTCTTTAACAAATGGCAGGTTGTGACATTTTGGCATGTTAATGCTATAATGCCTTGTTTTTAAATGAAACCTATCGTTACAGAGGTATTTAAGGGACTAAAACAATTGTATTTGAATCTAATAAAGGCACTATCAGGGTGACTATGATGATACTATCAAGTACGTACCTAACAAACGCAACACTGTTGATTGTATCCCCACTGCCGTAGTTCGCTCGTCAGATGGCACCACCCTACAACATTCAACAACTGCGTTAAGACATGTATACAAAAGTTCAATCCAATTATTTCTTCACGAAGTCGTTTTTTTCAAGTCAAAATATGCCAGTTTCATTGTTACAGATTCTGGAGGAACTGGTTTTGCATAAAATCTTGAGAACCTTATTTAATCATACACATAGGAGGTCCGTCTGACACAACAGCATGGTAAAACGTATTTACAAGACTTAGTATGCGGTTCCTATTCTTAATAGTATTATAATGAAGACCAAGGCACTGATTGAGATGTAAGACCTAACATACCTGAGGATGAAGTTGACGTTAAGCACATTGCCGGTAAACGTAAAGAACATGACGATGAACCAAAGGATAATGAACAGAGGGAGAAGAGTGCAGTTGGAAGCGCAGACACTTTGCTCAGCGCCATGTGTAGTAAAATCTGGACTAGGGATACAGCTGCAGTTGAAGAATCGCTGGAAAGGATCGTGGAAACGTTTCATATAAGAAGAAATAAACGTGCCAAGAAACAATTTCAATAAAACAAGCATGCTGCACATGTTAAATTATTCCTCTCCGGTGCATTATTTGAACATTGGGGTAATACATTGTATCGCAACATATCGCTGGGATTTGTTACAGGAGGTTGGTCTACTATGCTGCTCTTTGTGCTTTTCTGTTCGCCATGTAAATACTAGACCTGACTGGGCCAAATGGTTCCTTTACCTTGGGGTTACTATTGTCCATATCTAAGCAACCAGCATAGCAAGGAGAAAAGTACATGTTGCCATCTCGACCACAGATCGGCTCCTGGCGCATGTTGGAACACTCGCAGCCAGTATTGCAAACTTCGGTGAAGTTTTCCTTACGTAGAACGCTGTATGTAGGAAAGCAGATAATAACTTTGTTATCAGGTTATTAATTTGAAATCATAACTTACCCTTGGGATCTACCTTGCGTCTTGGAACTATCAAGTTATAGATACGGTTTATATTGGTCTTTGTCTAAAGTATTAGACCGGAAGTATTAGATCTACAGTACATACCTGTTATTGTATGGCCTGTTGACTCCAACAAATGGCAATTCGTCACACTTCGCAAAGAACAAAGGTGCCATACACATTGATAACACGGCCAAGAGGAATTGCAGTTTAACCATTTGTGTACATGTCATGTTGAACCTCTTAATGATGTAGCCTCCAAATATTGTCCCCCCTGCTCCACCAGGTACGGCAATTATTCCTGTCAGAATACGGTTTCGATTATTTGAAACACCTGTTTCATTTGTGGGAATAAACCATCAAAAAAATATAGCAGAATGATAAAACAATGGGTATTTTGAAGAGGAATTACCAACGATTTCGTTGTACAACATGTTTCTGTCAGAACCACTGCACAATATGCGACCCCTCTACCTTTTAGCATATTCCCGGCCCACTTACCAAACAGCATTCCTGCAAATCCTCCATTTAGATGAAACTGATTTTCTAGATACTTTGGACCAAATGCACTAAATCCACTAATGAGCACAGCTTCTGTGAGAGAGTACCCAGTTGAAAAGAGGTATGCAGGATTCTTGATGAGCATCCAGACACTTCGTGGTAAGTCTCGGATATGTCTTGAAGTCTCCAACAAAGGTGCGTCTGTATTGTCTGCCTTATGGGTCTCAGACTTCTTGTTTTCTCGTATTTCTTTTGCACCTATAACGTATCAACATTCAAACATCGTGTTTTGTGATTGTCAACGCATTGATTTCATAAGAAAAACCACGCCGCTATGGTCATTTTAACAATTGCTTTGTTTATGTGACGAAATATAGATTGGATTTTTACCTGGTATGTCTCTCGCAAATCCCGCAAAAGGGATCACAAGACAAAGTGTGATAGATCCAAATATAGCAAAGCCCAGCCACCATGCGCCGATCCATCGTGGATCACTTGATGTTATCCCGACCCTGTGTATAAAAGTAATAATATAACGTTTTAGAGTATGTCTTACTAAAGTATGGATTCGTTCCAACAGGGACATGGAATTTTGCTATCTATTCTTTTTCTGCTCTTCTAAGTTTAAATAAGTAGCCTGTGTTAAATAATTTGATGAACTTCAGTACTCACTTGCTCATATCGACTTTTCCCGTGTCTACGAAGATCTGCAACAGCGCACCTCCCAAAGCGTATCCCACCGCAGGGCCAATCACTCCCATGCCATAGAATATTCCTGTTTGTATACAAATTGTACAATCGTTGATGACCAAAATGACATAGTGGGGGGGGTGTATAGAGATATTGTATATCGTATAAGAGGCTGAAAATTTATTGTATATTGTATAAGAGGGGGCAAAATTTATCGTATATGGTATAAGAGGTGTAAAAAATATGGTATATGGTATAATAGAAAATATATGGTATATGGCATCTAGAATTAAAGAAGGCTAATTATGAAGAAATTGTACCCTAAAGTTCCCCATTGTGCCAACTCTCTTACTGTAACCGTGTTGGAAAAACATGGAAAAGTAGTCTCTCTAATTGGTTCCACCAGGTCAATCAATACTGTAAGTTTAGAGAAAATCCCTCTCAAACTAAGAGTTTTGTGCCCTTTTCATTCAAATTTTCACAGGAGGTGTTAAATATAGTCTCAAATAAGAATCACGGCCGGTGATCAGAAGAAATGAATGGAGGGGGAGTAGATCTAGCTGATTTTCGGTAGAAAATTCAACAAATCTTGAAGATTTATTTTTTCAAGAGAAAGTTTACAATTGAATGGCTAAATGAATAGACGCAGTGTACGGGGGAATATGTTAGGTCTTCTTGGATTTTCTTTGAACTGTGGAGTTCTAAAATAAAAGATCTATTAAAAAAGTGCAGCATCGCCAACGTGCAAATGCCAATGTTTTTGCTATAAATCAACCAACAGGGGTCTACACGACCTGTAATAAATACTTGTAAGTGAAGTAATTATCACAAAACTATTGTCATCATTGGTTTTGTAAAACACGTTACCATACGTGTTATGTAAAAAGTGAGTAATGTGTCTATAAGACATATGAAAACTTCCAATAACTCCATATGTCCCCATTTTTCACTTTTCAGAGTTGTAACATCAAGTTACTGAGTAAGTGAGGTCATTTTTCAAGTACACGAATTTGTCGGTGGAAATTTCTTCCACCTTAAAGACATATTACTCCCCCCCCCCTCCGTTTTTTAGCCATTCAATTGTTAACTTTTTCTTGAAAAAATAAATCTTCAACATTTGTTGAATTTACCGAAAATCAGCTACTCCCCCTCCGTTCATTTCATCAGATCACCAGGCGTGAGACTGCCAAATGTCATTGACTCATCTTAACTTTGATGAAAAATATGGTCACTATGGCTACTCGTGTTACGGGGTATGTGGGATAAATCATTAAAATATTTGAGTGTTCAAAAAGTTGTAAAGTGTTCATACAGCGCATGTTTTAATGCAAGCATCACAATGCTAATATAGCATAATATAGCAAAAGGTGTTTATTTGGTCTTCAAACTGTCATATGTTGGATTTCGGCTATTTATTGGGGATTTGAACAGGTGCATATGTTAGGCCAATGCATTAACTCCAGCACTCATAGAGGTAATAAAATAATTTGGACTTTGGAAGGTTTTTCTGAAATGATGTCCTGATTTCCAGCCCTTTCCACATATGTTTTTTCAATGTTTAATGCACCAACATGTTGCACTTTGAGACACAGTTAACCTCTAAAATATGATTTATTTGGGATAAAGTGGCAAACAGTACATGTATTTCCCATGTTATTTTCCCATAGGGAAAACTCATGTGATCCATTGTTTTCAGCTTAATTTTGGTCATCCAAAATTGATATCTTTAACCCCTGCATGAATCATATTTTCATTTAAAGATGTTAACCATGTCTCAAAACGCAACAGAGTGATCACTGCAACAAACAATGAAAGACAGGTGTGGAAAGGGCTGGAAATCAGGACAGCATTACAGAAAAAACATGTTGATGGGGTGTTTGCACCTTCCCTGTCTTAAAGTCCAAATTATTTTATAATCTCTATGACTGCTTGTCCTGGAGTTAATGCATCGGCCTAACATATGCACCTGTTCAAATCCTCAGAAAATAGCCAAAATCCAATATATGACTGAAATCTGTTGCGATAACGTCCGTGGTCTTTTAAAAGAAAGTCATTTCTAATTACATAGAGTAGTTTTCATTCTCATCAATACATCTTTGCCTTGAAATCATTCGTGAAACATGGGGTTTGACCTTTATGGAAATTTGCTTAATTTTGACACACCTTTGTTTAACTTATACTGTCTTTGAGGCTGCCTTATCTGAAACCCCGAAGTGTCTCTTGTTTCAAATGTTTAAACAATCAAGTCTCATCTTGCCTTTATTTCAAACTCTAGTTTCCAGACTCGAGTCCAATCAAAAAAAAATTATCTACATGGAAGTTTGTGAAGTCCTTTATTTCTGAAACTGTTTCAATACTTAATATTTTCCAGGTAACTGCTTTACAAAATTATTGTGCATTGTGAATCTTCATTATCTATCTGATACATATTTTCCTCAGCAAACTTTATTTTCATAGAACACATGATGAATCTTTTATTCCACATTCTCAATTTTGCATCAATTATGTTTCAAGGATTTTTTTCCCTGGCTCACTTTGAAGGATTCCATTGACATTAAAATAAGTCATGGGAAAGTACGTAGGTCATAACAAAGAGGAATACTGAGTTCCACCCATTCCAATGATGCAGGTTTTGTGCTAATTTTGAATATCTTTATGGTACTTTTACAGGTAATGGGCTAGTGGCTGTAGCAAATTGCAGAAATGTTAAAGTTAGTTTTTTTGTCAAAGTAGGTTGTGAAATCACTAAAGAGAAGTCATGAATCTTACATCATAGATGTGTTTTAAATCAACTTGTTTACCTGAAAATAAAATGTGGTCACAGCTTTTCTGAACATGCGGATTTACCCGAATGGTGTCTTATTCATAATGTAATAAATGAAATCATTGTGGTATGTATGTGGAGTCTATTTGCCTTATAATATTACATTTACTTTAGTACATGGATTCTCTCCTAATATAATATTATTTCCTTATATATATCCAAACTTAAATCAAAAGCAGTTTCAAAAAAATTATTGTATATTGTATTTCACCTAAAATATTGTATATGGTATAAGAGCTGTGAAAAATATTGTATATGGTATAAAAATATTGTATATGGTATAAGAGAGCTAAAAAATATTGTATATGCATTTCCAAGACCCTCTATACACCCCCCCCCCCCCATAGTGAAGATCAAAACGAAAACACAAATCATTGAAAACAAATACTGCACACAAACTGAGCTTCTCACTTTTTGAGAACATGATAATTTGACATAAAAAAGTTATTACTCGATGTGATAGTGGAGCAAAATATACTGTATGACACCTTACCTATAAATAATGCTGCCATGTCCCTTGTGGTGGTTTCGTCGAGGAAAGCAACCCCAACAGTGTACATGAAGATCGATCCTGTGCCATGGAGGAAATTTCCAATGAAAAAAACATATCCCCAGTTAGAGAGAGAACCCTGACTCTCGTCCCCACACATATCATAACTGTCGTTTCGTCCGGGGATACAGAGATTCTCTGACTGACCACTAGCCGCATACTGGTATGGTCCTGTTGCTATATGTGGGAGGATAAATACGAGAGATCCTAGCCCTGTTCCAAATACGCCAACTGCGCACCATTTTGGCTTGTGGGCAGTTGCCCCGAAGTATCCCACGAAAAGGACAAGCACGGCGCAGCAAATGTCATAAGCACTGACGATAAGTCCAGAGACTGTGCTATTCAGGTCATATCTCCTCTCTATTGAGGACAGATTTGTCCCAATCAGTCCATTTACACTGCCGGACATACAAAAGTTCATGAGACATAAACATATAAGAAAACACCAAGATTTGTTGATCTTCTGCAGCCATTTCGGTGTGAATCCTCCCCATCCATACAGCAAAGGCTGCACCTCATCCGGCTCTATAGTCTTTACAGTTGGCATGTGGCCATTCTGGGGTTTTTCAGTTTCATCCATAACGGTTAATAGTTAATGTGAATCAAAATTTAAATTCTATACTTAATCTAAATGTCCAGCTAGTTAGTCCATTATCACAGTACAGTGAATCATGCAATCTGAAACAGTGATAACAATTTGCATTATCATATACGTTTGTAAATTATTGATGGTTTAAATTGTAGCTTTGCAGATCCATGGGTCTACTGGGCAAGGGGTTCAAGCCAGTATTTCTATTCATGCTCCCATAAAGTCTACGGGTATTTCCACTTCTGTACACAGCAACAAAATCTGATAGATGCTCAGTAAAAAACCAAAATATATCACCGAAATGATTTTCGGTTGTTTTAAATGTATTGTCATGGGTTTTCAATTTGGAATTATCAGATGTATTTTGGTTTTGAAATGTTTGAATGTTGCTAATGCCGTCTGCTTATGTCGTCTGCTAATGTCGTCTCAAAGGTTTAATTTGCGTATTAAAGCAATATGGGGAATCAGTTATATCGGGTCATGTTGTATACTTTGCTGTTTAGTCTAACATGTTCTTCGTCTTTCTATATTACATTAGGGCAGCCTTAAGTACGGAGGTGAGACTTTAATCGTAATAGACATTCAATAATTACAAATTCCAAACTAGGCACAAAATAAATTACTATACGTCGAACTCTGATCTCAAACATGTCAAGTGATTTCATTATGTGACATTTATCTTAGAGTAGCTTATGATTTATTATTATGAAGTATCTTTAAATCATTGTTCATCCTTCCTATAGAGCAAATAAAATGTATTTCGAATCGCATTTAAACGCCCATCCATTCATATTACGAGAAACATTGATATAAAGAAATCAAAAAGTCATGTTGACTTTGAATAAAAGAATTTGATCGCAAGAAACTCACCTTTAATTGAATAGATCCAACCTTAATCTAAAAATTTATTGTTTCAGATGCATCGAGCACTTGCTCATCTACAGTTTGTGTTTTGTCTTTTTTAATGTTGTCACTTGTTATTTCTTATTAATTAGGCATCGATCAGTTTACTCTCCAGTGCATTCCAAATTAATCTTCGTATAAACAAAAGTACGTTCGCTCTCCTTCAAATATGCTCTCATCGTATGTTCCTAAAACTTTAAACTTTGAAGATAGAACTAAAGTTCAAAGGGTCATTAATAAGTTTATATTCAACTGTATGAAAACATACCGAATTTGAGTTGAACAATGGTGACATCTTTATCAGTGAACTCCAAATATCACTCGTATCACTGTTTTACAGTCTGGTATTCATTCCTTTCTTCATTCTTCTTCATTCTCCTTTCTTAATATGGACAAAATCTGAATGACTGAAATTGCAGTGGTATGCCATGTTGTCTAAAATTGGTAAATCATAAATCAAATGTCATATTTATTTCATCTCTTTGCCACCACAAAGTTAGTGTTCAGACATGGACACGGAACTGATTTGGAGAAACACACACAAATTCACTTCCCTTTCTCTCGAATTTTCTTTGTCTAATAATAGATGTCACTCCATGTCTATCCTTGTCAGACTCGTAATTGTGATACGATATATAATTTACAGAATAATACAATAAAGTTGAAAATTGTATGCTGGATGTACGTTTGGACCTAAATGACATCAGTACAAATAAAATCCTAAATTATATATTAACCGTCATCGTGGTAAGCCACGCCCTCTCCATCTCTATCCTTCTGCAATGCAACAGGGAGAGATGTTATTAGTATCAGAATGATTAACCGTCCAGACTCCATTCTAGTCAACATGGCATTATATGTACCCAGTACCATTAAGAATGGCTTGTTGTGACATTATCTAAGTTAGTGTTTTAAATGAATATGATATCTCACCTAGATGAGTATGAAAAATAAATTAAGCATTTAATTTTTAAAAAAATTATTGATTTTCCTAATATATGTAATATTAAAAATAAATAAAACATTTTGACTAAAATATTGTTTAGCTTGTGGTATTTTTTATTGTATATTGTGATATTTCTGGATGATATGGAAGATAACAATTGCCACTTTAACAAAATACAATGGTATGTGTATCATTTGATAACATCACTCTCCCCAAACCTTCCATTTAGTTTGGCTTGTAAAAGTGGCGAAAGTCGTTCACCATTCTCTTCTATAAATCTCTCTTTTGTATACTCTCTGCTCCTGGAACGTCTTAACGAATACTGAGATAGTATGGTTGGTTGCGGAGGACGATAACTCCTCCAAGCCACTAAACTAGATAATGTGCTTAGTATCTTTAACGTGAGTGCTAAGAGCATCACATTTAGTCCCATTTGAGCATTGTCATATACTAAACACGAAGTATCTGAGCCGCACTGAGATTGCCAAAGAGTACAAGTGTGATCGAGAACGGCACCAAAGAGAACCGTACCTGGTATTGTTCCAAGGACACGGATGAGTGTGGCACGTATCCCCATAGAGAACAATCTATGGGTCTCTTTAACATACCTGGAAAACAGGAAAAACTATACATGTACAATTGCATTAAAATATAGTTCCATAGAAATCACATCAAGTGGAATAAGAAATTTGGAAATCTAGTATCAAGTCTCTAAACTCCAACTTACTCCCCCACATTGTGGAAGGCGAGTTTCTGGAGTGCGCAATTTGAAATGAAATTGGTATCCTCGAAAATATTTGATTTAGCCAGATCATTTTAAAACCAATATGAACTCAAAAGGTTCACCTCATGTTGGCTTGGGTTCCGGCAACGTGAGTGGCAAACAGGAAGAACATATTGAAGAATAGAAATATGATAAAGGCGAACATCGCGGGACACCATGTCACACAAGCCTCCTCAACACTTGCTCGTTGGCTCATAGAATCCACACATGAACAATTCGAATAATTCTAAAAACAAAACCTAAAAGCATTAAAGTACTTGAAGTTATTCAGCAGAAACCCCCACATTTTTAGTGACTTCATATTAACGGAGGTCGAGTTGAAATAATCATGGCTGCCAATCCTCCAAAATGTCGAATAATTTTATGAATCCCACATCAAGTTGTGCAGTAGAATATATTCAAAATGAGTCTATATTTATATTGTGGAAGAATACAGTACATACCAATGATTCGACATCAGAACTTTTGCAGCCAGCATGGCAGGGAGAAAAATAAACATTTCCATCGTCCCCACATATTGGATTATATGTTGAATGACACGAACACGCATCATTGCACGTATTCTTCATAGAAACAAGCGTACTAAATCAAAATGAAACAAACTTTTAATGAGTTACCGCTCCAGCAAAGCTAGTTCTACGAGCAAATATCTGATATCAGACATTCAAATGATCATTCGAACATCCCCAAATGCATTTACATATATGTACTCGTATTAGTCTTAAATCATTTTAATTGAATTACAAAACATTATCTCACTATGTAAAATCCCATGATTAATACAGTATCATAAACCCATTAAACATACATATCAGTTGTTTTAATTCGTTTTAACCTGTTATCATAGGTTTATGTATAAGACGTAATTATAACAATAAATGATACGGACTTTTTTGGAGTTTCTCCTCTGATACTTGTATAATTTGTTTTAATTTGTTATCAGCTGTTATCAGCTGTTATATTCCATCTGGTTCAACTGGGAAAAACATATTATACTGGATGATACATTTCTCTGCTCTTGCGTATAATTTGTTTACATTAGGTTACATGTTGTTGACACAACGTGTTGACACTATCTTGTTGACATAGACATATTGAGTGTTTTAATAAAAGCGGGTATTGATAAATTAGGTTTTGACATTTGAAAGTTGTAATGAATTAATATAAATGATTTTTCAAAATAAGTCACCAGAAGTGATTAGTGCAGCAGTTGAAATATATATTTTAGTTTTAGCATTTATAACGTGCTTGCAAAAACACGGGCGCCCATTTAGATTATTAGCGGTTTTATTATAATATTGGATTGCTTCAATGCGCTCCATTCAAGCACTAAATATCAAAAGAAAGATTTCAGTACCCCTTAACTTCGCTCCCGGACTTCACTATTCACCACCTCCCCTCCCCCTTCCCCAATTATCTTTTATGACCCCAGATTGTTCGTTTCTGTGCCCCCCCCGTCCATGGCAAGTAAGTAATCTATGTGTATATCGGCTCCCTCCCAATGGTGGGCAAAACCAGATGCAGGCATAGACATTGACAAGATGAGGGGATTAAAAATAAAAATAGTTTTGTTTTAGGATCTGACTGAAATATTTTGGCACTGTTCAACGAAGCGGTTTAAGGAATTAGAGGCAGAAATAATTCCTAGATGACCTGTCTTTACTGTAATCAAGATGCTACCTAACCGCAGTTTTAAAAGTTATTTATCTTTTGTGATAATCTAATACTACTTATAGATTGGTTTTCCAAATGTAAGACCCCGTATAAGACCCTTGTCTCTGATTGTGAAACATGTGTATGCATCAAATCCGAGGAATATTACATTATGTGAAACAATTCCAAAATGTTTTGTCTTGAACTCAATCAAATAGCAATATATTTCAACATGTGGAAATTGTTTATTAACGTAATGTCGGGCACTATAGGTGAACGGGTTTTCAGTTTTGCTCTTTTTTGTCACACTTAAATTGTGTGCTTTATTTATTTGGAATTTGAATTTGAATCCAATAAAGCTTATAGTATCATTTATTAACAGATGCATCGAGGTAGAGCCACCGTTCAAAAGACATAAACATAACTCTGTCGAGTGCAATAAATCCATGCATATCCATTTGTAGCAATCATACGGCCAGACCAGGGGAACACAGGGGAACACAGTTACCCTTCGCATCCTTACATTGTCCGCATGTCAACCATACGGCGACCGCACGGTCAGCCTGCCTTTCGCACCTCTCATACACGTGTACAAATTCTAAGATCATATTAATTACCATTGATTCCTAGTTTTCAATCCCTGGTTTTCAAAGCCCGTTAGATGTTAATGAATGGAGATTTTATTTTAAATGTGCTTTCATTAAACAGCCAGGAAAAATAAACTATTTTTCATTTCCCAGGAATCACATAATCCGTCAAAATTCATTTAATTTAAAATGTATCTAATATTATCATGTATACAATCAGACAGACTGGCTATTCTAATCTGTTATGAAAAGCCATTTGTTTTTTCCTCTACAGGATGTTTCTGCGGAAGTTAATTTGTTTATCTTAGTGTTTAGAGGCAATGTCCTTTGACGCTTTCGTGAAATAAATGATGGATTACAATTGTATATTTTCTACAGGAACAGCTACCCGAAGTAGACACTGTTACATTATTTTCATTTTAGGTCTCTCTAATTAGTTGCATTGCAGAAGTCTAATATTATTCTCTCCTGTGCCGAGGGTACTTATACCCGTAGCCAAGGGGGGGGGGTTCAAGGAGTCCAACTCAACAGAATTCGAATTGAATACAAAATAAATTCATAACATATAAATATATAAATACATAATGTCTATCCAAGTCTTCTTGCAATTTCTGAACTTCAAATGCGCCTTTTGATGTGTGATAACAAAATACAAAATAAATACTTAATGTTACTCCAGCTTGTTTTTATAGTAATTTGGCAATTAAACATGCATATAAAGAGATAGCAATGTGTGTACTGTGTACAACCCGAATCCTCTCCCGATCAGGTCACGTTTTATATGTCTCTGATGTAATAACTGCCCTGTCAACCCTCACGCATTAGGCATGATTGTTACGCATTTGTTGGAAAAATAGAAATCACGCATCAATTTAGCGTGTATGATCAAATATCACGCAAATCACGGATTTTGTTAAAATTTTTAAAAATCTTTTTTTGTGAAAAGCCGACACGGTAAAATACCGAACGGCGAAAAAAAGCGAACGCATTCCGTTCGGTCTTTGCACGCGATTGCCGTTTATGTCACACATTTGGTACAAAATATGTGTATATATCACGCATTTGTTTCGAAAATATTCACACCTACCTATTTGATTGAAATCATTCAAATCAAAGTTGGCATTCGAGAACAAAAATGTGTCCAGTCAAAAATAGATTTCTAATGTTTGATTTGAGTAGTTGTATTTATTGATCCTTGTTTTTCAATCTACAGATGGTTCACTGAATTCCGAAGTAAACAGAAAATAATATATATTTCCTTGGTTCCCATGATACTGCCTATAACCCAGGCCCGTAGCCAGGATTTGCCAAGGGGGGGGGCAGTTTTCAAAAATGTCTAGGGGGTTCACATTTGACAATTTTGGTCCAAATATGGCTAAAATCACACGAGAAATGCTCAAAATGGTGAAAAACTGCATGATTTTGAAAGAATCTTTGGCCAGGGGGGTTCGCCCGAACCCTGCGAACCGCTCCCCTGGCTACGGGCCTGCCTATAACCTATAATACTCATTTATTAAAACAAATATTAATTTATCCGTCTGTATAAAGCCTTTTGTTATAAAAACCCATAAATCCTCACCATATAAATATAGTTTTATTGATGACCAAAAACAGATATCAGGGGCGTAGCCAGCTTTCAGTCAGGGGGGAGGGGGTGCGATCGCCAAAAAGTTTTCGGTTTTCAGTCAGGTAGGGTACGATTGTGGCCTGAGCAGCATTTTAAAGCTCCTTTCTTCTTCTTTCTCAGGGTTTTATTTTTATTGTTAAGGGGGGGGGGTGAGATCGCACCCATCACAACCCCCCCCCCCTGGATACGCCCACGGATATTTTGGCAACTTCAACGTTTACCCCCCCCCCCCCCCCCTAATCATTTTTGCGCCCCCTCTAAATATCAGACCAATCAGGCGATGAGACATGGATCAGGATACCCTGACTCCCAAGCTGTGCGACTTCTGGCAACCGCTACACCTATATTCCCGGGGGAAATGCTTTTTCCTTTGAAAAATTATCAAATATGGTCATGTGTGGGCAAACACGGAGGAGGAGGAGAGGGGTGCGTGCATTGCGTGCGATCCTTTATCAGTTGTGTACCTTATTTTTGTATGAATTTCTCCCGAGCAGTTATGCTAGAGGGGTTATAATATTCATTTCTGTTTTCAAATAAAATAATTTCACCCTTGCCCGATTGGCTTGTAGATAATGCACGAATCAAAAAGCATGGAGATCAGATAATTAGATTGATTCGTTTTTTCGCAATCAGATGAATTAACTTATTGTTTTCTCTGATTAAAAGGCGGTTTGAAGCTACTTTTATAGGATTTGTAAATTCGCAATCAGACTGGCTTATTTTAATATTTAATCAGTGCAAGAGGAGGGGACTATAATGTAGAAAATCGTTTTGATTTCGACACTAACTGAAATAATTTATCACAATAAATTGTTAAATACGGAAACAGAGACCGGTTTAAAAACGAAAAGAGAGGCAAAAAACTCTATTCATACAATGTAATTAAAACCCGGGAATTAAAAGCAATTTTAGACTGTTAGATCTTCTGTAATCAAGGTGATGTTGGTACACTTCCACCGTTAGAAAAACAAAGACTAAGACAAAGACTATATAGCAATTAATCCTTTTGTAATCATTAAATGTTAAATGTAGATTCTTATTATTTCGTTGGACAATGTTAAGACTTCTGACCAAGATTTATTCATTTATGTTTGTATTTAAAAAATAGTATTTCAATCAGACAGACGTTCTAATGAGTTAGAAAAATACATTTGTCCATCACCTCTCAAGAAGTTTTCAAAAGTAATCAAGTCGATTTGTTTATTTTAGTGTTTAGCATTGTTTTTCATAACTTGACGCTTCCATGAACAGAATGACTTTGAAATGAGTATTTATAATTTTAGCTTTTATACGACATGCTTATTGTATATTTCTATATGAACGTTGTAGTGATGTGATGTAACATCGCCCCCCCCCCCAAATACAGGTATACAACTTTTGGTCGGAATACTTTAACTTGCGATTAAAAGCAATTTTAGACTGTTAGATGATCTCTTATGTAATCTAGGTGATGTTGGTAGACTTCCGCAGTTAAGAAAACAATTTACTAAGACAAAGAGAACTATGTAGCAATTAATCCTTTTGTTATCACTAAATGTTAGATTCTTTATTGGACAATATTTTGACTTCTGTCTCCGATTGTTATGCAGATATGTGTATATAATCATGTGAACAACATATTACGTGGAAATTTTCCATATTCATTCTCATAATGTCTTACAGGTATTTCGCAAATGACATGCATGTAAGCCTAAATAACATGTGGACGTAATATTGCAGAACTGAGCGAAAAGAAAGGTTGAACAAATCAGATTAAGATATTTTATTTTCTAAATGCACAAAGGGCAACAGTTGAAGAGCAAAAATTAAAGGCTTTTGTATGATCCCCTTCTATAGTGCCCTACCCTTTGCATTCGTTCGACTTCACTTCTTAAAAGAGAGTTTCGTCTTCTCGTAGTATATAACTAGACTCTGCACGTAGCGTAATAGTGCCCCTATTAGCCATGTACAGGGGCGTAGCCAACTTTCAGTCGGGGGGCGGGGGGGGGGTGCGATTGCCAAAAAACATTATCGGATTTCAGTCTGAGACAAATGGTCAAACATGAGTTTCAAAAAACTTCTAGAATTACCTTATGTAAATATTTACGTTAGCTTGTTTAATTAAGGTCTCACGTTATGAAAACAAAGTGCCATTAATTTCTGAACCGTATAATACAGTATCATCTGTTTGGTCTCTGTATATTCCAGTTTAATTTGTATTATACAAAAATGATATGTATAATTTGTATTATACCACTTTGAAACCTGTTATAATAGAAAATGATATGCGTATAATACTGTTTAATCTGATCCTGACTTAAATTATATCAGGTTAAACTGGAATATATTTTGGTTTAATCGGGTATCATTCTCTAATGATATTTGAGTCCGGATCAGATGTTATAATATTGAATGATACTTTCTGTGATATTGGATTAAACAACAAATTAAACATCAATATAAGATGTTATCACAAGTATTAATCATAGGATTTTACATAGTGTCTGATCTATCATACACGTTTTCTAAAATTGCACGTTCACGTATTGTACCTTCCATTGTAGCCAGTGTTTACCCCTACTAAGGGGATTGTGTCACAGTAAATGATGCAAGGGAGAGTGCAGAATACTGTGATGAAATTCAATATGAACACCAACTTGAGTAAACCCCTGCACGACAACTTCAGCTTCTTTATAAGAATTCCTCCAAATATGTCTCCACCTGCTGCACCCGGCACAGCGATTAAACCTGAAATTAAACTTCCATAAGTTTAGCAACTTGAGGTTTTCATTGAAAATCCAATCAAAGCCTGTCAAAGTTGGAATCTTTTTTTCCTAAATTACCCTCATGTCTTTGATAAACTTTATCAATTTTATTGCCAAACATAAACATGCCTTGGTAAGTGATCCAAGAGGGGAATTCTATAGTTGACAAATTATACTTTTGGAGGGGAGTGTATATTAAGACTTCATGGAGGGGAGTGTATATTACGACTTTATGGAGGGGAGTGTATATTAAGACTTTATGGAGGGGAGTGTATATTAAGACTTTATGGAGGGGAGTGTATATTAAGACTTATGCAGGGGAGTGTATATTAAGACTATTTGACTTGTATTTGAACCTTGTGCCTACCAAATGCTAAAAGTTCATTAATAGACTTTTAGGTCAATGGAGGAAGCGAAGAATGGCTTGTATCAATCTCAACAAGAACACTAAAATACAAATCTTAATTGGCAATTTCCTATATATTTAAAATATATTATCGATTCATCTATTCTGAATTTAATATGTTTATGGCCGTTTTGTATTAATATTAGTAAAAGGATGTTTAAAGGTCGCATACATGTCAATTTTATAAGTATCTAAACCAACATTCAGTGAATACTCACCGAATACCATACCAGCCATGCTGCTACTGAGATGGAATTGATTCTTCATTAATTTTGGTCCGAACGCCGAGAACCCAGCCACAAGAACAGAATTGAAAACATCCACAAAGATACTGCTTACATAAGGGGGATTCCTCATCAGCTCGATGAACGTCTTTGGAACTTGTTTCAGAGGAACTCCAAAGCCAACATCACTCTTTGTGTGTGATGAGGCTCCATGGCTCTCTGACTGCCGTGATGCTCGTATTGCTGCAGCTCCTTATAATAAAATACGAATAGCCTTATGATAAGTTGATTCTTGTTTTTCACGCAGTACTCATCCAAACACATATGAAGTGATCCGTTGTCGTGTGTGATTTTAGAACACGTTTCTCAGTCGGAAATTGTCAGAGAACAGAATTCGGATTATTTCATATGGATCGAAATGGGGACTGCGTTTTATATATTTTTTACATAAATGAATTAACACATCCAACGTGTTATAGGAGTAATTATACCTGGTAAATCCCTAGGGAATGCCGAAAGCGGCAAGGCCACGAGAAGAGAAAGGAAAGCCGTCAGCAGAAATCCCAACCACCATGCACCAACCCAGCGACTGTCGGACTGATTTATTGTAACACTTGAAAGAACCAAACAACACATATACAAAAATCTAAATTGAAAGATTGCCGCAACGTTGAGATTTCTGGATTTGTGTTCTTCATCAAATATCAAGTCGCCCGTCGTATATGGCCATTATAGGCATGTACATGGGCATACGATCACTTATCTTATTCGAACTGTATTTTCCTTTTCAAGACAATATTTTGATTTTAACGGCCTTGAAGTAAAGTTTTATCAAATAACCATTCCTATAGTCCATGTGCCTCTGAGTAGAAAGCTAGCTAAGCCATTTCAACATTCCATGGTAATCTCTTCATTTGAAATCACCGTTGGAGAGACGCAGTGAATATCGAAATGAATTCCTCATAGCAAATAACGCACCTGTCGGTTTGCACTCTGTCAAAATCTGTATATATTCCTAGAAGCATACCGCCACCAATGAAACCTAAACAAGGCCCTATCACTCCCAGACATGCATATATTGCTGAAAGAAGAAAGGTTGACATTTCTATATTTTAGATTGTGATCTAAAACCTTCGGGAAGATTAAAATCAGGGTGGCCAAAAACGAAAATTTCTTTATTTGACGATTATTTTTTTCAACTATGCATATGTTTCTACAGGAGATGTATGAATCTTGAACAATGTTTCTGAATAAGAAGGGTTGGTCGACATTTTCCTCGGGTCTAATTGAAAACAAACAGTTGTCAGTGTGGGTTAATATTCAAAACAACAGTTTCACACATACATGTATATCGGTCATATTTCAAATAAAAGTACTAGGTTGACATCGTATACAGTCAGTCAAAGGGAATGAAATTTTTGATTAAAATTAACGTTTTTTGGCCCACCCTGTAGATTCCGGTTTGATACCAACAACAATGCTACATAATCCGCTGCAAACCCAGAAGTATTACTAACAGAAATATAACGAAAATGATGAGGTAGGGGTTGTGTCATCCAGGAACGTTACTCCCAGTGCGTGAATGCAGGTTGATCCTAGACCATGTAAGACATTCCCGAGAACGAACAACCAGAAATATATTGACAGTCCATTGCCTCTGGAGGAACTCTGACCATAGTCACACATATTAGTTGTATTGCTGTGGTTGGTAGTTGTACCACTACACAGTAATGTGTTATCGACTGATTCACCATCACTATAGTCATACAGCGGTGACAGAAAGTGGGGTAACGTGAATATAAACGATCCCAAAGCTGTTATAAGCGCTGCCAACGCTAACCATCTTGGTCGGTGGGCTTTCGAAAGAAATATTGTAACAAGTAAAGAGACTGGGGCATTTGCCATATCATATGCGCTGTAAATCACACCACTGAGAGTACTGCTTAGTTGGAATTTCATCTCAATACTAGGCAGGCTCACACCTAATTGTCCATTTACTGCCATTGATAATGCTAAGTTTCCCACACCCAGACACGCAAGGAAGTATGGCGTTTTGTTGAATCGCTGTAGACATAATGGAGTTAGATGTCCCCATCCAAACTTGAAGTCGGTTTCAGGGTTTAAATCTTCGTTTCTTTCTATAGCAATGAAGGGCAATGCCAATGGTTTACTGCCGTAATCTTCATTGTTTTGGTCCTTCATTTTTCTGGCACGACGCAGGTACCTACGTCCAGTTTTAGTACATAAACTATTAGCCTACACTGTCAAGAGTCCACATTTATGTTCCTTATCACAGTAGTGAACTCAAGAGGTCGACCTAACATCTATAGTAGTAAAGACATTGTTATTGACTTTGTCATTTACAGGTTTTAGGTGAGAAAATTGCATATTTTCAGTCATGATAAAATTACAGTAAAACCTGTTTTAGTTAACACCTCGCTCGTCTCTCTCCGTGGCGGATCCAGGAACCAACAGGGGGGGCCAAATTTGAGATCAGAGAAAAAATGTTGGGCCCCTAAAACCGAAAAGTCAAAATTTGGCCTAAAATTAAAAAATAAGGCCTTAGAAGGCCCAATAATGACCAAAAGGCCCACTTTTTGAGGCCTTTTTTGGCCTAAAATTTTTTGGGCCCAACTTTTTTTTCTGGGCCAACCTTAGGGGGGGGCGGACCCCATGCCCCCCCCCCCCCGGATCCGCCATAGCTCCGTGCCACTCCCTCTCGATTTGATTTCAGAACCGTATCAGCTGTTACATATGGGTTAGCTGTAAAATATAATACCACACATAACCAGTTTTAATCTTTATGTAATTTTCAGATTAAACTTTGCTACACACTTTAACTTTTGAACTGACAAGTTGCACTCCAAATACGGGTTTAATGCACGTACCCACATCTACTCAGCTATGCTAATTCTAGATCATTGGTACAACAGACTTAAATTCAAAATATATCTTTAGTAGCCTAGGGCTTCAAAGATAAGGGCAAGTAAAAACCAATTAATGCCCAATGTTTCGATACATCGTTGGCGTCCCCTATGTCCCCTATCAAATCACACATTATCAAAATTCAGAGGTTTAAGGTCTTAATGTTGAATAATGTGACATTTTCTCAATCTTTTCTGCTTTTTTCCTCGTTGAACTACATGTCGAAGATTGCTTTTGCTGACTTTATATCAAAATAAATCAATGGGTCCTAAAGGTCCTCAAATTCAAATTTATTTTTAAAAAACCCTTTAATTGGAATGACATGGGATTGATACTCTATCACTTTCATTCATCGAAGCAATCTAAAATCTCAGTGTACAAAACCTGTAACACGCGTATACAAAAATTTTTATTCCCTACATGAAAATAAGTTTTGCTAAATGATTTGATAAATAGATGGCATGTGATCTTATTTGTGGCAAACCCACCGTTTCGTAAATGGAATAACATATAGATGTGCGATTTTCAAAAGTAATCAAATAGCCTATATCATCAGAGTAAGACATTTTGCTAGGGAAACTTTCGGAAAAATTCCCAGGAACTGGATAAGAGACCAATTCATAGAATCATTAATAAATTAAACCAAATGTTTTTGTGATTTTTTAAGACAAAGACGGATGTTACGCGGTATATGGCATACATTCATGGTTGCGCGGTATTTGTGATACGGGTGAATATGCCATACTCACATTCGGTATATGGCATATTCCGCAGGTGAGTATGTGATATTCCGCAGTGAATATGCGATACATTGATTTCAGTGAATATCCGATACTCACCTGTGGAATATTTATATCATACTCACTTGCGGAATATGCCATATAGCGCAGGTAAATATGACATATACCGCAGACTCAACGTGAACGCCAAATATTTATTCGGATTGCTCTAGATGCTAAAATAGATTTTTTGTACCATTCCACATCAAATAAAGAAATAATCAAGCTATGGTCATTTTACAGTGAAATGACTGTCATCGAATATTTGGGGGATTTGGGGCAAAAACGAGAATCGATTGACTTCCTTTGAAAAACGATTAAGGAGTTAACGAGTTCTCTTACTGGAATTCGATACTTGCCCCTCTTTGTCGTTGTTGCTCGTTTTTTATTTACAGATACATTCATGATCTATATGTTTACATTTCCTGTAGCCTATCCTTTGTTCTTTAAGATTGACTATGAGAACAACCTAGAACAATTATGCCCTGTGAAGTGTGATTAAATGCAATTGCAAGTTCATTGAACCCTGACATCCTTGAGGATGGCAAGCTGTGGGTTTTTTCTAAACGATATTATTCAGTGGAGCCAAGAAAGTGCCGCTTAAGTTTTCAACATGTATTACCCTGATCTTGAGTTTTCTTACTAAATCATTATGTCTTATGTATGGACACATTCATGATGTATGGTTGAATCTGAATCAATTCTTTTATAATCTATACTATTGATATTTTTCATGTATGTTTCACATGTTATTTGTTCAGAATGTAATTTTCAACATATGTAATTTAATTGCAATTTGGTGGAATAAATTACAAATTGTATAACTCTTGTTTGTGTTTAAAACTGAAAAAAATCGAAAATGTGGGATGTTGACATTTTTAATCAGTGTATCACGTCAAAATTGCTTCACTTATTCTTCTTTCCAAAGTACAATGCTCGTCACTGGGCTTTATTATCCCATCGAAAAGAGTTCGGGGGATATTTAAAACGGCCTGTCCGGACAAGGACAAGTTCTGCTCGAAGGCCGATTTTCAAAATGGCAGCCAGTTTCAAAATGGCCGCCATTTTAGTATCAGTTTTGCAGTATTTTAGATACAACTTATAAAACTGTAATATTAATATCTTTTAATGCAAAAAGTGTATTGCTTAAGTTGAAAATTTAAATATTTAAAAACATGGTGGCCATGACATCCTTGGCAGCCGTGACATGATATTTTACGATTTTTGGTGTTACTGGAAAAGTAGTGTCCGATTTTGATATGTGAATACTCATGAGCAGACACACTGTCTTATGACACTTTGGATAGTAGGCGGCCATTTTGAAAAAATGACCACTATTTCTACGTGTTTTACATTTTTACTTTAATAAGTAGTTAAGTGATTTTGTTGAAATTGTATATATAATAATAAAAAACACTGTCAAAATTTAGAAAACATGAATAACGTGGAACATAAATTAATGTTTCTATTTAATTCAGAGGGAATAATATTAAATATACTAGCAAAATATATATCTAATATTTTTATCGAGAGAGAAAAAAACACGAAATGCATCCAATAAAATCTTGCAATGATCAAGCACCCTTTGATTAGTTAATATACTATATAGATAATTAGTTAAGCTTTTTCATTTTTTCTGTTTAAGCTGTACACTTTGCCCAAATGTGGGATAAAAGTATAATAAAGCTCATAATAATAATATGTGCATATTTAATAAAAGCACATTGCACATTGTTATGACAATTGGCGCTGGCGTTGCTATTATCTAGTTTTTTCCTTTGCTTCCTCTCCAGTCTAAACTTGAAGTTACATATTTCTGAACTAATTGTAATTAAGGACCAGAATTAAGATTGAAACATCGACAGGCATTGACAGGATTTGCGATGAAAACTTGCGGTTCCCAAACTTATGGAGGGAAGTGTATGTACATTGCATCAAAGACTATGATATTTAACCTTATTGATATTCAGCGAGATCAGGACAATATTGTTAGGAATACCACATAGTGTACTGGAATGAACATCGATATTGTTATAACAGAAGCTATATATTAGTACCAAATGGTACTAATGGCTATACCATGGCATTCTGATACTCATAGCATCTTTCTGTTTCACCTGAAACATGCTCTGATATTATGAGGAATATTCTGCGATCTGAGCACATCAGATGGGAAGTGTTATAACTGTCAATAAGTATGATAGTTATCATGTAATTATTTACCTTAATGCCAATACATTACATAATAGGCATTGTTTATTGCAGATATTGGAACAGGCACACATACAGACTTTAGATGAATATGAGCTGGGATGAAAGATCTCAAAAATCCTCATTTTTGGGCTCTCCTGGATCGCCAAATCAAGCTCATTATATCATGGCATCTCAGGGCTGAGAAGAAATGATATGTCATGGTTTATCATGATGATACCATGGTACAACACATAATAATAATAAGCCGACTCATTTGATGATGTAATATAAAAAGATAATTTATTTGTTATTGTAATATATTATCTTGACAATATAAGTGATAAATGTTTGTCTTGTACCCTGCGACTTACATATATCCTCGTAATTATATACAAATCATCTAATTTACTACCGTATGTAATCACATATCATATACGAAACTAAATGCACGACGTGATCGCACCCCCCCCCCGATCGCACCCCCCCCCCCCCCCCTGAAAGCTGGCTATGCCCCCGTACGCTATTGCATCCAACACTGTTAGGTTAAGTTAAGTTCAGCTCGGTTGTACACATAAGTAATGTGCACTAAGGAAATTGATCGTATTTTAGCAACTTGTACTTGCCACATGTTGTTCAATTAAAATCTTTTATAATATGCTAAAAAGTGTGCTTCTGACATGTTCATGTTCATATCTGGTCATATTCTCTAGCTATAGCTATAAGATATAGCTATATGCTCTAGCTATATGTGCAATCATGCAGCTGCAAATAACACCCACGCAATAACACTATGTGTTATACTATTAGACCAGAAATTATGTCATACTATATAGCAACTTTGAATCTAAATGAAACAATGGTATAAATCTCAATACAAAGAAAGAACCTACACTCCCCTCCATACGTCTGGCAACCAATAGCCTTCGTTTGATAGCTAAGGTAAAGCATCAACGTTTGAATGATTTTATCATTCCTTTATTATATTAGGCCAAATTTTGACAAATGTCGGGATTCTTTTTAAATCGCCGAATATAAACAGACTTTATCAAAAGTTCCAGGGGGGCTTCTAGTTACTAGATTTATGGAGGGGGCGTCCATGTAAACTTTATACGATAGAATTTTGTACCAAGTGCGTGTCACAAGTGTCACAATTTAACCTTTTTCTAAGTTGTTTTGTATTATTTCGGCAAATATATATCAATATTCGATCAAAATGGCCTGGAAAGAATTACGCCATTTGCCGCAGAGTTTAAAATGCAGGGCAACGTTTCTGTGGTATGAATCTGACAACAATAGGCTTAGTCAAGATTTAGTATGACGCAGTCGCAGATTTTTCCCTGACTATTCAATAATGTATTGCAGCCGTGGGGGAAATTGTGCTATTCGTTTCATATTTACACACCATTTTTGCAGTTCTACCTTGCTCATGTAACATATAAGAAACTGCGAGCGGTCAGAACTACGATCGAGCTCGTCAATAACAAACAATATCACGGAATTGGAACATATCGGATATCACAAAGTCGTAGCAAAATACTACTAATGTTAATTTGAGTCTACAAACATGCATTCCACTCGTATATGATATTACATACCGTATATGACTTTGATAATCTTTTTAACCCGAGCTGATATCGATTGCAACGGGATGTAAAATCTTCTGATATTTATACTGACGAAGCATATTATGATACCGGGTTTAACCCACACTTAGCCTGTTTCCAAAATGTATTTTTCCAAATTATCACGCATATGGATGCGACATCGACTCGTTTCTGATATCACGCATGCGTGGAATAACCAATCAAGAAATATTTAACCGCTTGATACCAATCAATGTTGTTAATCTTGTGGTACTACTCTTATGATATAATCTTGTGATAGATTATGATAATCGATAAATTATGATAATCTTGGCCATTGCATGCAATTTAATACTGGAAAGAAGACATATGCGCAGAATTTGAATTATATAAATTTACAAAATGGAATAATTTAAGCATACTTCCCTATTTCTAAATTAAAAATATCAATGAAAACTATACCCCACATGTCCTTGTATCAAATTTTGGAAATCTAATTTGGATGTAAAACAAATGCTTTCGCCACAAATTGAATTCTTAAAAACTTTTTTGTTTAATTCAAATTAGATTTCTGTATTCACTTTTCGCTTGAATATTTGTCCTTTTCAAAGGTTCGCCAAAGGATAAACAACATCATATAATTGGAATGTAGATATAGCCGGATATAGACTACTAGTTATCCAATTCTCGTTTACGTAATTTGTAAGTCACGATTATCGAACGCTCATATTTTTTTATTTTGATGATATTTTTACTGGCGTAGGCCTCGAGACTTCTCATTGAAACTATCGATATGCACCGAATGCCCCCGATGTACACCAGTATTCAGAATGCGCCCGAAGAATTCAAATTGCTCGTAATAAAGGAATTTTTGAACATTGATCGAATATTGATGAAGCTATTGTTATTAGATTAGATCTAGTTGACATAGTTTCAAATATTGGGTCATTTCATTGTCCTTTTTAACAGCCCATATAACAGGGTGGGCCGAAATCGTCCGTTCGTTTCATTTCTCTGAGAGACAGTATAGTAAGCTTATACATACAGTTTGGTTCACGTATTAACAGTTCCACTAGTTATCAAGTGTTTCAATCAATATTATCATGTTTTTGGAAATAGTAATTAGCTCTTCCACCCCAGTGCCTCCCCCGCCCAGTCTATAAACCTTTCTCAATCACCCAAAAATCGTATATGGGTAACACTTGTGTAATACACTCGTTCTACAAAAGAAATATTTTCGAAATCCATAGCTTATTCCTCAAAATGTTTTGGGATGCTCTTAATGAATAGAAACCAGATGGATCTGTGTGAAATATTCAATGAAAACAAAAAGGTTCCTTACTTAGACGGGAATCTCGGGTTCAATAAATCGTGACACTAGATGCTCAATAACGTGTAATGTTTACTTAATTTGTGAAGTTACACGATAATCGAATGCTCGTATTTGTCCATTCCGTGGTTCGTGTGAGATGTCTCATTTCTCTTGCTCTAATAGTATAATATGAGTACGGTATATGTGTGTTTGTGATAATTTCAAATGATTCTCTGCATTCCAAGATATGCAAAAGATGCAATATAAACAACTGTAAACAACCACAACTGACTGTTCCATCAATTAACGTTATCTCATTCGTGTACTTCTAACATTCACAAAAACTTTTCGACGATGCTCTCTTATCAATCATTGATAAGGAAGAATATTGCTAATAGAATAAATGCAACTATTCTCGCTCTTCCTCCACTTGTATTTAGGCAGGCAAGTTGAAGGCCATTATAGTTATCGAATTCGAACAGCTTCAGTTGTATTGGCCTAATGCTGGGGGTAGAACATATATAGCCCTCTTAAAGGAGCTTTGGACCCGTGCCACTTAAACCATCTTTCATCCACATGTTGATGGTGAAGAAATATACGCATTCACTGGGTGACAATTATGATCATGTTTACCCGGTAAACATACGGGTATTTTCTGCAATGGTCATCTTTCGTCCCAACCCTTTTTTCGCCTAATTTTTCTTTTTCTTCGACATTCACAGCACACAGTTACATCGTGTCGAGATATCTTCCACGACTCTTCGTATGTAGTCGATGAGTTCAGATTCGGCAATGGATTACAAGAGTTTGGGTCTCTTTTTAATATTTTAATCACATATTTTTTAGGCACACACTCATACATTACTCCACCCATACACTCTGTCGAGAGACATCTTCCTGTTTGAATATATGGAGGAAATACTCCTTTTTTCATTTTAACCCATTCAGTTTTCATTTTACACTGCCAAGGTTCTAAGGCTGATATAGAACGTTTCTCAATTCTCTTGTCTTCACGATGTGTTCTGTTGTTATGATACATCGTGGCTTCAGTGCCTTTAAAGCTGCGTTTGTATTCTACTGGAGTATAGTAAGGCTCCGTTTCAACAGAGTCTGTAAACAAAGACGTGTCATCCACATCCACTGACGTAGCGTCTGTAAATGCTGCCTCCTCATACCCGATAAGCTGAGCTGCAGTCCTATCAATTTCATCACTACTATCCAGCACATCTTCCTTTCTATTGTGTTTTTTACCCTTACGTGATTGCTTATTTTTTCTTTGTTTTTTTCTTTTCCGATTTTTTCTGCCTTTTCGCAGTTTCATTCTAGAATCATCAAAAGCTGTTCCAAGACGTCGCTTTAACTCGCCTTCTGAGAGACTTTCACATGCAGCGATCTCTAGTAAACTAGATGCACGTTTCCTGATGTGTTTGTTCATAGTTTTTTGTGGATACGAAGACGTGGCTACAGACATAAGTACTATCATCAACAGCACAGCTAGCACTGTTCCATACAAGCATCTCGATTCCTGGAAAAATATATGGATCATTTTATTGGTGATCTACTGGTAGTAGTGAATATGAGGCATCCGTCATTTTATTCTTATGCATTGTATTTTACGAAAATTACAAATAATTGTAATTGTTCTGTTTAGTCACAATATTGCCTTCCTGTGTGGAATCTGATGTGACAGGGATCTCATTCAATATGTAAACATAAGTGCAAGGGCAAGAACATTAAAGAGAATTAAAGGCAGAATCAGATCTGTAGGGGGTGACAAAATTACAAGCAACTTGTATAATTGGCCTACCAATCTATTCCTTACAATATCAAATACAATACCTCCCAAAAAGATTCACAATATGTTATAATTGTTGAAGTTATTAATGATTCAAAGTGCAAAATTTGGTGAAAAATGTAAAATTCTCCCAAATAATAAGAATGGTAACTATTCTTATACAAAAATAATACATTATTGTAAAAATCTTTGGTTTTCCTTGAATAAGGTATGCACTTTGACAAGGAATGACATGAGCCTAAAATATTCTAAAATTCTAAAATTGTTTAGTCCGTTCGCTATATCCGATTCTCTCTTTAAAGCACAGTTGAAAAGTAACATTTAAAAAAGTGTACCATGAAAACAGACCCCAACATCCCAAACAATGATATAACATGCAAAAATGTCTAAATCTAATTTTAAACTTATAGATACGTCGACAATTTGTCAATTAAACCAGTTATTTAACTCCCATGTCGTTTCTTTTTATTTTGAATCCATCCATCAATGATATCAAGTATCAAAAGAAATCGATTTGAGGAACTAGTCTGCCCGATGTAAATGATTTAAAGAGCGCCAAATGATTTTGATTGACTGGACGTTTCATAGCATCGATCAGTTAGTGAATGAAGCCTCAAAAGTATACAAAAGCACATGGCGGTTTCATTCTTCGCGACCAGTCCCGAACATCACTCTCTGGAATGTTGATTAGCATGTGACATAGTGGTGTCATGTCCTACTCATAAATGACCTTATTGCAATGTGGGAGAGATGTATACCATACAGGTGCACTCCTCACCATAAGCTTGGCAACTAAAAGTTTTCATTTGATAGAATAACAAAGCCTGTCAGTGTGTTAATCTTAATTGTGTTCCTAAATTATAAAAATTCGGGAATTCATGACAAGCTTGATGATTTTTTCAAATTGACAAACGTAAACAGGTTTTGGAAAGTGATCCAAAATAGGACTTCCGATTAACAGACTTATTGAGGGGAGTGTATATTACAAACAAGGCATTAACATGCCAAAATGTCACCACCTAAAACAATTTGGTCAATTTAAAGCAAGTTGAAAAAATACCTCTTTGACTTTTTTTGACATTGAGAAGGTCATTGAAGGTCAAATGTCAAATGTAAAGTCAGATTTGAACTTCTGAGAACATGTAGATGATTTTGAAAAAAAAATTAAGTAAATTTGAAGCAAGTTGAAAAAAGACCTTTTTGACCTTGAAAAGGTCATTGAGGGTCAAATGGCAAACCTAAAGTCAGATTTGAACTTCTGAGAACATGTAGATGATTTTGAAAAAAAAATTAAGTAAATCTGAAGCAAGTTGAAAAAAGACCTTTTTGACCTTGAAGGTCAAAGGTCAAATCTAAAGTCAGATTTGAACTTCTGAGAACTTGTAAAGTCAAATTTGAACTTCTGAAAAGATGTAGATGATTTTGAAAAAAAAATTTGGTCAATTTGAAGCAAGTTGAAAACAGACCTTTTTGACCTTTTTTGACCTTGAGAAGGTCATTAAAGGTGTAATGTCAAATCTAAAGACAGATTTGAATTTCTGAGAACATGTAGATGATTTTGAAAAAAAAATTAGTCAATTTGAAGCAAGTTGAAAAAAGACCTTTTTGACCTTTTTTGACCTTGAGAAGGTCATTGAAGGTCAAATGTCAAATCTAAAGTCAAATCTTAAGTCATATTTGAATTTCTGAGAACATGTAGATGGTTTTGAAAAAAAAATTTAGTCAATTTGAAGCAAGATGAAAAAATACCTTTTTGACCTTTTTTGACATTGAGAAGGTCATTGAAGGTCAAATGTCAAATCTAAAGTCAGATTTGAAATTCTGATAACATGTAGATGATTTTGAAAAAAAAATTTAGTCAATTTGAAGCAAGTTGAAAAAAGACCTTTTTGACCTTTTTTGACTTTGAGAAGGTCATTGAAGGTCAAATGTCAAATCTTAAGTCAAATCTAAAGTCAGATTTGAATTTCTGAGAACACGTAGATGATTTTGAAAAAAATTTTTAGTCAATTTGAAGCAAGTTGAAAACAGACCTTTTTGACCTTTTTTGACCTTGAGAAGGTCATTGAAGGTCAAATGTCAAATCTTAAGTCAAATCTTAAGTCAGATTTGAATTTCTGAGAACACGTAGATGATTTTGAAAAAAAATTTTAGTCAATTTGAAGCAAGTTGAAAACAGACCTTTTTGACCTTGAAGGTCATTGAAGGTCAAATGTCAAATCTAAAGTCAGATTTGAAGGTCAAATGTCAAATCTAAAGTCAGATTTGAATTTCTGAGAACATGTAGATGATTTTGAAAAAAAATTTAGTCAATGTGAAGCAAGTTGAAAAAAGACCTTTTTGACCTTGAGAAGGTCATTGAAGGTCAAATGTCAAATCTAAAGTCAGATTTGAACTTCTGAGAACATGTAGATGATTTAGAAAAAAATTGAAGTCAATCTAAACAGTATTTGTTATGTTATAGGAAGTTGTAAGAAATTGTTACAGACGCCGGACGCCAACCGCCGGACGCCAACCGCCGGACGCCAACCACCAACCGCCGGACGCCGTCGCAAAAAAACGGAGACCATAACAATATGTCACCACTTTTGGTGGTGACATAAAAATGGGTGTCGGATATAGAACGGGACATTTATACTTTACCAGAGAAAGTAACATTTTAAATGTGTGGTGTTCGGATTTTTCTGATTATAAAACGAACGAGTGCGATCCTTGTAAATATGCAATTTAACACGTTAACCGTTGCATGTATTACTCATCGTAGATCAATGTCACTGGTGACAAAGACCTGAATAGGCTGTGGATCGGATACCACAATTTCATCTGCATATGTCAGGTTGTCAATTGTACCTCAAAATGAAAGTTAAATGATTTGACACAGACAAAATCCAGGTATGTTAGATTAGGTTGTGACTCGTCAATGTCTTAATAAAAGTACACGTGTAATATCCTGTCGACATTTATTTCGGGGGGTCACAAGCACGACCCAAACAACGAAAGTAAAATGTGAATATATGTATAGTTTTTTAAACTCACATCACAGCAGGCAGAATACGTGCGATAAAAAATGGAAGATGCCTTTGACCAGTCAGATCAAGGGAAAGATCAATACCCGGTGATTTCAGCGGGAAGTGGCGTTTCGTTCATTGGATGAGCTGCGCGCGCACGCATAAATGTGATTATCCAATATAATTAGGGGAGGGCTATTTGAAGTAGTTTTTGGTCTCAGGCGCGACCCAGGGCTGTTGTCTTAAGGACATTTTGTTGAAAATGAGCCATTCGGCTGATAATTGGTAAGAGTTTGCGATCTTATAATGTATAACTGTTACTCAGACACATATTTTGACACGATTCTGTTGGAAATAAGCTTTGAACCGAGAGATATTCACGATTGATATGCACATTTTTGATTGTGCCATTGCTTTTCTATTGCACAATCCATGTATTGATAGAAGAAACATTAATAATGCAGATTGGTTTACCTTCAATACATGGCAGACACTACATATCGGTCTATTAATACCAGTTTGTGCCTTAAATAGTTTTATATTTCCATCCACGGCCTGGAGCCTGGGTGTGTTTGTCTCTTATGTGTATGCTTGTGCATGGACTTCTAATCACTAGCAGAATTTAACATGATGCAAACTCGACATTATAACTCATGCTGTAACATTTTGACTTCGCTGGAAAACAATAGGAATTATTTTTCTTGCCAATCAATCATGAATCACAATCAAAATTTCAGAATGATCAATCAGGCAATGGTCCAAATCAAGTTATAACATTATATGATATTCAGCAAGAAGTCCGGTAGAAATACAGAATATTTAAACATCAAAGCTGAAAGTTAAAAGCTAATCTGTCAATTTTCTGTCTGCAAAAGAGCGTCCCAATTCTCGAAATCGTTGTTCCCTCTTCAAAAGAGAAGACGCGAAAATCTTTCCTTATAAGGGCAAAATATTTCCCATGATGCAGTTCGCGGAGGAACAAATTTCTACTTCCTTATTTTCCCTCATAGGTTTAACATGGGGATTTTCACACCTATTTTTCAAACGATATATTCGTTCATATTCCCGTACGAGAGTACAGAAAAAATTATAAGAAACGATTGATCTCTCATTAATCTTAATATAACAGCTATTTTTTCATTGTATTAATTCATAGCGTGGTGAAAACGATGATTGAAAAGTGAGAAAATATTCCGGAATAAAAGGTCACGTGATCAGTAGACTAGTCGCCATATTGGAAAAAACAATTCCATTCGACTTTCAATACTTTCATGCCAATCTTACCGCACTACAAACTGCGACATCGATGCAACAACTGAATAAAAGTATTCATCTTCAAATTACATTATAGAGTTACGTTGAAAACCCACAAACAACTGAGCAGTAGACCAAAGAAGACACGTCGCTATTATCTAGGTCAATCTGTTCAGTGGTCCGAAAGCAAATCTATAGTATTCGTTTCCAAATTTTGTTGTTCATTGTACAATCTTTTATTGATTAAACTCGGTATACTGACTATTAAAGCAATGACAAAGAAGAATACTTACGATGGTGTCATTGTTTTATTTAGCGTGCGGGTGTAAAAACAAAATTGAGTAATTAGTTTGATTGAGAACTTTCGTGTCATGCAAATAGCTACGCGAAATGCATAGTGGGAAAATATTGACCAATCAAATTTTGTCCTTTTTGAGTGATTTTTCAGTACATATTTGCGAACGTTCTGATTCAAAGAGCGAACCGCGAAAGGGAGAATAGCGTTTACATTTGACACAATAACAGACTGAGGCTTTGAAATCTAGGATTCCCCAGGAAAATATGACGTCATACTAATTAGCATAAGGATTTCCCTATTGGTGTGGGTCGAGCCTTGTTCGAAAACACAATCCATAAATACATGCTAATTTCTAAGGAGATAGGAAGTGTATAACGTGTTTATCGATTTTGTTTAAAGATTTAATCAATTATCAAATTGTTTAAGTGGATAAAGTGGTCACACTTGCTTCAATTCATAGCGAAATCGACGGATAGAAACTGACCGAAATCCCGATATCCTACCCCGTATTACTGTAGGCTATAAGCACAGTGACCTACAGAGGGCGCTATCACAAACAAGTACTGGACGAACCGATAAATTCCCGGGTATTGTAACGCCCTTGGTCAGATAAGGCATTAATCCAATCAATTTGTATCATATTGACCAATCAAATTTAGTCCTTTTTGAGTACATATTTGTTCCATATTTGCGAACGTTCCGATTAAAAGTGCGAACCGCGAAATGGAAAATTCTAACACAAAACACGAGTTTCTGCAAACATTCCTGCCAGGCAGTTCACAATCATCCTGATAGTCATTCCATATTTCTCATGATGGTTTACAATTAAGATTAACGTAGTTCCGTATGTCCAGAAATTGCGATGTCCTTCTAGTTGGAGTCTCATGGAATTTTTAGATACACAATATTTATTCCATTGGTACACATCTTTCATATCATCCACCGATCACAGGGCTTCAAAATCCAGAATATATTCTTTTTTTTATAATATTTTTTATTTCAAAGAATAAGCATGTTAAAGCAATTGCAAAAAACAATTACAGTACAGTTACATGGTAAACCTACATTTGACAATTTTTTATTCTTTTTTTTACCGAAGAAGGAGGTACGAATTCTGGATACCTGCTTAGGAGGATGCTTTCATATTTGCACAAAGAGTGCATGATACCTAATTATTAGTTGAGCATTGATAAAGATGTGGAAATCTAAAAAATAGGTACTGATCTATGGCGGATCCGGGGGGGGGGGCATGGGCCCCCCCCCCCTAAGGTTGGCCCAGAAAAAAAAAGTTGGGCCCAAAAAAAATTTAGGCCAAAAAAGGCTTAAGGCCCCAAAAAGTGGGCCTTTTGGTCATTATTGTGCCTTCTAAGGCCTTATTTTTTAAATTTTAGGCCAAATTTTGAAGAAAATGGGCCTCAAATTTTCAAAATTTGGGCCCACTTTTCGGTTTTAGGGGCCCAAAAAAATTTTCCGCGCACGCGCAAAGGTTTTTTCTCTGACCTCAAATTTGGGCCCCCCCCCACCTGTTGGTTCCTGGATCCGCCACTGCTGATAGTAACTGATTTTTCTGAATTTCCAAAAATGATTTACCCTCAACTTATATTAGAACGTGTGGAACGTGTGGAAGAAAGATTATGTACACTATTTAAGGATAACTCAGTTGAAACAGAAATACATTTTCTGTATAATTTTTTATTTACTTAAGTATTAGGAATAACGGATAGACATGTCGATGACCACAGTGTTAAGTCTTCATGGATAGGCTAAACATCTTAAATATTTCTTATATATCTTATATCTTATATATATCTTGTCTTATCAGAAATCTAATATGTAACAATAAACCAATTATAGCATCTTCTATATATCGTTTAACTTACCGTACATCATAAGGATTCCATTCTGATACTCATTACATCTTTCTGCCTTCAACTAGAAATCTTCTAGAGAGAAGCTAAAGGAAAACTATGATTTCTCATGATGAAGGATTCCACATATCACGGGACTTCATCCTAGATTTCTTTTTAGAATCATTTGAATAAAATCCTGCCCCGAGAGATAAATATATTGTATACCTTATTTTTTAAAACTAATTCCAGCTTGGAACAAAAGCAAATGGCAGGTGACCTTTCGGAATAATTAAACCCAATGGAACCAGTTTAATACACCAACGTCAAATATCCAAAGGTCGGTCCACTTGTCTTACCTTAAGGTAGTTCTGCATGTGCACAAAGTTTTAAGGCTTCTTAATTATCATGTTATTTTCAGTTGCATATTACTCATTCCATACATTTTCAGTTTTGAACAAAGATTACATAAATGTACATAGAATATTTAGTTTAGTTTATATATTTATCTCTAGTGGTCAGTCTTACAATTCAATATAAAAAATATTAATAACAATATTACTCAGCCCATCTTGGGCTTATTAACCACGGTTAACATTTATAAGATATAAGATATGTATATAAGAAATAAATAGATGTTTTAGCCTATCCATGAAGAGTTAACACTGTCGTCATCGACATGTCTATCCGTTATTCCTAACACTTAGTAAATAAAAAATTGTCACTAGTGAGTTCTGCTTCCTTGGACCTGATGCTATTTCACGAGTACATAGGCGGGTCAACCTCCGACTGTCTTCTGACAATTAATCATTGTTACAAGCAGTTTTTATTAACTACATATGTTTTGAATAAAATGCTTGACTCGCATTGAATGCTCAGTTCATATTTTATGCAGATGAGATTGTTCACCTGTTAAGTGGTCTATATGGGGTGTATCCGACACTTCACGTGCGAGAGTGAGCATTCAAAACTGACTTTCTAATATATTCTAGCAGGCCACTTTTACTGGCATCACTGAAGCGGTGAACAGTAATAATTGAGAAGCATAGACCCATCACTTTAAAGTCAAAAGGGGACAACGTCATCATATTTTCTATGTGATCAGACCAACTCGTATTCTATCTGATAAATATGTTTGTACCTGTATTGAATTTGCCGAAGATGCCGCATATTGGCCTGGTCAATCAGGGTTACTCGGCAAATGTTTTTTCGTGGCTATTGAGATGTCAACCAAATATCGACCTCTGGATTATAACCTGTGTTTCCACTTATAAGATCCAATAATTTAACAGTCATAATTGTAATCTCGTTTCTTGTAGTTTGTCTGGAGGGTATATTCACCTATATGTATTTGTTTTCATTCAAAAGAGCAAAGAATATTGATGGCAAATCGCTATTACAGTTTGCACGGCGATCAATTCAACGTGCCTGATAACTAAGGTATGCGTTTTGCTGAAACAATGCCGGCATTGAGAAAGCTAATGACTTAAGATACCAACCTATTTCTTTCAAAACAACTTTAAATTATTATGACATTTTTAATGGATTTCCAAGAATTAGAATGGAGATATTTTCGTTTCATTTTTATGTAAGTTTCTGATAACTAATCGGAGGAAAGAAGGTTTTGATTTTCATGACCAAGAGCAACATTCGAGAATGTTTTGCAAGAACCTCGAAACTTTCCTTGTTTTAACTGCCAGTCTTATCTCCCGATACTTCAACTGCAGTTCATTTTGCTTGTATACCCACTGGTAAATCAAGATGTTTAGCCTACTTCTCTCTCAAGAATGGTTGAATTACACTATTTATGCTGTAACCTCTGTGTATTATCATCGGATTCAGATAATTAGCCACAGCTTCTTTCATTCACGTTTTTGTGTCTTATGATATCTTTTATTCACAATTCTCAAAATAATATACTTTCCATCAAAAGTAGAATTCAATCAATAGTTCAATGGGTCTAGTCATTGTCAACGCTGGCTATCACCGACTCCGTGCCCAAATCAATTATTCTTGCACTCGCATATTATATCTTTGACATTTGTTGTTTTGAGTGATTTTCTGCAAGTGGAGAATCAATATCTACGATTGATCAAACGTTGCTTTCTGTCTAGCCTTACAATCAAATATAAAATTGGAATCTATAAAATATGGAATCAGTTACTAAAATGAATTTGTTAATGGGTCATTTTCTCAAAATATCACAACAAGATTCTTTCCCGTCATTGGTATTATCGCAACAACTGACCTGACTATAGATGATACTGATTTACAGATGTTTAAACCCGTTGTATAGGAATAGAAGACTAGTCTTCAAAAAATCCCTCCTGTCATCCCTTTACCGTAGGGAATCATAGGGAGGTTAATCCCAAGGACCTTCTGCCAGCGTCTATTGACTTAACAGACAGCCCAGGATATCCAGGGATTTGTCCCGAAATTTTACAAACGCGGGTACCTTTCACTTGAAATCCTACAATTTATTTAAACAAACAAAAAGGTATCTGACGTTTTTTTAAACTAAAGATTGATATAACACTACTTTTAAATAAAGCAAAATGGATTTTCGGACTTACATCATATCTCCTCATTATTCACATGCTTGAGTATAAATCCACTTCTGGAGTGGTCTGTGGTTCCCTTGTCTTGTCAGCTTTCTGTCCATCCTCCTTTATACCTTACAAGTTCACTCCTGTGAGAGTCATTGAGCACAATTTGCCTCAAACAACTTGGAACGAGATCGATTGAGAAACACTACCCCAGTATTCTTTTAATGCAAACAATAAAATGGTATTTATATCCCTGGTTCATAAATCCATTCGTGACATAACATAATCTTTCTAGAAAACGCCTTCTTTGTTAATCCAAGTGACATTTGTCTCTTCCGCGTCACATGAAACATTATTAATATCCCATGGTTTGGCTGGAATTGCTTCAATATTCGTGTTGTAATCCATGGCTTATTACATGACGTAGAATTGAAGCTTAACGTTGTAGGCGGCTCTCTCACAAAACTCCTTCACTTCATAGATATAACAACGATCAAATTATGGCAAGATTAACTGTAAAAGTCAAAAATATAATATGTTTTATACTGTCAGTGGTTTGAATAGCGAACTATATTGGACGCGTGCCTTCTATAGTCTCTGGCTAAACGCTTGACGGGAACATGTGAAAACATATTGTACTTCTATACGAACATGATTGTAAGATGGATTGACATTAGCAACCGCCGAATGCACACAAAACACTAAAATAGATAGATGAATTAAAACGGTACCTTAGACATTTCCGTGGAGCGAGTGACCGTGAAATGTTGAAGCTTGGCCAATGCGGAAGTGTTCTACGTGTAGGTGCGTTCATTGTTTCTCAACTGCATTAAGTAGTCATCTCCGGAGCATCTCTCGTTGCCTTTCTAAATCCACGTACGACAGACAACCTAGTCTTCAATATATGAATGTAAGCAGTAGTATTTGTTGAGAATAAGCTCTCTTTTATCCTAGGTAAACAAAGTAAATTTAGATAGACCTAGTAACTTTATTAAAGCAAATGCGCTGGTGATAGCCAAGACTCGATCCTTTTATTCTTATTCGATCTTCTTCACTAAATATTTTCCAATTATCTATGTTGACTCTAGGTGCACTTTGAAGGCAGATTCTTTCATGTTTTGTTGGCAGCCCAAACTTAAATTCTAACAAAATGACTAAAGTTGCGACCATCAATGTAAACATGACACCGAACAGCCCAGTCACTATCTTATTGGAATTTTTTATTAGCATGTAAAAATGTAAAAATCACACGCTTGTATTCAATGCTTTAATAATTGTGTATATTATCTGGCGTCAAATACGAAGTAGCATATTTACCAAGGTCTCCAGCTTCAAAGGATTGCATATTCGCCGCTTCCGCAGTATCTATCCCATGTTTTGTTGATTTACTTGTATATATTGGTCCCAGTTACTTCTTATCTCGTCCTATCTTATATTAGAGTGCAGAATATTGACAAAAAATATAACGAAGCAACATGTGTGATATCGGCCTTCGTTTCATTTTGGTATGAAGAAATGTTGAATTGGACATTAAACTATGTCACAACGAAGAAGATGTGACATCTAGTTATAATGGCCTCAATGTTAAAGCTGACCGGCGGTTGGTGGTTGTAACATATTGTTTTATAAACATTTACGGGTGTTGAGATTCAATCCTTGTATATTCATGCCTTATATATTTTCCCTCATTGCACAATTCAGTTTCGGTTTTTGGAAATGCTGGGAACGAACAACACGTTCTCGATCTATGACCGATATTGACAGAATTAATTTGCATTACGCAGACGGAACATGAACTTGTTTTGATGATGTGTTTTTATAACAGTGGTGCTTATATCTTTCTTCATAAACTCGGTCGGCTACTCTGTTCGCTCGTTTGTCATGTCCAGTTATGTCATTGTATACTGTACAACAAATGCAATTTAGAATTATATTCTCGTGTTCATTTTTCATGACAAGGTTCATACAACCTTTTTAAAGTAATATTTCCTGACAACAATCGTTGATGTGTTCCCGATCAATCATCAAAAGGTATGTACCATAGGCTACATGTTCAATAAGCTTGAATTGATCCCAAGAATATTCTATAAGTAGGTCAAAATAGGCATAGATCTGTGGATTTGCGGAAAATGGTCATTTTATTTCAAAAAGTAATGGCTCCCTTCGACCTATAATATTGTATAGCCTACATCAAAAAAGATTTTTTTCTAAGATGTCCATCTTCGGAAGAATTGAAAAGAGTATGTCCATTTTTCCAAACTTTAGCCAAATGTCCAAAAACATAGTCGTGGAATAAATTCATAATTTTTACATCTTTATCGAAAATTATCATGATCTTATTTTGTGTAATAAGATATTGTCAGGTTGTTACAACCTTAGAAAAGAAAATTACTAACTCTCGTTACTAAATTTCTGTTAAACCGCAACATACACCCACTAGGATGTCCAGCGGCTTGTTTTTATAGTGTATATTATATAAGAATTATGAAATAAATAAATTGAATTGAATTGAAAATTGAATTCTCTCTGGTCTTTGTTGCGCATGAGTGAGCCATTTTACAGAGTATTTTTAACTTTAGACTCTTAGTTTTTCTGTGTGATTAACAATTAACATTTTTTTAGTTTTCAGAACAGTGACCTTTTCAAAAGGAATTATCAATCGATTATTGGAGTATTTTGTGTTCGTGTACCTCTTTGAATATTGAACATTTGAACAATGTGAACCAGATGACCAAGATTGGTATGGGATAAACATATTATCCTATAGTCGGTTCAGGATATATTATCCCTTGGCCAATATAATATATCTTCCCTCGGGACCTACGGTCCTACCTAAAAAATCCGCCCAATCCCGCTCATGAAAATCGTATTCACTTCCCGGGAATTTTTGATAAACAAAGCTGAAACTGTTTACCATATTGTTGAATTTTGTCATAATGTCATAAAGTTAAGTCATATTTTGTACACATAATATAGTCTGGTTTTGGTTCATACACAAATTAGTAATATGGATTACTAATGATCTTTATTCTACTACTGTACTGCCATCTTTCAATTGATCCACGTACATGTATGATGTGTTACTCTTAGTTTATTTGACATCACCTACTTATCTTTAATTATCCCAGGGTTACAAAGATATAGATCGAATATCAGTTGAAGATACATTTGATATGTGGATCAAGATATCATATTTTAGCAAAAAATCAACAAACCATCGATTATCACTATTCAAACCATCGGATATCACTTTCCAAAAGTGATATTCATGGTTTTAAAAGTGATATTCGATGAAATTTTTGTTTCCAAATTTTTCTCATATATGTTGTTTTTCAATAATTTTTTTCTCAAAAGCATTTTAGTAATATTTTTTTCAAAACGTTTTTTAAAATATATTTCTTCAGCATTTTTTACTATCTTTTTCAAATTTTTTTCTCAAAAAAACTTTTTTTGATTTTTTCGGTGGGTTAAGATCTCCCATGGGATAAACTGACAATCCTATTGTTTTTCAAAAATATCAATTAAATCAACTCATGGATATAAATGATATTTCTTAAAACCATAGGTAATTTCTATAATTACTTGTTCTTTCTCTATTGATCGTAATTCTATAGTCTTGCTTCAAGACCCTCGACCACCCCCCCCCCCCCCACCCTATCATCTTTTCATCATGTGTAATGTGTTGGAGAAGTAGATAGGGGGTATCCACAGTCTTGAAGGAAGACTAGTTATTCTAGGTATGGCAAGAAATCCCTTTATGCGAGTAGAAATAATCTTGATTTACGTCATTAAATATTCAAAATTCAGTCAAAGTGATGTCATATTTGAAATCTGCATGTAAAAGTACATCTAGAAATATGGTTTCGAAAATTGTTTATCAACTTTGAAAATTTAATTTTTTTTGAAAATGTGACTTCTTGTTCGGGTTGATTCCCCATAGACCCCATGATACAAAATCATAAAAAGTGAAATATCTTTTCTTGTATTGGAAAGATAACATTTTCTTTTACTGGACATATTTCAGTTAGCATAACTATTAGATACATAAGGGTTATATGAAAATTGAATCATTAAAACAGATGTGATTTAAGTTTCAGGGAACTTTCTCCTATACCCGCCATGCTATCTGACCCGAACGAGCCACCTGGTGGTGAATCTGGTAACTACCTACTCGCATCTGCGTTATTGTACTTTCAGACATATGGTCACATAATGCAAATGTGATACAATTTGACAATGTTCCAGTTGTATATTTATGTTTCAAAATGCCCTAAATGCTATCAACATTTTATGCCCTTTTTGGACAAATCTCAAATTCCCCTGACATTTCCAGCTGCTGCAAAAATAATTAAATTTTCTTTGTCATATTCATGTTTGTACAAACCCGCGTGGCGTTTTTTAACTATGAAAAGATAACTTCATCAACAAAAATAAAGATCTAAATGCTCTTTGTCCATGATTACTACTTATCAATTCATTTGTTTGATTGAAATTATATTTTAAACAAAGATATTATGTTTTGTCAAACAGAAATAGTAATAGGTAATATGTCGAGCGACATCTTTTTAAGCACAAGCAGTAATTGTAATTTGAGATGTAATTTTAGATCTTGTTTTGCATATGGCGTGGATTGGAAGACGTGAAATCGGTTGTAAATAATATCAAATAAAAGCAATCAAAATTTGAAAAAAAATGAATCCACTTGAGACAGATGATGGTGCAGATTCCTTAAATCAAAATTTGAAAAATAAATATTTCCGTATGTAGTGTGACGAGTCTGAAGGAATGTAATAGCCAACAGATCATCCATTTGCGTAATTTGTGGTACGGAACGTGGATATAGTGATCCAGATGGGCTACATAAGTTTGTGACATTAGTAGAAATAAATTCGAAATCCTTATCGTATAAGTATTGCGGAAAGTAATAGATGACGGTCATACAGTAATTAATTCTTTAAACATGCCACAAAAAGTGAAACAAACGTTCCTAGAAATGGAATTCTTAGTGATACGGAAACTGCCAGTGGGAATGCTGGGTAAATTGCATGGCGGTCATTTTGAATTTATAAGTGTGACAATTTAGCACTGTACATTTTGTCATACGCCTTTTAATGATCATAAAGTGTAATTTTCCATTAGATGTAGCAGTACAAGAACCTAAATTATTGGATCAATACCCAGAAGTGGCATTGCAGAATTACTGCAATATCGCGATCCTCTGTAGAATTCTCTGTCTATATAGAATACAGCAAGATATAAGCCAATATGCGCGATCACTGCTTCGCTCGTTATTGAACAAAATTAGACATAGAGGGTGTACAAATCTAGGATAGAGGCTAAACTTACGTCGATATATTCCAATGTAGGTAATACGATTCTGAGGAGGCGTGAGTAGCTGCCTGGGAAGATTACACGGCGTCGAGAAAGGTAAGTTCACCATATGGTGATCTCTTTTTCCTTAATCCTTCCGTATAGAAGATTTTTATGGACGCTAACAACATCAAATGAACTAGAGGCAAGTGGTTTTTGAGAGTGATATGTCACATATCGTTGACTTTTTATATTTTAACCATCTAAGAGCTATTTGGGCAAAACATCTACTTGTTTAACATATGTTCACCTTGTAAGCATTGGAACACGCTTTTTAAGAAAACACATGACTAATCTATAACAACAAGACCTACAATGCGAATAAAATGACAAATTAAGACAAGGCATTAACATGCAAAATGTCACCACCTGTCATTTGTTACAGGCGCCGGTCGCCAAACTCTGTTACAGACGCCGAACACCGTCCACAAAAATTTGGAGACTATAACAATATGTCACCACTTGTGGTGGTGACAGACAAACAAAAAATATTGACATAAATTGTACAGAACTAAAATGTAACACATAACATATGGGGCATCTGAGTTCAAAAATTAAAAGTTAATGAAATGTAGGTCACGTAGTCTTTTGTCCAAAAATAGCAGTATTAAGGGTTAGCTGGAATATAAAAAAGTATTTATTTGCTCACGTGTTATTTGCTTCGTGTCGGTTGAGTTTATTTGGTAATAATTCTATTTAAGGGGACGCCTCTTTTCGCTATACTAATGAATACTTACATTTCTCCATAGTTATTACTTTTAATCCTAAATTCATTTCCATATTAGATGGGATTTATCTGTTATTGAATACTGGATTTGACATGGCGTAAAAAATGTCGATATTTATTCAAAACATTGCCAGCTTTCAAAAGTTTGAATTCTTCATCCATTTCCGCCACTTAATTCTATAGTCTTGCTTCAAGACCCTCGACCCATACCCCCCCCCCCCTCCCTATCATATTTTCATCATGTGTAATGTGTTGGAAAAGTAGATAGGGGGGATCCACAGTCTTGTAGCAAGACTAGTAATTCTAGGTATGGCAAGACATCCCAATATGCCAAATTGTACTTTCAGAAATTTAAAAAATCATTATTGTGTCTTTATTCTAAAATTATATAATTGTATTAAAAAATCCTTAAATGTTCATCTCCATCGGTCAACATCGGCATATAATTTGCTGTATTAATAGTTTGGATACTGTTGACATTCCGCGCTTATAACGAGTGTATTCCTTTTATACTATGATCAGAGAGTAATTGTGTTTTGCAGATTCCCCTACAGTTACATTCAGCTTGATCGAGCACCCCTTAGCTGGGATGGCAGCTATTGTATCTGAACATGCAGCCAAGCTGGCTGCGAAGCTCATCCGGACGAAAAAACTTGACGATGACCGAATGGAGACTCCATTGAAACGGTGCCTCGGGACCGTTGATCTGACGTTATTGGGCATTGGGTCGATGGTGGGTGCTGGTCTGTATGTCTTGACTGGTACCGTCGTGAAGGATCTAGCAGGGCCTGGTGCAATTCTCTCATATCTGATAGCTGGGCTTGCTGCTATGTTATCTTCTCTCTGTTACGCAGAATTTGGTGCTAGAGTTCCAAAAGCTGGGAGTGCTTACACTTACACCTACGTCACAATGGGAGAGTTTTGGGCGTTCATTATAGGATGGAATGTGGTGTTAGAATATATGCTGGGACTTTCATCTGTTGCTCGCGCATTTAGTGGAACATTCGATTCATTCTTCAATGGTGCCATCAGGAACGGGACTATTAACGCTGTCGGTGAAATGCATGGGGACTGGCTGAGTCCCTACCCAGATTTCATCGCTGCCATCAGCATCATCATCGCACTAGTATGTGTTGCAGCAGGGGCGAAGATTTCTGTCAACTTCAACAGCATATTTACTGTGATCAATGTTGTTGCCATACTTACTATTTTGGGGGTAGGATTTTCATTTGCTGATATCAAAAACTGGCAGAACGAAGACACCGGTGGATTTCTACCATTTGGCTTCCAGGGAGTGTTTGCCGGTGCGGCCACGTTATTCTATTCGTATGTTGGATTTGATGCTATTGCAGTTGCTGGTGAAGAAGCGAAGGATCCTGCACGTTCTATACCGATAGCCACGGTTATTGCGATGCTGGTTGTCACGGTGCTCTACTTCTTAGGAACCTCTGCCCTCACGCTTATGGTTCCATATTACGCTGTGACTCCATCAGCGGCTTTTCCAGAAGCGTTCGCATCAAAAGGTGTGATGTGGTTCAAATACTTCATAGCTGCTGGATCACTGTTCGGTATCACTACTTCTCTCCTGACAACTGCATTTGCCATGCCACGAATCGTCTACGCAATGGCATCAGATGGACTGCTGTTTAGATCCCTAGCGAAAATTCACCCGAAAACACAAACTCCAATCATCGCCATATTTGTTTTTGGATTTTTAGCAGCAATACTAGCCTTTCTATTTGAAATCGACACACTGGTAGAGTTCCTGTCCATAGGGACCCTCTTAGCATTCACCATTGTTGCAATAAGCATCATTATACTTCGCTACCAGCCTATTACTAAATGTCAATTTGATTTAAAACCCGAGGAAGAAAAGGCTGAACAGCAAGGAGAAGACGGCGCTGCTTCCGATGGAAAAACACCAACAGATGAAAAGCCAATTGTACATTCTAAAAGCCACGATGATTTCGGACGTTTAAAACAAAGGTTAAAAACGTTCCCTGTGCTAAAAGATATCAATCCGGGAAATGCTGTTGCTTACTCTTGCGTTGTGATGTTGGTGGGGATGATGGGGTTCAATGGTTTGGTGCTTCACGGAACGGAGTACTTACAAAGCGCACAGTGGTGGGCAATCATCCTACTTCTGATCCTTACAACGCTAATCATAGCATGCTACCTAGTCATCATAGCACATGAGCAAAACACAAGCTTCCTAACATTCCAGGTAAGCCGTTAATAGATGCAGTTTATGATAAGGCACAAAGAGTACCTTCAGTATCAATGAAACGTGTCTTGTGGTCTTGTAAGTTTTTGCAGTTTGATTGTGACAGTGGTTCCTGAAAGGTAGATAGAGAGAGGCGGGGGTACCCCGGGGGGTACATATTGTATCGTATTTGGGATATTAGGGGTTTGTTGTTCTTGTATGACTGGCAACGCTTTGATATGTTTACATGCTGTATTTTGTTATACTCTTTTATCTTTTAGTATTTCTACTTACATGTTTACGGACAAACTGAAATCAGGTTTTGTATTAAGTAACTTATTTATGTCCTATTAATATTGCAACTTGGGTTTCTAATCACGATCGACTACAATGATAAAATGCCAGATAAAAGTAAATTTACAATATACATGTATTAAGGTGTATAATCACCATTGTATATTACATGCTCGGTGATAAAAGTGACAAATAAATTAGAGAAACATGATGACAGGGCAATAGGGATTAGCAACCTGTCAATTTATGCACTTAGCCGGAAACTGTATTAAAATAGATTAGTGTTCGTATTGTGGCTGAAGAAATGAGATCGTAAATCGATTCATTCGCGAGACGGGAGAATTCAATTATTTCTTATTTGTCTGATAGAAGAAAATGTCATAATCACACCATTGTTATCAAATGACTTCTAGATAATTGTCAAATATTACAGATTAAGTAATATCCAAACATAACTTTATCAGGTCTATTAGGAAATTGATTGGATGATTTGTTATTCATGGAGACACTTCATAAAATATTATTGAAATATTTAAAGGGAGTATCAGATCTAGCATACAACCCTACCAAATAATCCTTTAGGCTCATATCATTCCCTGTCGAGTCTTTTTCTATAATAGTTCCACTCTTTATTTGAGTAAAACTCAAGATATTTACAATAATGTGTTAATTTCTCCATAAATGTGGTTTCCACATTTATTAACTAAGGAGCATTCCAAACATTTGTGGCCAATTTGCACTTTGTACTTTCACCAAACATTTGCGTATTTTTAGAAATTATATTTCAGACGGTAAGGACTATATTGATAAGTCAATTGTACAATGTACACTTTGCTTGTCATCCCCCATAGCTCTGATTCTGCCTTTAATATAAACCACAATGTATTCCGTTTGACAGCAATCACCGGTTGCTCATGATGATTGATGCATTCAAATGCCCTTGTGATAAATCATGCCAAACTCCTTCCTTCTCAAGTCAGGAGATCATCTTTAGTATGAATAAAGTCAGAAAGTCCAAGGTAACCCTTGATCACTTTGACTTATAGGATACAATCTATTCTGAAACTGATAATCATTGCCAGTGAGAGATCTCTCTTCTTACATCGTGCAGGTTATCACGTTAAACCATGATGAGTACGATCCTTTTCCTAATCTCAAGTTCCTTGAGCCCTGATTACCGTTTGTAAGATTAAAAGATTTGTATAAGCACAACAATTGCAAGCCTTTCGGGGGACTGCGGTGGACAATCTAAAGTTCGATGGTTCGAACCCAGCGTGCTCCGTGTGTTTATTCATAATATATGATTAAATTAATATATTTTATGTAACTTGTCCAATGCCTTACGATTGTTTTGAATTACGTCCAAAAATTAAGCTATTTATATTTCTTCAACATTTGTGTTTATGGTTTGCTAAATGATGTATTTCTGTCGGTTGAAAAGTGTAATGTAAATACAAGAGCAATTATCTTTAGGAATGTTTTGCTGGTTGCTGATTCTTTCGGTTTAAATCAGCGTGTAAAAGTGGTACTTAAAGATATTTATAAATGCCAAATAATTGTAATAATACTTATTAGTAATAATAGTACTAGGTTATGTTGGTGAAACACGCACTTTTTATTTCCAGATCCCTGGTATTCCACTGATTCCTGCGTGCAGCATGTTCATTAACACAGCCATGATGTTAAAGTTGTCCTATCTTACATGGATACGACTAGCAGTGTGGTTGGCAATAGGTAAAACACATACATATGTTCATAACAGTGCTATAATATTAAAGTTGTCCTATCTTACATGGATACGACTAGCAGTGTGGTTGGCAATAGGTAAAACACATACATATGTTCATAACAGTGCTATAATATTAAAGTTGTCCTATCTTACATGGATACGACTAGCAGTGTGGTTCGCAATAGGTAAAACACATACATATGTTCATAACGGTGCTATAATATTAAAGTTGTCCTATCTTACATGGATACGACTGGCGGTATGGTTAGCAATAGGTAAAACACTATGTTCATAACAGTGCTATAATATTAAAGTTGTCCTATCTTATATGGATACGACTGGCGATATGGTTAGCAATAGGGAAAGTTAATATATTCATAATACTGTTATGATGTTTAAGTTGTCATATCTTACATAAATACAACAGGTAACTTACAATTGTATGGTAAAGCGTACTAAAGTCATTTCCATGTAAGACTTTATGGACATTCTGATACTCATAGCATCTTTCTGTTTCACCTGAAACATCTCAGGGCTGAGAAGAAAATGAGATGTCATGGTTTATCATGGTGCTTTATGGATATGATTGACGATGTGGTTAGCATAATAATAGTTACGTTCAAAGAGATAGCGGTTGAAGTTGTTTTATCCTACATGGAAACATCTCATTTTAAAGCAATCGATTATATATGTCCATGAATTCTGCCAATTGGAATTGTGGCAAATCACCCAATAAGAGGTTATCATACACAACCGTCCCGATAACTTGATTCGCAAGCTGCAAATTGAGATCTTTAGAATGATTTCCCATTAGACCATACTTTATCCATCCCGTCTAATCAATTATGTATGGTTTGCCTACCCAGCCATCATTATCGCTAATTTGTATTGTTATAATAATCATTATTTTCAGGTCTGGTAATATATTTTGCCTATGGTATCCACCACAGTAGTGAGAATAAGGCACTTTCCGAATACAGTCAGATCATCTCATATGCTGGCCCAAGCATGGACAGCGTATACAAGATGGAGGAAGACGCGAAGAAACAACAACCCGACGCCAAGGCTCCTCCACCAAAGGCTGCACCAGTTGAACTTCCACAAAGTTCTTCCAGCGACGAGGAGTAATCTCATATGGGTGGTGTTACACCCCCCCCCCCCTCATTAAGTTTAACAATCGGAGGTTCCCATTGGAATTTGGATGACATATCAAAGCTTGCTTATGTTTAAATATTTTTATTTTTGGCTTTGATGTGTGATCTTAACTAAGGGTACTCATGGTTGTCCGACTGGTAGAGAGGAGTGTACTTGTGATGCTATATACGTCCACCGTTGTCCACGAGGTCACTTCTAGAAAATATATATAGTGGAATTATGATGAAATGGGATCAGTAGCAGACCTCTGATGACAACATTGTTAAAATAAAACACGATTTAGAATTATGTTTACATGAAAAATCAAATAAACCTCTAATATGATGTAATTGATATAATGATATAAGTGTGTATATAAAATGATCTGCATATGATCATGCAATGTTCATCTTCTGATAAGCCCAAAAGTGTTTCATATAAGTTTTTGAATGATGGAATGATTCAGACAAAAACATTGGTAGCCTGTGGTAGCCTTTTTGTTTTATAGAATGGTTTCTTTTTACGAGAAGATCATAATAATATCTAATATCAGTGATCAGTACCTTTATCATTGTTTCAACATGTGACGAATAGCTTTTATTTATGAAGTGTACGTACTATATAAAAGTTATTGTTTGAAATGAAGATATTAATACTGGTGTACCATCTGTTCTTATAATCCAAATATTATATGCACACTCCCTTCCATAAATGTGGAAATCAAATATAACTTGTTCCCCGGGCTTGTTCCCCGTTGTGTGACTGGACAGTGGACATTTTTTGTGAAACCCTGCTGTTGATAAACCCATGAATATATTCAGAGGGAGAATTAGTCAAAATAAGGACAACTACTCTTGCCACACGGGCCTTTCCCATTTCTAATAAATCTAGTAACTGTAAAAACTGATTTGGTTAGTGAAACGGTTTATTTACCTTCGTTTAGCAGCAGGGTGACCCCATTGGATAATGTGTTAAAACCGTTTGTGTTTGACGTTCCTCAATTACAATTGGTCGACTCTGATGGACTATAAGCAAGTGGTCCAAAGAAGATTGCAAACGTTTTAGCGGATGTGTACAAAGATCCCTTTATTTTATTCAGGTCATATGAATTCATGAATAAGATGGATAAGATACGGGTTTAGATTCTTGAACATGTTCTATTTATGATTCCATTATTTTTATCTTTTAACAATGTTTTCTAATTTAATGTTTGGTAGAAAATGCAAGGTATATATAATATTGAGAATACCTTATTGGTGTACAGTCCAATGTAATTCAATGGGGCGGGAGATTTTCATGAATTATGGAAGGGATGTACATAAGCCAAATGTGCGTTTGATATACGATAATATATCTTTAATATAAGAATGTAATATAATGGTTGTTATGAATATATCATAATGAATTCGAAGGTACAATCCAAAATTGAAAGTGCTGATTCCTTTTGTTTAATTATAATCATAATCTGGAATTAACCTGAGACTACATAAAATGTATATGTTAGTCTCAGGATTAACATACTGTGTTTAATAACTTAATTACAAACAGCAGTCTTAATTCAAATTGAATCATGGAATTAAGATAGGCATCATGCAGGGTGACCTATTTTGAAGTACTTTATTTTGTTTTACTTTTAAAAGACACCATGTGTGCGTATCGATCCTTGATTGTGAAACCAATCGATGATTATTTTTTTAAATAGAACAACCAAACGACGGTCAACAAGGGTCTTCGAATGGCATTATGCATATACTGTACATGTAAATGTGATGTTGATTTAGAGAAAATGGAATCGAATAAACATCAAATATACTATTTTGTGAATCATATAATTGTGATGAATTACTATAAAAGTGTATGAATATGATTGGTATGCGTGTAAATGTGATGAAATACAATAATTGTACTTAAATCTACCTTTTTTGTTCTTTCAATATCTTGTTGGTATGAATACTACTTCATTGTAATTGTACGAGAAAGTATACAAAACTGGTTTTTAAATATCGAATTATGTTTATTCCAAGAACCGTTGACTCGTTTTAAAAGAACACACCACAACAGATATATTTGATCCACTAAGTTGTCAGTCAGTGCAGCTCAGCTCGATCAGTTCAACTTTATTTCCTCCAAATAAGTAAAGGCCCAGTAAAGCCATGTTGAGAACTTTGGAAAAACATTTCACTGCAGGGACCCCCACGAAACAAAAAAAAGTTACTGCACGGGGACCCCCACATTCCCGAATTCTGTGACCCCTTGCAACCTATTGATATTTATCTACGTTTGTCTGCAAATCATCACCGTTTTCTTAAAGATGTATCTGAGGAAACAAATTACGATCAAAAGAGCATTCTATTAAAATGTTAAAAACTTTTGCAATGAGTACATTACAACCTAGAGAGACTATGTAAATAAAACAAAATCCTCCCATACGATAGACGCTCCCCTATGGGAGCATATTCCAAGCTAGTCTCTCAGGTTGTAATGTCCGGTGGCAGATTGCAGTACAAGTCCCTTAGCGCAGTTATTCTTCGGTAATGGCGTTGAGCAGACTGTCAATAGAGGAATAGATGGCGAAGAATCCGAGTGGGTTTACAATTATATGAATATACACAGGGAGTGCCAAAATATTTTGCAACTTTTTTAGTAGGCTAGAAAAGTGTTTTTTTACAGAAACATTCCTTAAGCTAATACTGACTTCAATTTTTTTGTCAGATGTTTGAATATTAATGGTAAATTGCTCATGTGTCCGAGATTTACCATTTTTCCTAGAAAATGTGACTTCATATGTCAATAGTCAATACTTGTTGCAAATTTTTTTGGCACACCCTGTACATAGGGGAACATGGGGCAAAACGGCCCTCTGGCCGGGCAAAGTGGCCCATCGAAATATCTTTTGAACTATAAAAAGATGGTTCTTCAAAAGTCACATAATCGAATTTTGAAATTTCTGCCACCTTCTCGACGTGGCCCATTTTTAACCAAGCAGCGTCTCGCTTTAAGTAAGAGGTAATTCTACTTTTCACCCTCTTTTTGTAAATTACCCTTCCAACGAGAATCTCTAAAAAATCCGGAAACAGTAGAATATCTTTTTGATTTAACATCTTACATAGAGTATGCACATTTTTTATTCTTTATTTGTAAAAATTTCGAGCTTCAAATATTAGGCAAATTAAAATGACGTCTATTTGAAAATTCACATGTCTTTGGGGCAAAACGGCCCACACATGTTATAACATACAAAAATCTTATTGTGCAAGAACAATTGGTTTTCAAATATAACGATTTTAACATTTGGCTTCCTTATTTCCTTCCGACACATATCGAATGACTAGAATTATGGTAGGGGTTAAGAATACTTTATCTGTCAAAGGTTTGAACGTCTGGGATAATATGTGTGTGGACGAGTCTTGTAATTGATTAATTCTGGTTTTAAAATCCATGTAACAGAGGGTGGGCCCTTTTGCCCCACCCATGGGCCGTTTTGCCCCACTCTCGACACTATTTTTGACCCGGGGATTTTTGACCATTGAAAAATCAAAGAAGATAGTCCTAGGAAAGTATAAAACACTCGAAAAATGTAAACCACAAACCATTGATAAAGGGGAACATCAAAGTGCGCGATGATTGACAGATAAGAAAATACCCCGTACAGAACAACTTTAAATTAAATTTTTAGGGCCGTTTTGCCCCGTGTTCCCTTACGCAGATCTCCCATTTCGAACCTACATTATCTTTCAGAGAATTGGGCCCAAAATGTTCTTTAATAAGGATCTCGCCTGGTGTGTTGGGGTTTGTTCAAACTTGGTACCCGCTGCCCGGTCGAAAAAACCGCCTGGACCCAAAAAAACGAAATCTGCGGGTATCGATATACAAAAACCGGATCCGCCAGGGGTTCACTCTGGCCAATTTTTGCTTTGGGCATCAACCATGGAAACCGGCCAATTAAATCTGAGAGGAAAAACACATGGAAAAAGTTGTTTCCTATCAATATAACAACTTCGTTTATTAATCCGTGTTGTCCATACAGCTGATTGCCGCTCTTCAGATTTGAAGATCGTGACGTCACTAGTTAAGAATAAAAAAGCGAAAGATCAGAGGTTTGTATTGCATTTACACCTTATTTAATTGCAATATTACTTCAAAAGATGGTGTATATTAAGGACATAACAATGAATTGATGTTCAGTTGTATTACCCTTCAATTTTGATCAAAATTTGAAGATATATCGCTCGAATAATCATATTTGTTTTTTAGTCTAATTTATTTTAGACAGGTGAGTGAGGACCCGTTTTATTTTTTATTCATATGATTCAATTCAAATTCGTGTTCAAACTGCAACCAGGCTCCGGGTGACCCTGGCTCTTATTGGTTACAATGTTCCTAATTATTCGTTGCAACAATAGGAGTTGGGACGTGCATCGACCTCAGGAGTCTGGTTCACAGTGAACAGAAGCATTTATTGGAGACCCTATCTGTTGCAAGACTAACGCCTGGCGTAACCGTCACCATGTTATTCAGAGTTTTTTAAGTAGCGCAAGGATCCTGCCATGACCGTGGTAATGTTATCGTGAAAGCCTGGTATAACCGCGACAATGCTGTATTATATTGCAATGCCTGCCATGACCGTGACAATGTAATATAGTTCTGCAAGGCTTGGTATGACCGTAACAATGTAATATAGTACTGCAAGGCCTGGCATGATCGTGACAATGTAATATAGTATTGCAAGTTCAGGTATGAGAGTTAAGTGGTAATGTAGAAATTTATGATTGCTATAATTGACCGTGACAATGTGTATTTGAAAACCTGGCATGACCATGACAATGTATTATGGGATCGCAAAGCCTGGTATGACCGTGACAATGTAATATAGTATTGCAAGGCCAGGTATGAGGGTGGTAATGTAGAGATTTAGGCTTAGTTCTACTATGACCGTTATAATGTATTGCAATGACTAGTAAATATGTATGACATTAATGCCAGGAATATCCTTAACAATTTTAAGTGATCCTCATTACAATTAAACAGTTAATACTATGATCATGGTGTTTAACTACCTTAATCATGTCAAAATCAAAATTACTACTATACATTAATATTCACATTCGCTTATAAACCACAATAAAGGCTACGGTCGCGCCCGGCTTCCACGATAACACTTCCAGGGTCATGACCGGCCTTGTAATAGAATACAGCATTGTCACGGTTATACCAGCCTGTCACAGTTATACCAGGCTTACACGATAACACTACCACGGTCATGGCAGGATCCTTGCGCTACTTAAAAAACACTGATTAACATGGTGACGGTTGTGGCAGGCGTAAGTCTTGCAATAGATAGCATGTGATTTATTGACATACATGGCGTAGAATTAACTGAACACAGCTGGCTCAATGACTTCTCTCAGCTCGGTAGAGTAACGTAGAATAATGGAAATAGAGTCTAGTTGAAAGCCCATGGACTGATGAATCTCGGATCCAACTATGTCATAAAATGGCGGAAATCAAAATATTCACAAATTTGGCGGATAGATTATTCAGCAAAAATTAAATACGATTTTCATATAGTACGTACATCACTATAGTAGAATATGATGAATCCTTAGTATTTAGAGATTATTAGATCATTAACGAATGGTTTGAAATGAAGGCGATATGCCGTTTTTTTAAAGTTCATAATCGCGGCGGCCAATGGGAGATTTAATCAATTAATCCCAAAAATGAGCATATTCAATGGCGGACATGGATAGATTATGGGTACATCCAGCTATTTTATATATCAAAACATCTGTATCGATCTATATTTAACAAAAACCCGATGGATCCTAAGAAGTGAGTCATTTGCTTAAAAGTTGTTTCAATTTTAAATTCTGATGAAGGCTTTCTATTGAAATCTGTGGGTGGACCATGAAATGCTGATTTTCATGCATGCGTTGTGTTGTTATTTCCATTATTCTACGCCATGGGCAAGCACCCCTTTTGTTATTATTTATTTACCAGAAGTGTGGAAAGCCCAGAGGTCTTAGACTGAACACTCAGATAACAATATGTTCCCATATCAATCTGTCAAATTTCAATACGTTCCCATACCATCACATCCCCTCCTAACTATAACTGCCACCATCTGGCCACCAGATCTGGCAGATTTGGTCTTATTCCAGACCAAAAAATTTCAAAACACACAAGAGGTGATCAGGATATTAGTATAAATTGTTAAGCCATAATTTATTGTAAATCTTGAACATTTTGCATGCTAAAATCTTACAATATTTCAATTTTTCAGTTTATATGAGGATCCACCAATGATGTGCTATATGTGTAGGTGACTAAAGCAATGAGATTGTGATATACCAGGAGAAAGGAAGTGGAAGTTATGAGATAGGTGCTACTTTTAATGGAGAAATTTAACGATACTGTTTCCTGGTACCAAGCCAAGGTAAATAGTGAATACTAAGTCTTTATACACAATGTTTAGATCCTTGGACCTATGAAAGAAGTTCGAAAAGCCAGATAGTTAGCATTTTGATACACATGGCCACTTCATATTGAACTTATCAAAGAGGGATGGATAATTCTAGCAATGTTTAAGTTATAAATGATGTGAGGGTTTTGTATGCCATTCTGCCTATTGATTCTTCAAAGAATGGTCAATGATTTTGAAATTAGTTCTTGAAATTAGTTAGCCTCATTATATATTTTCTTCTAATAAAACAATCATAGTCTTCCCTGGTCTCAGTAGTGTAGGGATATAATTTTGACAGTTGACCTTTGGAGAGGTCAATAGTTATTCATAGTTATGATCAATAATTTATTTTATTTAGATCGGAGCGTATGACAAACAGCTGTGGGAAAAATCTGTGGAACAGACAGTTCTAAAGGTAAATCTTTACTAAAAGGGCAACATTTTATGATGTACATTATAAAATATTGCAAACATCTAATTCATATTAGTTTAATGAAAACACAGAATGGAATACTGCGCTAAGGGTTAGTGTGAAAAAGTCAGTCTACCCTGGTAGGGATAAAATTGTTTTCTTATGCCATATTCAGTTGATTTTAAACCCCAAAAAATGCGTACAAATGACAAGTTTGGTTAAGATCAGTTGCCAAAGCCATTTATTAACATACAATAATTTAATATTCTTCTTGCTAATCTTATCGCAGTGAGATTAGTCAAAGTGACAAGAGTAATAATATAAAACACAAAATAACTCTGATATCTATAAGAGCTATATATAAATTGTCAGATGAAGACCAATGTAATTGTTTTTCAATTTGTTATCTAGGGACTTCATAATGTCCGCAAGAAAGCTGCAAAGGCAAAGACCGAGTTGATTGATGTGGACCTGGTCAGAGGTAAGAATATTAAGAGGTATTAAAGACTGACTCTTGTTAATTAGTTAATAGTCTATTCTGATTAGAATGAACTAAGATGAAACATACAAATAGATCTTTCGATGAATTCTCTTTTCTTTTGAAAACCCTCTGACACTATTATTGATTATCATTGTCCTAGCAAGAAGTTTGACTTCAGTTTGCTGTTTCCTTTTCCCAGAAAATGTTTACTCGTATTAGAATAGAGCAGGAAGGCTTCAGATATTCAATAAAAAAGTGCTTGTCTTTGACATGAACACAGTTGACACAGGCTTCTCGATTGTCCGTTGTAATCATCTCTAGTTGCACTGTAAAATGAGATAATGGTGATAAATTGCAAAACTATTGGAATTTATTTCCTTTCAGTCACCCCATGTCATCAGTCTTGATTATAAGATTACATTACAAGGATATATAATATAAGGGTTATGTACTGGGAGGTTTTGGATACAGGGTTTATCCCAAGGGAAATATGTGTATTTCCCGAGGGACCGCAGGGACTAAGATTTAAACTAAGATTTAATAAACTAAGATCTTTACAATTGAACCCTTCAAAGACTGTATCATGTCCAACGTACATGGGTAGGTGGGTATAAGGTAGGAGATTTTTATACAAAGCCCAATTTCCTTATTTGATTACATATCATTACATTATCTTGATTTGTATGATTAGGAGCCTTGGTCGAGATAACTAGGACTATCAATTTCACAATGATTATCAAATTGTTCCTTAAATTTCAAATTTTCTAGTGAATACAGCACCCTGTTGCTTTATTCAATGACTTGCATAATGCATCTTGTCCCATTTGATAAACTAACATGAACATTTATGTGTGATATTTTGTTATATTTTAGGGTCCACATTTACCAAAGCTAAGCCAGTTTCCGCATGGACTGCCGTGACCAGAAGGGGAATCGTAAGGGTCTTGTTCTTCCCACTTTTCTTCCAATGGTAAGTGATCCCATAAATTTGGGTTCATCTATACAATATAGTTGACATTGTAAGTGTTAAAATAATAAATTTTTGTAATTATAAACTTATTAACTGAATGATGCAGTACCAACAAGTGCAATGCCAGTAATATTCTGCCAATAAAAGTGTTTGCATTTTGATATGTGCACAAACGCTGGATAAACTGTGCAATATTTTACAAATAGATGTTTGCAGCTGTACATCATGTAAATTCCAATATAAAAAGTGACCGTTTTGCATGTTTATTTTACAAGTTAAATTTTGCAGTGTGTGGGTCTGCTACATACTTAGGATTTGTATCTCTTCAGGTGGAGAAAGCAGACATCTCCAAAGTTTTTCTTCTATCTTCTTGTTCTGTATATCCTGCAGTTGTTTTGCCTGGCTCTTTATGTGCTAGATTACCCAACAGGGATCACGGAGGTATTTTCACATTAACATTTTCACATTTAAAGTTTTGGGTTTGTTTTGAGTATAAATTATTCATAGAGGGGTTGACATAAAGCAAATACATAAAAGAGATTAATTATGACAGTCCTATGGACATATTCTCAATTCAGACTTTGACTTGTATTTCAAACCTTTCTGTGGATTTTCAGAAAGTCAGCATTGGAGAAGTTATCTGTCCCATTATGGTTATGTTCATACTTGGGACTCTACATTCTCAGATTGTTGCAACTCATCTAAGTCATCTGCCAAGGAGCTCATGTGCAAAGTAAGTACACATTTGAAGATATATTGATATGATCTTATAGACAGTAAGTAACTTTTGCATCATTGCCCCACGCGTTTGTAAGAATGATTTTATAAAGAACTTAAAACACTGACCAGGATAATGAGAGAGAGAAAGAGTAACATTAGAAAAGAAATGTGAACACTTGCTAATCTGAACACTTAGCCAGTCCCATTAACTGGCACTGAGATGTTTTACTGTACCTTGAATGTGGTACATATGGCAAACCAAGTTATAGTTTGTCTATGATTATTAATCCATGAATTCAATGTTGCAATGGTTTCTTTAGGAAAGCCTCTAAAAGAAAGAAGAAAGCAAGCAGCAGTACATCTGAGAGAGACAACATAAGCACAACTGCCAAGCTATGCAAACCAGTGGATTCTTGCCCAACTGTTCATATCCCTCAGCCCAGCATAACAAAGCAAAGCAGTGCAACCTTAGACCCTCTTAATACATCTAAGTGCCATATTGCTCCAGAAAATATCAACCGTAGTGAAGTATTTGAGCATTCTGGGAACACAGATAGTGATAATGCTCAAATTAAAGACAACTCTAGTGCAAAAACAGACAATGTAGAAAATGCTTCTAGAATTTTAAAGTTTCCTAATATCAGAAGAGAACGTGAAAAAGAAACTTCAAATTCTGATGATTTTGAGATTTTAAAGTCCAATGATTGCAATGAGCCAAAGGTGCAATCAAGGCATAATACTGAAGATGAAAGTTCAACTTTTGGGAACAATGTACCAATTGAAACAAATGGAGACAGGCAAATAAATAATAAATCTAATCTCAGTGTGCATAATGAAAGCGTAATGAAAACTCAAGTGCATCATCCAGTGAAAGAGGACTCAAGTGACAGAGACCAGAGGCTTTCTGATAATACTGAGTCTGAGAAGGAGACCCTGGATGAAGATGATCACACGACACTTAGATTAAAAGAAAGAAATAATCAAGATAAGATGACGCCATCTATCAGGAGACGGAGATCCAAAGGAAGTTTTTCTACTCCCAAAAGATCCGATCGGGTAAGATATATGATTTCTGGCTATATCAGATAGTTGGTCAAAATAGCTTATCAAATATGAAGTTTCATGGTAATTTGATGTTCAGTGTATTTATTAAGCCTTAAATAGGTACCATATTGTCAATGTTTCCTCAACGGATTGATTTGAAATATTTAGGGATGTGTCTTGGTATGAAAATCTAGAGCTGATTAGTTTTTGAGCATGCTACGTAGATTTTATCCTCCACATCACACAGCTGTTCTGTGAATAAATGGCACATTCAACCCAGGAGTTACTGAAGGGAACTCAAGTGGACCATGAATATATTAGGATATTGACAGTTTATGTGGCTTTAATTTTCAAGGTGATTTTGTAGTTTGAGGTTAAGGCCACTTGTCAACTAAAAATGCATGTGTGAACAATTCCTGTTTTGCTGGGCTGTTTCATTATATTTATTAATGACACTCACTTGTGTGGGTTGCAGGTTTCTTTTGAAAACATTAAAACTACTAATCCAGGAGCCCAGGTTCGACCAGGGTTCTTAAACCTACGTGCACGAGAAGCCAAGGAGCATATAGGGTTAAGTTCTTGTGAATCAGACACAGAAGGGTTAACACCCTCCACTCCTGGCTTTACAAGGGTGAGTGGATTTCATTTTAAAACTTAGTAACACAGCATAAGGAGGAAATATCCCAGAGTTCATAGCTGAACCTATATACCTGTAGAAGTTCATCTCTGCAAGGAAATAGGATTATCTATGAATTCTGGGGTATTCCCCTTTACCACAGTATTACTTCACTTTGTAATTTTTTGATTAAACTAAACAATGCAATTTGGTGGTGATTATGTTCATTAATATTGAGTTTCTTGAGGGAAAAGGTTGTAATACTTCTTTGGATTCCTTTCACATATGCATTATTATCCCATCGAACGAAGTTCGGAGGGATATAGGGAACGCCTCCGTCCGTCCGTCCGTCCGTCCGTCCGTCCGTACGTACGTCCGTCCGTCCGTCCGGGCAATAACTCAAATACCGTTCACCCGATTTTGTCCATATTTTGTACACATATACCTTATGAAGATAGAAGTTCTGCTCGAAAGCCGATTTTCAAAATGGCCGCTAATTACAAAATGGCGGCCATTTTAGTGCCGAATTTACAGTAATTTAGGTGCAATATGTAAAACTGTAATAGCAATATGTTTTAGATGTAAAAAAATTATATAGGACATTAATAAAGCTAGAAATGTAGATATTAAAGAAGCACATGGCAGCCATCTTGAAAAATGGCGGCCTTTACTCGTTATTTTACGATTTTTGCTGTAACTCGAATAGTAGTGGAGCGATTTTTTTCATATTTGGTATATGAATACTATAAACATTGCACACTGTCTAAAGACACTTTTGGTAGAAGGTGGCCATTTTAAAAAATGGCCGCCATTTTGAAAAATCGCCGCCATTTTAACCTATTTTACTATAACTGGAAAAGTAGTGAAGCGATTTTGTTCATATTTGGTATGTGAATACTATAAGCATGGCACACTGTCTAATGACACTTTTGGTAGAAGGCGGCCATTTTTCAAAATGGCCGCCATTTTAACGTATTTTACTATAACTCGAAAAGTAGTGGAGCGATTTTGGTCATATTTGGTATGTGAATACTAAAAGCATGACACACTGTCCTATGACACTTTTAGTAGAAGGTGGCCATTTTGAAAAAAAATTTGAAAAATGGCCGCCATTTTAACGTATTTTATAATAATTCGAAAAGTAGTGAAGCGATTTTGTTCATATTTGGTATGTGAATACTGTAAGCATGGCACACTGTCTAATGACACTTTGAAAAATGCCTGCCATTTTTGCTAAATACTTTGTTTGTAAAAATGCCATCCATGGCTGTTCGATGGGATTCGCTATGCTTTGGCGTTGCCGTTGTTCTTTTGTATTGTTCCATTACGTACTTGTAATTCAGATCCTAAATCACATGTCAAACTTTACTTTGAATTTCTAATTTGCAGTGTCAGTAGACTATGATACAAACTTGGTAGTCTTCTCTAAATTCATAAGCTTATAAAAAAAAGTTCAATATTGAGAATACATTTTTCAATGTTTAAAAAATAATTGATTTATTTTACATGTACATACTACATGGGAACTGTTTTCAAGCGATCAACACGAAATGTTTTAGGACCAGAATTATAGAGACACTCCTATTAAATACTATGTTGTTTTCACTGCATGGTCAAGCTATTTTATTATATAACATTTCTATGTTTTGAAACATGTAATGGAAATGAATTCAATTTGAATGAAATTGAATTTGAATGAATTGATTGGAATTGAATTTGAGTGAAATGGATTGAATTAACACTTTACATTGACATTTTACATTTTTCTCCTGCAACTAGATATTTGCTTAAAAATAACAAAATGTTGTTTGTTGCAGAATTTGTACAAGAGGGCAGAGAATGAATCCAAAAGTGTTGGTATTCTTGTATGTTTCAACACTCATTTAACCCTTCACCATCTTAATATAATTAATCATTAATTTTATTACATCTTTAGGCCTGGGGTTTTCATTATTTTGTTCAGTGCTATTACAGGGGCGTCCCTGGGTTTTTCCCAAGGGGGGTGTGTAAATATTTCAAGAAAAAGCAGTCTGTCATCATTGCTTGCACTTGAAGCCTAGCTTCTCCACCTTCTTGGCCAGAGCACCTAGATCTTTCCTCCAAGTCAACGCACCCCCCCCCCCATTTGGACGCCCATGTATTAAGATATATATCTGTGTCTGTACATGTAATGTGATAGAGAGACATTTTCTTTTGTATGACTATAATAGCTAGATATTCAATGAACCACTAATTTAACAGATCGGGTTGTCAATCACAGTAGCTTGTGTAGTGGTGCCGTATTTTAAAATTGCATGGCATATTATGGCTCATGTCTTGTATATTCATTTCTAATGTAGCATACATGTATATTATACTAAACCTCTTTTATTGTATAGAGGATTCGCACAAAACCCTTCCTCTCATATTTACCAGTATTAAAATATCTAAAATCTACACTATCTGAAGTTTCCATTGTGATTAAAGTGAACCTTCACTGTTATCTAAAAGAGATGCATTCTTTTAGACCCATTTACTTACTAAAATAACTGCTATGGGTTTGACCAATTAATCGCCTTAATTGCATTATCTGCCTATTCTGAATCTCTGGGCACATTCCATAGTATGGTAATATCAAGGGGCATGGGTACCACAGTCAGTGCCATCTATCATATACCTAGAATCATAAGGAGTGAAGTCTGGTAACTTGAAAATCTCTAGAAATTTCCATAAATTCTAGGAAATTAAAAACAGATAAAAAAAGAAACATATCTAAGAATAATTCAAAAACATTAGCGTAGGTTGATTTCTAGGTTCGAAAAAATAGGTGTCATCAAAAATCAGGAAGTGGAAAACAGTTTCCAGATTGCACTCTACGATAACAGATATAGGATATAGATGGGGCTGACATTGATGGACAATACTTCTGATTGAGCTAACTTTTGATTGTAACTGATTGCTTTGATCCCTACTTTATAATCTATTTTATTTTGTTAAAATATAAGAAAACCATAAACAGCCCATAAAAAGATGCTGAAGCTTACAACATGCTCTTTGTGATTATAATGCAACTGTATTAATTAATAACTTTGCTTAATCTCACCACAAAAACAGATTTTTAAAGCTGGGTTTTGAAAAACAAAGTGTCAGGAGTTATACAAGGGGCGATCCATATATTCTGATAAATTATTTAAAATGCAATTATTTACATGCATTGAAAAATTGGCACTGGCAACTGTAGAATAATTGCTTTTTGCTGCATAGCAACCCCAAATCAAACCATATACACAAGCAGTGTCCGACGTATATATGGTGAATCAGAAGATGCATCTTGCATCTGTTGGTTCCATCATTCAAATGAATTCAAGAAAAACATCAACGATTTTGTTCAGCTTGATTATTTTAGGTGATTTTGATTTCTAAAATTTTCATAATTGGTATTTGGAAGATTTTGAATAAAGCATGTGGTCTTAACATTAAAATGTTCAGAACCTTAGTTCATTATTGAGTATAAATCTGAAAGTGCAATTTGTACAATATCAGAAAAACCTACTAAAATAGTAAACCATATTGAATTTTGAAAGTCCCCTGTGCTCTTATATTATAGCCACAGACCTCAGAGGGAGAATGGGAGGACAGAATGGATACTGATGTTAACACATCAGACACGTCTGTCAGTGAATGTGACTCCAACACAAACAATGAGACATCAGATAAAGAGAACCCGGATGAAGACCCTTTCTACCAGGTATGTCTTAAGAAGTCTGAAGGGGCTGCATTTTACTGCTATCAGGTTTTACATTTAATCTTTTTCTTTGTACAGCTTCTATTAATATTCAAAGCTACCATCTTGAATTGTAACATTTCTTGTCATCATAAATTAAAATAAACTGTAAACAGAATTTGTTTGAAATGCTCAAGAATAGATGTAGATAGGCAGGCAGGCACTCTTCAAGTGCCATATTCACCTCTCATTAACTGTTTAACTGTATAACATAAAATACAATAATTAGAAGATCCAGCTTCAGAGATCATCATATTTCTGCATAATTTCAGGATCTTACTTTAATCTATGATTGACAAGTAAAGGTGTAATCTAAATGACTTTGGAAATATTGATGATGTGTTGATTTTGTTCATAATTTTGTATAACTTTTCAGACAGGAGGTAGCAACACCCTCATTACATCATCTACAGCTGATAGGGGTATGTAGGCTTCTTAACACATATAGTATGTATGTATTGCATTTACACTTAGTTATTTAAATCTTCAGTACCTTTAACTCTGAATGTGTAAAGTATTATTCTTTAAAGTCATGTCCATAAGAGCTTGTAGTTTGCCTTGCACAATAGTTTTAGATATATTTATGCAGTTTTAATCTATTTGATGTTTCTAGCACATAGCTATCTACTGTCTGTAGCGTTTCTTAACTATAAATGTTTTCTATATAGCTATACAGGGTGACCCAAAATATTTAACCCTTTAATCCTGGAATAACTTTCTCCAGAATGGTGTCATCTTCTTCATTCTTCTTGTGTAGATTAAGTGTCGACCATAATTGAAAAAGGTATTCCAAAATTAGAGGATTACATTATTTGGGGTCACCTTGTATATGGGTTCTGGTTTATCTTGTGTTTTAAAACTATTAAGTACAGAAAAGTTATAAGATTTCTATCGTTTTATATTTCTTCTTTACATGTTACCTTTTGTATGTGTATTGTCTTTTCTATGTGTACTTCTATAGTTGAATACTCTACATTCCGACAACAGAGTAAGTAAGGCCGGCTGTCATCTTTCCGTACTTACATGTAACTAAGCTACCAGCCTACCACTACTCGTATACATGTACTGCTTCTTGCCAACCGCAAACATGTTATTTGTTATCCCATCGAACGAAGTTCGGAGGGATATAGGGAACGCCTCCGTCCGTCCATACGTACGTCCGTCCGTACGTACGTTCGTCCGTCCGTCCGGGCAATAACTCAAATACCATTGGCCCGATTTTGTTCATATTTTGTACACATATACCCTATGGGGGTAGAAGTTCTGCTCGAAAGCCGATTTTCAAAATGGCGGCCATTTTAGTGCCGATTTTACAGTAATTTAGGTGCAATATGTAAAACTGTAATAGCAATATGTTTTAAATGTAAAAAAATTATGAAAGACATTAATAAAGCTACAAATGTAGATATTAAAGAAGCACATGGCAGCCATCTTGAAAAATGGCGGCTTTTGCTCGTTATTTTACGATTTTTGCTGTAACTCAAAAAGTAGTGGAGCGATTTTGTTCATATTTGGTATGTGAATACTATAAGCATTGCACACTGTCTAAAGACACTTTTGGTAGAAGGTGGCCATTTTGAAAAATGGCCGCCATTTTAACGTATTTTACTATAACTCAAAAAGTAGTGGAGCGATTTTGTTCATATTTGGTATGTGAATAATATAAGCATGGCACACCGTCCTATGACACTTTTGGTAGAAGGCGGCCATTTTGAAAAAATTTTGAAAAATGGCCGCCATTTTAACGTATTTTACTATAACTCGAAAAGCAGTGAAGCGATTTTGTTCATATTTGGTATGTGAATACTATAAGCATGGCACAATGTCTAATGACACTTTTGGTAGAAAGTGGCAATTTTGAAAAATGGCCGCCATTTTAAAGTATTTTACTATAACTCGAAAAGTAGTGGAGCGATTTTGTTTATATTTGGTATGTGAATACTAAAAGCATGGCACACTGTCTAATGACACTTTTGGTAGAAGGTGGCCATTTTGAAAAATGGCCCCATTTTAATGTATTTTACTATAACTTGAAAAGTAGTTCAGCGATTTTGTTCATATTTGGTGTTCCATATTTTATATGTGAATACTATAAGCATGGCACCCTGTCTAATGACACTTTGGGTAGTAGGTGGCCATTTTCATGTTTTTTACTTTAACTTGAAAAGTAGTGAAGTGATTTTGTTCATATTTGATATGTGAATACTCATGAGCCTTGCACACTGTCTCATGACACTTCAGATAGTAGGCGGCCATTTTATAAAAATGGCTGTCATGTTTACATTTTTTACTATAACTCGAAAAGTAGTGGAGCGATTTTGTTCATATTTGATATGTGAATACTTTAAGCATGGCACATTGTCTAATAAAACTTTGGGGAGTAGTACATGTACATGTATGCGATTTTTTCAAAGATTTTATAGGTGGCTACTTAAAAGCATATTATTTCTTCTGATGACAACTTGGCTAGTGAGCAACCATTTTGAAAATGGTGGCCTTTCTGGTGTGTTGTTTTATTATGTTTGCTATATATTTCGTTTGTAAAAATGCCAGCCATTTCTGTTCGATGGGATTCGCTACGCTTTGGCGTTGCCGTTGTTCTGGTTTAAATCTTCCTCAATCTACATTCTAGTATATAAGTCATGCTTGATCCTATGATAATCACCATTTGATTGGTTGGTTTTTTATTCCCTTAGTATGATTTGGGATAGTTAAATGTGAATTGAGATAAAAATGATTTAGAAGAATAAGACATATACTTGCATAGCCTCAAAGACTCTACCCTTAAGTGCATTTGCATAGTCCTTGAGGAATCAGGTTTGATTGTATTCATACAATGGTATGGGTCTCCATATTGTAGTCACTTAGAAATATTGTGGCCAAGTCCCTCAAAAGACATTGAAAGATCAAACAAGGTTTACTACTCCAAGATTTTCTTTACGACAGGGCAAGGACAGAGTTATAGAATTACAGAATTTTGATAATATTGCTCAAAAGTAAGATGAATAATCTGTCCAACCCTTCTCATTGTCTTATTGTTTAATAGCTCCTTTTGTGGGATGATGTGACAAAAAAGCCCTGTTTGACCCGTTTGATGGCAGCACATCCATGAAATATAATCTCAATATTTTCGTAAAAACTATTTTATATTTTATCATTCTGCAAAATTCAAGGAGAATCAGTCATTTTCTGTTGCAAAATTCAAGGAGAATCAGTCATTTTCTGTTGCACTCAAATTGACAAATTTCACTTGCTGAAAACTAGGAGGAGTAGTGGCTATTGCTTTACAGCTTGATATTGGAATTTTACTGTTTATGTACATGTTGAATTACGATTTCTGAATTTTCGCTTCTAAGTACTTCCTTCGTGTGATATAGAAGAGGTTTGATTAGTGAAATTACTAATCATTTAAAAAAACATGACAATGCCTTTCCTGTTACAATATTGGTGTTTGTTTGAAATATTCCTCTCATACCTTCCTATAATTTTATGATAAATATATTCTAATCCATTTCAATCTATATAGTAGATGTTTCAGAAATTCTGATTGTAGATCTAATGATTAATAATTTATTAGTATAAAAATGTAGATTGAACAAACAAACAAACAGATTAGAAAAGATTAATAAGGATATATCTATTGTCCCTTGATATATGCTATTTTGGGGAGTGTAAGGTGTTTTAAAAATGTAAAGGTCTTTTCCATTGAGTGAAGAAAAATATATGATTTATGGAATAGATCTAGACTTTGTGTGTTCACATCTATACAAGTAATCAGTATAACCTAGATTATTCATCGGAGGTTTAATTTGATAAGCTTGGCCAGAGAATTTTCTTTGATCTTCCTGACACGTGGCCCACTTTTAATTTTGACCAATCATATAAAGATACAATACAAGCCTGATGTTGATATAATGAGAAAAACAACATCCTAGATAGATGATTAAATTGACAATTAAATGAAAGTATTACCATATTAGTTTCCACATAACATTGCTTAACTAACTGTCTTGAAATTGATGAATTACTTTACAACATATATTTCAGTAAGCTGTGTTATATGGGACGACAGGGAGCTTAACAAGGTGGACCTCACTGCCCTAGACATTGGTTGGATGATCATAGAACGTGTGGATAAAATACCAGAGACAGCCGACTATCTCATCCTCGGGGTGATGTTCTCAGTTGCTATGTGCCTGATGCCTTCTTTCTACAGGTAGTCATTGTAACTTTGTATAATCCAATGCAAAACAATTACAAAAAATACAATGCAATACAATATAACAATACAATGCAATACAATACAATATAACACAATACAATACAATGCAATGCAATACAATACAATATAACACAATACAATATAATAGAATGCAATACAATATAATAGAATGTAATACTATTCAATATAACACAATACAATATAATAGAATGCAATACAATACAATACAATATAAAAGAATGCAATTCAATTCAACACAATACAATACAAATTAATAGAATGCAACGCAATACAATATAACACAATACAATACAATAGAATGCAATACAATTCAATACAGTACAATGCAATACAATACAATATAACACAATACAATATAATAGAATGCAATACTATTCAATATAACACAATACAATATAATAGAATGCAATACAATTCAATATAACACAATACAATACAATATAATATAATGCAATACACTTCAATATAACACAATACAATACAATATAATATGATGCAATAAAATTCAATACAATGCAATACAAAATAATAGAATGCAATACAATTCAATACAATACAATGCAATGCAATGTAATACAATATAATACAATCTTCTATATGATTATCAGCATTGCCAAATCATTATGTAAAGTACATATTGTGTGAAGATTAGAATTGGCCCAAATACTGTTAAACGTATATACATGTATTCTCAATATTTGCAGAGTCTACTTCGAGGGTGGTAGTAAACTGTCAGAATTGACAACTTTAGACTGTCTCACAAATATCAGCTTGGGTGTATTGAAAGAATCTTGGAAGTAAGTGATCTTGGTTTTTGGTAAATGGTTTTTCCACTAGAAATATATATTTTAGATTCCCAGAGCAAGTAATGAAATAAAAGGACTTTACATTCTGAATCATACGTCATGAAATTACGATTGGTTTAGCAAGTCGATCGTTGATTGGTTTAAAACTAGGTCAATTTGAAAACTTTAAAAACCAAGATGGAGGGTAAGTGCTTCTGGGAAAGGAGGTGTATGAAGGAGGAAATCGTATGTCATCAATTGAATCATGGGGTTTCCCCTCCTCTTGATTGAACATGTGTCAGAGGGCAACAGGCATAGTATTCAATGTATTTAAATGGCAACATAGTTTGATGTTAAAATGTTGTTTGTCTTTTAGGTACCACATCACTGTGTTTAATAGTTTTCTGCAAAGACTCAGTTTAGGAATCATATTCTTCTTCCTGTTGTCTGTGGCAGAGAGAACATTTAAGCAGGTATAATAATAACGTAATACAACTGGTCCTTGGGTAGATACACGCTCAATAATATATATTGGGCATGTATGATATATAATATAATAAGATATACCCATAATCCCGGACAGTGCCTGTGACAGTAATCTCTATTTTTTATATTAGAACGGGAAATACACAGCACGAAATATGTATTGTTCTGCTTCTGCAAGATAGTATTTCATTAGCTAGCGGATATGTACCTGATATTTTATTACTTTAAAATTTGTTATTTTTGTTTCATAGTATGTCCAAGGAATTTATACATGATGTGTGTAAGATCCAAATAATCCTATTCAATAGTTGCTGTCATTGTTTTTTTAGCGCCTGCTGTATGCCAAGCATTTTTGCTACTTGACATCATCAAGACGAGCCAAGAAATATGAGCTTCCTCACTTTAGACTCAACAAAGTCCGCAACATTAAAACATGGTTATCTCTACGCTCATACTTGAAGGTGAGTAGAAGTAATGGTTTCATCAATCTTTGTTTGACTGGAAACTGAACTTTCTTCTGTGTAATGTAATGATAATGAACGGTAACAGTATACACAATATAGTACAGAACTACCCCGCAAGATGTATTTCCTGCTTAGTCTGAATCTTTTTGAAAATGGAAATGTAATTTTATTTTAAGCTTAATTGTTGCCCTTATAATTTGTATCATATTTGATTTTGGTCTATTCACTATTGATTCAAATTCAAATTATATATCATCTCAATTGTTTATACAATATACATGCAGGAATATTTGTGCTGACTCTTTATGATTTTCTTTTAACTTTCAAATATTTAGAATCATATTTGATATAATGTTTGATATTTTCAGAAAAGAGGTCCTCAACGATCTGTAGATTTGATTGTCTCAGCTTCATTTCTTATTGAGGTCATATTGATCTCATTACTATGTATACAGGTAGGTCCAACTAAATGATGTAAAAGAGTATATTGAGTGCAAAAAGTTGAAATCTTCTGTCCTTGTGTAAAGAAAATTGTTCCTACATGGTAACAAATGGGCACAAATTCATTTTATGGATATTGTCTATTATGGCATTTTCTTACTTATTTGTTCAAGCCAGCCTAATTGTGCTTTTAGGTCAAGCCTTGTGGATGTACAATTCATTGTTAGCCTATATAGATTATATGATTTAATGAGAAATTCAATGTGATGTTTCAAAGCCAGATCATTCATAAAATAATCATGATATAATGTTTTTGTTTTAGTTGCTGTCAAACAGTGAATATTTCCTGACATCCCTCATCAACTTGGAGTTATCCCTTTGGGCCATGGCACTTGCAATCTACTTGCTGCGCTTCATGACACTTGGAACAAAGATCAACAAGAAATATAGAAACTTCTCGGTGCTAATTACTGAACAGGTAAGGTTCTTATTAAGTCTTGTGGCTAATGTTGCATGAATGCTCACAGAGCCCAAATAAACATTTCTCGGTATACTCGTGGCTTGCCCTATTGACCAAAATTCTACTGAATTCATGCATTCTCCATAGTTTCAGTCTTCTATTGTGAAGTTTACAAGTTGCAATCAAAACAAGTTGGTCAATACATGTAGACCTTACTGACATCTATACTCTCTATTGGGGAACCATTTTTGTTTAAATTCTTAAAACTTCTGGCACACCCCTTATATTATAACATGTTTGCCTTTTTAATGTGTCACTCCTCATAATACAATTAACTTTCAGATCAACCTGTACCTACATATGGAACAGAAACCTCATAAGAAAGAAGAACTGATGCTTGCCAACAATGTACTGAAACTTGCAGAAGATCTGCTCAAGGTACACACATGCCCCCATACGGCACAGCTAATTATAATGTGCCTTTATCTTCATTTCATGCTTTGAGATAGATAGAAGAATTTGCGAATTAAATTGCACTTTATCCCTTCACTGTAACATAGGTTATTTCGACTTTTCGGAGTGAAAAGTTGTTTAACTCTACTAATTTATATTCCTGTGTGCCTTTCAAGATAATTTATCTCCACATAGTTTTTTATTACTGATTAGGATCAACAACATGTATTTGTTTACATACTTGGTATTCCACATGATTATTTTTTTATTTTCAGGAACTTGAGAGTCCATTTAAGATCTCGGGATTTTCAGCTAGTCCTATATTATACAACATTACAAAAATCACCTTGTTATCTGCATTCTCTGCCATTCTCTCAGAGCTGCTGGGTTTCAAACTTAAACTTTACAAGATAAAATTAAAAGTATAGATTTCACCAATGTTTGGTGGTAAAATGTATAGGGTTATATAAAACATAAGTGCTCTTACAGTACGTGCTTCTGATATGCTTCATCAGCAGTCTCACTTCTGCTTTCGGGAATTCAACTGAAGCAGATATGATGAGGAGTTACCCCAAGCAGTGTGGATCAGGCTCCACCAGCACGATACAGTGTAGCCCCACAAGATGATAAGTTGAAGACCATTCAGCAGATTCAGGCCTTATCTTTATAAGATTTCAAACTTTATAGTAAAAATGTTAAAACAGGGAAATACATTCATACAGAACCACTTGACTTTAAAGCTATAGATGCTATGGCTAGTTTGCAATGTAGATATAATGACGGGCATTTAATAGGGGTTGGATGAATTATCAATGCGTAAATTAATTTATTGACGAAAATGCTTGATTGACATTCTGATCCACCCCCTTTAGGTGTGACATATTGTCAATCATTCTGGAAGAAATATGAAGGAACCTTAAGGTAACAATAAAGACCCTTCACATAAATATCTGTACTTGCCTCAAAGAAATCATTCCTATATATTAACATGATATCAGTATTATGAGTGTATTAATTGTATTGTTTAAGCTTTGATCACCTTTGATTCGATCTTTAATCACTTGAATGTTTAATTTATTATAAGCCTCCTTCATGTAAATGTATGTTTAAATGTTAAGTATTGAACATGTCTTGTATATATTGTAAAACTATAATCACTATTTATTTGAATGTTATTTATTAAGTTGAGTTGCCACATTTTGCAATTCAGTTATTGACTTCTGATGCCAAACTTCTTCAGCAAATCATGTATATATCCAAACATGTTTCTAATCTGAACACCTCTCAGTGTCAACACTTCTTGGTCCCATTTTGGCATTCAGATTATACATATCTGATTCGTTGAATTTCACTATTTTTAATTTATAGTAGAATATGCAATTTATTTTCTGTCTGGCATAATAGTTTCTAACCATTACAATTTTACAGTGGTGCAAACATGACATAATTTCATCATTATATTGAGCATATTAAGACATGTAAGAACAAAGGCTGCCAATTTTAATACAAAAAGTTGTGTATTTTAGCTTTTTAGCTATGGGCGTGATTTTGTTGTTCAGTGACAAGAAAAAGCATAATAAAATGAGAATCATAAATGCATCTGATTTATGTTTTATGTAAGCTCATTGTGAATGAAGACTCATATAGATGGCACATCAGTAGTGCGATGCTCTTAACTTCCTGTTGAGCCAACGGTATCTACGCCATCGTTTGACAATCCTCAAAGATAGGCTTGTCCACTAAAAGACAATTATGTTGTATTTGTGTGTGTGTGTCAATTTATTATGTCTTTTATTATCCCATCATAAGCAGTAAATCAGATCTTAGTTGTTATATACAATATTATAAAGCTGTCCTCTTCATAAGGGTGTAGGTGTGATCGTAAAAGATAATTGGCTGCCATTTAGCTGTCTGCATCCTTAAAAATGTCACTCGTAAATCTTACTCTTTATGTACAGGATTTTAATCAGATAATGTACTTGGTAATTGTTAGCAGAAGAATAATATCCTTGGATTTCGAGAATGTTTTTCGAGAATCATGTCCGATGTGTCTCAGTAGCATGGCAGGTCACCGCCGGTACATGGGTCACCAGTTGCGTAGTCCGCGGGGACAGTTGTTCCTGGTTCGCACTCCATCGATTGTGGCATAAGCTTTGTCTTGGCACTATCAGCCCATACGCATTGGTAATATTTGCATCGATTGTATGGATCCACCATGAATTGACCCGCGTGGTCACACGTTCCAATCCTTGGTTGGTCTGAAAATAATTGCATTTGGAAGTTGTAAATGAATTGAAATTATATATATTGCTGTTATAATCAATACAAAGGATTTTTTATGACTTCCCCAATCCCCATCCCCAGTTCAACAACCTTTGCAGTACATGTTTCATTTTCGATATCATTGCTTAGTTTGTGCATGGACGTATATCAACATAATTTCGCGTATCGGGTGTTTTAAAATCAAAGACAATGCAGAGACCTGTTTGAAATAGTTCTTCCAATGGACTACCATGTTAAATCCATTTTCATTTATGATCACAATTACCCTTTGCATTCGTTTGACTTCACTTCTTAAAAGAGAGCTTCGTCTTCGTAGTTTAACTAGACTCTGCACGCAGGGTAGATCACAATTCAACTACTTTTTCATCAGCGTTTACACAAGACATCATGTTTCGAGATATATTACAAAATTCCTCTTACTTTCAATGATGCCGAACAGCTGGACCTCTTCGGGAGTTGATTGTGCACAACCGGCCCACTCAAGCATCTGAAGGCAATCGGCTTCATTGCTCGAGTACTGGCAATCGTTGGTGAAGTCCCATGTGATAGGCCTGCTGTACGTACTCAGACACCAGGCGTCTGTTCCTTTGGTCCAATCCGTTCTAGAGCCGCCCACATTTATGTACCACATGTGCGTGGAGCCGAGCTGACAGGAGGCCTTGCCGTTTTCGGGAGGGTTGGAGGTGGAGAGAGGACATGTCTCGGGGTTGAGGGAGGTCTCCTTCAGGATACAATGGGAGTTGGTGAAGTAGTAACCATCTGGGCATTCCAACGCCGCTCCTAAAATGTTGAATATAAAATATTTGTACTTCTTCTTTTGTGATTATCCTGTTAGTTTGTGTCAGTCTTAACCATTTAGAATGGATCGGTTTTTATGTCCCCACCAGAAGTGATGACATATTATTTTTTGTGGACGGCGGTTGGTGTTCGACGTCTGTAGCAAATGGCAGGTAGTGACATGTTAATGCCCTGTTTTGATGTTTTCATGCGATTTGATTTTCTACTTTATCTTGTTTTTTGTGTGAGCGTTTGACAATATTTATGTCTTACTCACCCTGTGCGGCGTATATCAACTGGGACACGGTCATCAGGGCTCCTACTAGGCTAGTCATCTTGAACATCTACAACATTAACATTGTCATCAATAGGTTTATCATATTATCTCATGAGAGATATTAATTCAAAGACATGATTTATCCTGTGGACCTTTAATTGCGTCGATGCAAAATTTAGTGTCATCCTCCTAAATATGCATTTTCATCACATTTATTATGAAATTGAATTAATTAAATGAAATCGTATGCATGATCTGTCACGTAGGGTCATTGGAATTATATGCGTAAATAAAACACTTTACTCGCTAGCGTTTTTTGAATTGAGGTGATAAAAGATCTCCGACTATTTTGCATATATGGAACTTTATGTCCGCATCAGATTAGGGATATGTTCACGTCAACAATGAAGTACTAATGATAAGATGACTAGTTTCATTATTGCAGTCTGGGTTAATACATTTGAAATAAATGTAACATATTGAAATAAAAAAAACTACACACATAATGATGTCTATTGAACTAACAACGAATTAATATTGTGTAATTATAAAGATTCATTCCAGTAATTTGAAATCCTTTCGTTTTCTGAATGTTGAAAAAACTTCCACTTACCATATAATTCTGTTGGCTTGATTTGATTGTTGAAAACTTTTTAGGCTCTTCAATATAGTTGTGCCCTCCAGTTGTAGCAAGTGGTTTATATAGATTTCAGCAAGTTTATAATGGTGTTTATTTGTCTCTTGAGAAGACACTGACGTATCTAATTATCAAAGTAGTAAGTGTTTGTCTTCAATTATAAATTCTAATTTGACATTTTCTGTCCAATCACATTGATTTGGATTTATTTCATTTGTTTTTGGGATGGCCATGATCTTGTTTAATTAAAGAAAAGCCAAACTGTATACCGTTTGAAAGAAATTTTAGAATCCATCACAGCAAAACATGTAGAATAAAACGCTACATTCTTTCTGCGGATAATGCGTCTGGGGGAGTTATTCTTGTCATAAAAAATAGAAACTGGAATCGCAACCTTTTGTTCATAGCATACTCATGTACAACCAAATTCATCCTAATTAATCTCAATAAATTGTGCAGATAATAGTATTGGCAATTTTATATTTGTTTTCGTATTCTTTACAACGATCATTGACGTTTGAGGAAGTTTAGAGATAACACCTTCTTAGAGGTCACTCATTATCATCAAACATGTGTTAAGCTACGCAATTCGAATCGTGATCAACCACATGTAATGCATAATATTGATGATGACGAGAAAAGATATTGCAATGGAATACCAGAATTAAAACAATTTAAATTGTGAGCACGTTGAATCAAATAAGTTCTTAAACATTGGCTAGATATTCAAGGAGCGACAAAACTAAAGATGATTTTAGACTTGCTTTGTAAAAAGGGGATAAAGGGATTCACCACCGGAATTTTTTTTTGAAAAATGTATTGTACAGTATATTGTGCTCTCTTCAAACTCTAATTTGTTAATCTTTTTTCAACATTGCTTTTTTCCTTTTGTGTGGGGTGGGGGGCTGCGATCACATCCGTCACACCCATCTAATCAAAAACTATGAAGTTTTCTTTTAAGGAGCAAGGTCGAACGAATACAAAGGGTATAAAAAGCCTACATTTTGCCATTCATATTCTCGTTAAAGTTCTGATTTTGTTTTATGATTTTGAAAAAATGAATGTCCCCTGGACATTTCTGCTTTTTAAATCTGACTATTTGATCAGATGTCTCAAAATACGCACTGGTTATAAGGAAACATTGACGCGATGCTTTCAGGCCCTATTCTTTGCTGGAACCTTATAATGGGAGGGAGCTATTTCAATGATTTTATCATATTCCATAGATTACTACACGGGAGTGCTGAGAACCTGTGTTTATTACATTCAAAAGATCACGTTTGGCTTTTGAAGTTAGGTTGTTCTCTGTAATGGCATACGATACTCGATACTTTAAACGTTGTCTATTACAGTAAGTACCCCCCCCCCCCCCTTTATAACCGAGACTAAATGGCTGACTGTGTGGTCCAGGGCGGCTACTGCTGAAAGAGTATTTACTTTGTCCCCATTACATGATAGATTGGAAGATGAAGTTTTCTTTTAAATAATAGCAAAATCGAATTATTGGAAAGAGCAGTTGGAATCCCAGGGTTGGAATTGAGGATTATACTTTCACAAATATAAGATAAAGAGGGACTCTGTATATGCTAAATCAGAATGGAAACCCGTGAAAAGTCAAGATGAAATGTTTAACATTAACCCGCACTTTGTATTATATGATACATAACAACCGTTTTCATTATTCATTCATAAAGCCTCAAATATGTGAACTGTTTTATATCGGGGACCATCCAAGTGAAACGTGTTGAACAAAAATAGAAGTAAACGCCTAACAGGATATTGATATGAGATGCCTTATATTTCGCCATCGATTGTGTTTGGTTGAGCTAATTAGGAGTCCTTAGGAGGCGTCCAAAGGACCAAGATGGTATGGGTTCGAAAGCCAAGGACGTACGTGTCCCCGGGTCAGCCAAGACTGCAGAAAAGGTAAGAGTATGTGAATTGGATATTGAAATGTATCATGGTTTGTCAACATTGTTGATTATTGTGTTAAATTGAGGATGGGTGAAAAAGTTCAACAAACACAATACCTCAAACCTAGCATGAAGAAATAATAATCTCATTTCTTCATCCTAGCTCAAACCACCACTGTTGAGTAAAACCGATACCATAAACGCGGTCATACTTGGGGGTACACATTGTGGGATCCACAGCCTTTACTATCCTTTTGGAATAGTTCAGACTAGATCTATCTACCCTTCCCCCACGAGTGTATGAGATCGTTGATCCACGTTGATGTGTGTTCGGTTTGGGAGGTGGTTTTACCCGGGCGTACCATGATATTTTTATATGTCTCTGGATAAACAATGAGTTCTTCAATAGTCATATTTTAAACGATTTTTAAGTTTTTGAGTTTTTAATGAAATGATATTTGGATGATAAAATTGTTTTCAAAGTTTGCAAAGGGGTTTTCTACATTCGGCATGTTGAGGTCGCATTGGTCTTCATAATCGAGATAAAAGTTTGTTTTCTTACCCCCATGACCTTTTTCAAACCTGATTTCGCTTTTTTAAAGAACGCTTTTTTAAAGAACGCACCATTCACCTTTTTAAAACTACAAAAGTCAAATTCCTTTCTGTATAAGAAATCAACCGACCAACCAGAATCAGTATCAAAGGATGTATAGAAACGAAAGAAATTTACAACAAAGTTGCAAAGCTTTGTATAATAAACCTCGTAAAGCACTTGGGGCATGGTTCAGTCTTTGGAGGATTCAATTTTTGTAATATTAAGATTATTCAATCTCCCGTGCTGAATTGTAGATGTATTAATACACTCGTAGGCCTACATGTATGTCTTATAGATCTAACATTTGTCTAGTCAAAATGCCAGAATTGCAAAATTGTTTATCTTTGTTATTTCAACCTTCATCTTTGCGCAATTGAAATGCTCGTTCACTATAGAAGTAATCTACACTAAAAAAATCAGTATTTTTCCACATTTAGATTATTACAGCCCTGTCTATATCATCATTCAATTTGGAACCAGATAGCGAATTATCATCCACAGTTTCACATATTTGAAACTAATGTAATCTTTGACTAGACGAGTTTCACAGTACAAATACTATGAGAGCACTTAACTTAATACATCTAGGTAAGCATTAGCTAAGATTGAATAATCTTTTAAAACTTTAAAAATTGAACCCTTCAAAGACTGTATCACGCCCCACGTACGTAAGTCGTTGGTACGTTGGTGCGAGGTACGAGTTTTTTATACAAAGCCAAGTTGCAAACCATCCTTCCCAATAATGTCAACGGTTCGTGTTTTAAAACGGAAAACATCCGTTGTAAAACAGAATATATATGGATATACATGTAGTTATCTAAATGGCATATACATGTATTTATTCAGCTTTGGGGTTTATTTTCAGATTGCCACAATCTCAGCAAGCAGCACGTCTACCTACTCAGCCACATAATCCAGTTCCTCATGCTCGGCGACAAATACCCAAAACTCACGATTATGTCAACATACGTCCACAGTCATATGATGCAACCAGGCAAAGACCTAATCCTGAAAAGTTACCAACTGCACCTAAGGTTCGTCCGAATCCTGAGACGAAGGACCATTATTTTGAAAAATGGACACGATTCAGAACGAAAATGAACAAAGGACTTATCGAAATGATACGCAATCCTAAACTAAAGAAACGCCTGGACAATGGTGCCGTTCCTTTCTTCCGCGTAGATAGTAGAACATGTCACTACGCTTTGGATCACGCTACACAAGAATATATAGAAGGCCGCAAAGTGTCGGCCAACCTCCCCGCTGAGACGTTCGTAGAATTTGGGATACCAAGAGCAAAGTTTGTTCGAAATTGGGACGGTTGGTCCGAACCCAAACCCAGGTCTCCAAGGTATATGACCAAGAGGGCTGAATCTTGGTCGGATAGACATATTAACAATCTAGAATCAGTAACCAAGAGTGAGTCGTGGTCGGATTTGAACAGCAACACTAGATATGGAAGACGATCAAGAGCCGAATCGACTCAACCAAGAATCTTAGAAAGGACCGATTGGGATGAATATGGTAGTAGTGAAGATGACTTTGTATCTGTTCCGAAAGAGGATGATCATATTCGAGTAACGCAGTCACAAAGCTTTAGGTCGCCATATCCAAAGTACGGCTCGCTAATTAGGGAGCCCTCATTTGATCAAGTTGATCTTAATAGTCCTCCAATGAGTAACAGTGATTCTAAAGATGATGACATATCTAATGTTAACGGAGCGCCAACAGACTTTGAAGCATTGTCTTTCTACCGTGCTACTGGCAAAAACGAGTTCCTTAAACCAAAGAAACGCCAGGCTCCTCTTCCTCCGATAGCGCCACCTCCCCCACCTTTGCCACCTCTTCCCGAGTCATTGCCGCCCCTTCTATCGCCTATTTCTGGGGTAAAGGATTTATCCGATGTCTCCACAACACTGAGAGATCGCAGTCGCTACACTGGAGATAGTTTAATCCCGGCATTCACGCGAAATAATCACGATGGGTCATTGGGAGGGAAGAGACCTTCTATAGATCTTGACTCAACAACCAGATTCAAGTTACGGAGTTGGAGCGGAGGGGTAAGCAACTCGTACACACGAGATCCAACGTCTTCATACAATAGAACAGAAGTCACGGGTAATAAACGGGATACGACCCCTATGGAAAAACACCACGGTGATAATACGCCCAGGGTGTCTCAGAAATCCCTAGGGCCCGGTGACTTTAGGATACGTAATACGAATCCCACGTTGTATATGGTGGACGGGGATGAAAGCTCCGAGTCGGACACTGATATCCTTTATTAACAGTGATTGGATTCAACGGGAGTGCAATTGTCGAAGTGCTACAAAATGAGATTCGGGACTCTAAGAAATCACATGATGCTCAACGTATAGGTTGTTCTTCACCCCTGTAATCTCATTGTTTGTGTAAATATTCTTGTATTGAAATAACTTACGGCACTCAGAATACATATTCGGATATTATTAATGAAAAGTTTTAAATTTTCTTCATCCTAATTTAACCCCTTGAATTCTTTGCCATACTCAACAGTCGAATTTGAGATGAGACAAAAGCCTTATATGAAAATTAAAGGGCCACAGAAAGAATTTCAGAATAATTTGTAGTGTAACCATCTGCAAGACCAAGTTTTCGAAGCTTTAGTGTTTTAAAGGAATCAAAATCACTTTTAAATACGCTTTAACTTGTAACAAATCGGTTAGACGTTAGTATGTGAATGATCATTGTCATCGCATTAGATTGATCATTGATGGGGCATGGCTGGAGGACCTCCATAAAGTAGTTAGCTTATGAGCTCCTTCATAATATGGATGTTAAATTGGCAGTTTCACAAAGACATGTAACGGAAACGGATTGTACATGTTATATATTAAATGATAAAACTTGAGTGTTTTCTTTAACGACGGTATTGGCCGAATTCCATGAAAGCGTATACTACATCATAAATCTGTATTGTAAAGAAAAATATGAAAAACTACGAAAAAATAATCTGAGATGAAATACTGTCTTCGAGGTTAAGGCACTACGCGATCGACCAAAGTGAAATATGGTCTTTTGGAGGTTAAGGCCCAAGTTCAGTTCAGTTCAGTTCAGTGTCTTTATTTCCTCCACATAGGTGAAGATTTAAACATTACATATAATTACAGACAATTCACATTAACAAATTATTTACATTTGTACATATTATTACATATAGATTTACATTTAGAGTTTTTACATTTCCGTTTGTTTGATAACTGTTTTAATGGATGGATGCAGAGTACGCTTACGCGATCGACCAAATTGAATTATGGCCTTTTGGAGGTTAAGCCCCAGGACATGAATACAGAGCGCAGTTGGTCGTGTAGGAAAATGAAATCGAACAGAGATAATTCGATGCATGTTAAGTTGATATATAAATTGTATTTACACTGGGTTCAATATATCCTTGTAATATAGCCCATATTTTTTACTTCTATATCGAAGGTTCGAAAATAGCATAAGTACAATGACTGATCAAAAACAGACTTTAAATTTCTAATTGACGACAATTGCAAAGTTGCAAAAATCGTCCCACTTGTCCTACCTGTAGGTTAGTCAGTGCATATTCTAGAGACAATAAATGGTGTCAAAATACCAGTCCAAAAATTGATGACGCCACGCACTCATTTTCAAAAGTTACCAATAGCCCAAGTCGGACATTTTGTATGAGATAGTCACCAATGCTGGTGTTCTTGTTCCTTTGCCGGTTAACATTAGAAAGATCGTAATAACTGTGTTTCCACGGTGTTGATGTTTCCATGGAAGTGCTGTTTCTATGGTTGTGTTGTTTCCATGGTAGTGCTGCACAATGTTTTAACTGCAAGTTGTACTGATCCCTTGGTATAATCTTGATCTCATAGGCCACTTCTGAAAAAAATAATTACCCAAATCGTTTTTACAAATTACGCTTTCAGCATCTTTCTGGTCAATCTTTCACTCTTGACACTCTTGATCTACTTGTACGCGATTCAGTTTTGAAATTTTTCATATATTGGTCGTTTCAACCTTGTACTAGGGATGTCAAAAATAAGCGAACTCACTAATTACCTCGGTTTGTACCCGTTTATGTTAAACAGATGCCTTTATGATGGTAAAAAACAAAATTTGATTATCAGAAATTGGGTAAATTGGTATATATATTGTATATGTATCATTCATAACATGAATGAAAACAATCCAGAAATAAAGTGATCTAAGTCGACGATGCAATTTAAGTAGAAAGTACCCCAAAGCTTACTCCATTGAACGCTTTACAAAAACATCATCATTGAGAAACGTACACCAAAATGGGAAGGTTGCAAAAAATGGACGAAAGTCTAAGATTTCTAAACATTGTTTCATTTTTTACATGTTTTGGGCTCATAGCTGAATTCTAAAGATTTTTTACATTTATCTATGGATTCTAAAGATTTCTACATTTATGTGTGTGAATTTATAATTTGGGGAATTTATACATTTTGTGCATCAATTCTTAAACATATCAAATCAATCAATGGGCCCTTTATCATTCCAAATGCGATATTTGAAATGATTCATGATATCGTATCAAATGGTGAGGATTAAAACCATTGCATTAAAAGTAACTTTATTTTGTAACTTTATAGCACAAAACGGCAGTAGTAGATGCCCAACTGGGCGTAATAAAGGAATCATCCTTATCCAAATTGCATATTTTTTATGATCGAAATTGAAATGCCAAAGGAATTCTTATTTTATGCAGATCTCCGTATTATAATTACATTGAATATTAAATATTAAAAATCAAACGTTAGCTTGATTTTTGAAAAACATTAACAAGAGATGTCATGAAAGTAAAAAAATACTAAATAAGACGCATTTGAAAAGCTGCCAGAGATTGACAAATCCTGTATATTGGGGTATTCAGTCTGTATAGAGGTCTTACCTTTACTGGGTGGAGGTATTCCTTGGCGTGGTGACCTCCTGTTGTAGGTTGGCTGACACAACTGAGGTCCTCACTTTGTGATTCTTCCAATGTCCGCATCAATTGAGAAATATAAGTCGTAGCAAGCACTAAAACGTCCAATTTTGATAGTTTAGTATCAGGAGGTACACACGGTAATGCACGTTGTAGTTCAAGAAATGCACTTCGTAAAGTTTGTACACGTGAGCGTTCTCTCGCAGCGTTGTTATCACCAAGTGATTGCCCCTCACTTTGGGTTTTATTGATTGATTCAATATTCTGTCCAGTTGTCTTATCATCTTTTCGATTCTCTCGATTTCTTTTATTCGGGGCAGAATTAATAATATTACCTCTCTTGCGTTTGGGGTGCTTCACTGATGTATCAGTATAGAGGCTGGTGAATTCCAGTCCATTTGTCTTTGAGGATGTGTTCATTATATCAACCATTCTTGTCTCCCGGTACTCCGCTTAAAAGCGCAGGTCTGAGTCTGATGTGAGTTGGAATTTGCTGATTCCGATTGGTATTCTACTCAAATCAATGTAAACGCCCTTTATATCACCACGATCCGTTGCGCAGTCTTAAGTATGGTTGCATCAGTGTAAGTCCGCATTGCCCGGGGGTCGAAGCGATTTGGTTGCAGGAGATTACGTTGTCGAGTAGAATTGGCGTCGCTTGGCTGCGGGATGAAATCTTATTTAGACAACTCGGTTGATCCTGTAATAGTTGTTACATTAACAGTTCATTTGCTGATAACCCGCCACCAATAGTTCTTGGTATGATGTTTTGGGATTGAGATAGACAGAGATTGTGTTACTTGGCTGTAACCAGAGCTATACATAACACGTCAAACAAAACTATGCACCTTGATCAGTTGATTTGGCTCCCCGGACGCAGGGAATCTTAATCGTGGAGGGGCCGTCATATTGATTTTATGATTATTAACTTAATTAAGGAACACCGTCAGTAGGTGGGTCGGAGCTTGCTCTCTGCTCACGTGACCCACGTAATATCCTTTAACAAGATGCGATGTAATTTTAATTTCAAAGTTAACTTCGACAAATCTTAGATGTATAAATTGTTCTAAAACAATTCCCTAAATGGTTTGAGGGGTGTTATGTATAAGAGCAAACAACATGAATAATTTTTTTAAAACTGCGTTTTTTCATAAAGTAAATGTTTATTTTCAAATTTTTGCAATAAATTCAATTCTGGGATTTAATAACTTGTTTTACACCAAAAGTGATTGAATACATTAATTCAGATACAGAATAATACTACTTAAAACTATCGGTGGCAAATTTGGAATGATGCGATTATACAAGGATGGGTTGGACAAATAGTCCTGTCTTCGGAGAATTATAAAGAATGCATTCATTGTTTTCGATGACAATAAAAATCAATTCAAAGAACAATAGAATACATTCACAAGTATGAACTATTTGTAAGTAATTGTAATAAAAAAGCTCATTTCTGAGTCTTATAACCAAGTTTTCTTAAAGTACACCTTGACACGGACGATAAGATATCATGTCTCGTTTTTCAGATATTATATTTGGGATAGTTTTAAAGATGAGCAATGGTTGGTTTGTTGAATTCGGTCCTTGCAAATATTCTTATCTAGCCATCGAAGGCACATTCTACGACTAAAGTGGGCTGGAAATGTTCATCTGGTCTCAATATGATTTTGATATCAATACCTGGAAAACAGACTTCAGTTCCTGCTCCCCGGGTAATATTGCTAATAACGCAGTTGATCCTAAATAAATTGAACAATTCGACAATCTCTTTCCATTATATTGTTTACATCTAAGTCAATTGCAGTGTTTTCCTAGCAAGGATAAAACGATTTGGATTCAGATCCAAACAAAGTCTGGAACCCCCAGAGTCGATATGTTGGTGTTGTGTTACCCTCATGTGGTTTAACAGATACCTTCCTACATTTTTTATCTATAAATAGTGTAAATTAAAACATGTTTGACGTTTTTAAATAATATTTGACGAATCTAAATCTGATAAACTCGTTCTTAAATTGAGATTGCATCCAGGCTAGAGATGATTGAGATGATTTATCAAAAATTGTTATCAAATATTTTTTCTGGAATTTAAATTGGTATTAACTTGTATTGCTCTACGACTAAAACATTACTATCAAAAATTATGGTATATACGCCACTTGGGGTGCACTCTTAAAAATGAATTACTTGAGTATTTCCCAAGTATTTCCCAAGTATAAAAATTACTTAAAGTTAAATACTTAGTTTTACTTCATTTTACTTAGGTTTAACTTATATTGTCATTTTGAGTTTTTTAATTGCTTAATTATGTAAATGAGTATTACAATTACTACAGTAAGTATTTCAATTTCTCTCCTTGCATTAGTAAATTCACCATAAATGAATTACTTAAAAATTACTTAAAGATATAATTACAATATAAGGAAATCCAAGTAATAATTTTTAAGAGTGTCTTTTTCATGTTATATACGAAATATTGTATGATGGAATTTTGAATTGAATTGAAAACGTGTGAATCCCTGAAACAAATTATCATCAGTTTTGTTAAACCCTATAATGTATAGAGTAATAAGTATGTGGGTCGAATAACATTTCACACGTTGGTGAATGTTTTCTGAAATGCGTTTATCAAATCAACAAGAAACCCTTAAAGTAGTTCAAAGGAGAGAACGTAAACATGAACAAAAAATGTAATTTGCTCAATTATCTATATCTGTTTCCAACAAATAGAAAAATAAACATGTGTTTCTTTATATAGATATTGATAGCAGATTACTATAATCGAATGTTTTGATCAAGATTGATCGATCCCCACTATTTTACATTTGAATGTCTTAAGGATTCAGCTGCTCCTTTGCTTCGGGCTTTGCTTCAACAAAAAATTAAAATTACATTTTTAAAAAGCATTGTTCATATGAAGTAGCATTTTGAATCCTTCAAAAATTATTTAAAGTTAAAAAGTATACATATTCTATTTGGACAGCTTTCGTGTTTCCTTACAAACGTGTATAGTTAATATTATCCCTTTTAGGGGAAATGAGAAATTGGTATGAAGGGATACTGGAGAAGTAGGGCAGCAAAAGTTCCAGGACCACAGTTGGCCCAATTACGGCGTGTCACGTTGCTTTACTCCAATTACCATCTCCTTTAAAGATCTAAATAAAACAATGAATACGAGAAATAAACATATTTCACATCCGCCCGTGTTTTTTTATTAACCTGACATTTCCTGATCAAAATATTATATTAATTATGACACGTATATTTCATTTGAAATGATGATCTATTAGAAAGATCAGAAGATTTCATTCCAGTCACATCGGAATATGTAGACATTATTTCACAAATACTTTGACGAACACATAATATGTAAAAAATTTAAAAAGTCAAAAAGGAAAACGTACAAAATCGTTGATTCGGACCCTTTGATAATTAATTTTTTTACATATTGTTTTCATCATAACTCTGGAATTAGTGAAACCTCGAGTATGGGCTTCTTTTATTTCATTTTTACCAAAGTTATGTTAAACCTTTTTCGTCGGCTACATGGGGGTTTCTCCGCTACAGTGGAGGGGGGGGGGTAATCATGAACTACATTTAGATATATTTTACCATGTGCCATGCCAATCCTTAATATACTAGATGCGAGTAGAAATAATCTTGATTTACGTCATTAAATATTCAAAATTCAGTCAAAGTGATGTCATATTTGAAATCTATTTGTAAAAGTACTTCTAGAAATACGGTTTCGAAAATTGTTTATCAACTTTGCAAATTTAATTTCTTTTGAAAATGGGACTTCTAGTTCGGGGAGACTCCCCGTAGATCCCATGTTATAAAATCACAACAAAAAGTGAGATATCTTTTCATGTATTGGGCAGATATTTTCTTTTACTGGACATATTGTAACTTGCATAACTAATAGATACATAAGGGTGATATGGAAATTGAACCACTAAACTGATAACTATTTAAGTTAAAGGGAAATCGTGCGAAGATGGAACTTTCTACTATAGCCAGGTGCTGACCTGAACGAACCACCTGGTAGTGAAACTGGTAACTACCTAGTCGCATCTGAGTTATTGACCGACGTGATTCATGATGATGTGAATACGTTCATGTATTCGGCTTTTTTCGTCATATTGTCCTCCGATTCAATATGTACAGGGTGAGCCAAAAAAAGATAACCCAAACAATTTTAATAGCTCCGTCATTCAGCATCCATGGCTTTAACGTCCCCTTTGGTACAATTAACATTGTTCAATGTTCTTTCTTTCTACCAAGTTTCAAGATGGTGGTGTTTTATTCCTGATTAGCGATGTATGATAAGCGTTATCAAAGAATATTATTGATAAAATTATAAGGTATGATCTATGCAGTCAATATTACCTAAAGTCAATATCTTATTATCTGATGATAAAGCCTTACTGACCAAAAATAACCTGTTCATTCCATCAATATTACACCATCAAGAGAATATGATGGACGGACAATTTGTTAAAATCATCTTCACCAGGTCATCCTTTGTTGAAACTCAGGATTGGTTTACCTCTACAGTTGCTTCTTTTTGATAACAACACATGAAGATGTTTTGAAATTTCATGTTTATAGCCTATATATTTCATAATTTATTAAAGATCATATCCAGGATCATATCTGACCATATAAGCATACAGTATTTCTATAATTATTTTATCACAAGCAAAGGCATTGACATGCAAAATGTCACCACCTGCCATTTATTACAGACGCCAACTGCTTCTTAACAACAGAATCATTTGCAATATATGAGGACTAGGCTGTTTTTATTCAAAATGAAAAAGTCCCCAAATTAAGAAAGTCACAAATTTTGGACTGGAAAAGTTAGGAATGCCACCTAAACATATATCTAATTATATGGGCCTTGCCTTGTCAATTTATGCTAATGTTATTTACATTATACATCAACTATACATTTTCAATATTACCAAATAGTTATTGAAAAATACACAATTTCATTCACAACTAAATAAGAGTAAAAGATGTTCATAACATAACAAGTAAATCAGAATAATAATTCAGTGATCTCCCCGGCATTAAAGCAAGTGGGCGCAGCACCCACCTGAGATTTTGAAAAAAGGCTTGCACCCACCTGAAAATTGATTTGCACCCACTTGAAAATCATAAAAAATTGGCATATTTTTGTCCAATTTCGGTCTGAATTGTGAAAATGAGAATTTTGCACCACCTGAGAAAAAATCCTGGGGAGATCACTGTAATTGAACTTAAAACCCCAAAATCAGGGTTCATACTCCATGTTGATTTTAACATGAAACAGTGTTACCTGAACACATCATTGCAGATTCATAAAATACAATGTTGTCTTAATTGAGACTAAACAATGACAAAGTCTATTGTTATCTTTGATCTATCCTTTGTAATAATAATGTCTCATAATATAATACCAGAGATTCTTGTAATGGCATTGAATAATAATGATCCACTACACACATAAATGAATGGAGGGCATAAAAGCAATTCTTTCCATCTAACATTTCTAAATGAATGCCAATGAGTATTCTTTTCCTTTCATTTTATGAAGCGTTGCCATTCTGAATTATTACACAATGCAAAATGTTTACTCTTGAATCTTGACTAGAATTTTTATTGCAAACAGCAAGCTCAACAAAGAATTTCTAATGTCTAAAATGAAAGCTTGAAAATCCCAATCAAAACAATTTTTTCTTAAATGGGTAAGGCTTGTTGAGCTTAATATTTAATGACCCATCCCTCAAACCCAATGACATTCACTCAATGTGACTAAAATCTCAGAGCAATAAATAAGCATACTCTCAAAGAGAATGGAGATCATATGATCATGTATGTCACCAGGACAAAATAATATGAACATCATAACTACAGTAAAACCTGTCAAACCGGAACACATTTGGTAACTCTAAAAAGTGTCCCGCCTGGGAGGTGTTCCACTTATGGAGGTTCATTTAACTTAGAGTTGGTTGGCCTTGGGACTCTGAAAAGTGTTCCTCAATCAGAGGTGTTCTACTTGTAGATGTGTTCAACTTTACAGGCTTCACTGTACTAACACTTCCTTCAATTTCCCCTTTTTCAGAGTGAATAACATGTGCCCTCTACATATATAAATGTGGAGTATTATTGATACACTTTCTGTTATAAGTCTCATATTATTTTCCTCTGTAGTGGCATTGCTCCGCATCGCAGGCACCATATTCTTGTAAAAGATTATTTTCATAATATCTCAATAAATAAAACAATATCATCCTATCATTGTTGTATAGTACATTAAATGTTAAGATTATTGCAGAATGTTATAATTGGCTCTTTTGTCATATAGCACAATGTCTTGAATAATGGTGATCCACTACAGACACAGTCTGTGTAGCGCCCACTATAAGTGTATCCTTGTTTTATAAAAAATTCAACTGAGCCGATAGCACTTTCAACATGAATTGGACGCCTCACAGTCTTCATCATGTCAGATTCTATGAAATTGAGCAACCACTTGCCATACCCAAGTCCTTGCCAATGGCCTTTGATAAATAGAAAACTAAGAAAATGATTATAATTTTCTTCGTTAGGGTCAGTTTGTGTTGGAAGAGCAATCGTATAACTGGCAGCTCCTATTAGTACTTTCTTTCCTGTTTCAAGTATATATTCATATGCGAAGACAACTTCACTCTCCTCAGGTGGGTTGTAAGTCTCCCCTGTAGTGTCTCTTGCCACTTGTCGGAATAAATGATTGCTCTTGTTTCCCTTTGCCTTCACAAGGCTCAACATCTTCAATCTGGAAAGAGACAAAATCGAAAGTTAAGCTCAAACTATTGTTTATGAATGATGTCTCTCACTAATCTAGTTGATGTGCCACTGTCTGCAGTGTCTGGTGTACATAATTAATTTCAACGAAAGCAACGAGATAAATAAGAAAAGGTCTTGGTAGAAAAACTTTTGAGAGAAATGTGTGACATTAACACATACTTCGAACCAAATGTGTGACATATATGGAATTCACGTGAAAAGTCAGAACGTAATGCTTTCGCTTTTTTTTTGTGTTCATTTTTTACTGTTTTGTTGATTAATAAAAATCAGATTTTTTAAACATCAACATAATGCGTGATTTGCATAACATTTTATCGGACACGCAAAATTGATGCATGGTTTCAATTTTTCCAGCAAATGTGTGACAATCACGCCTAATGTGTGAGGGCAGCTACATCATGGGCTCTATATCAGGTGGTAGAGCCGATGGCTACATCGACATTGCATCCCTGTCTATATATATGCACCCATGGGTTTATACAATATTAGTAAACCTTCACCTACCTAATTTCAGGATATTATTTTTGTTGCAACTTTGTAGGCATCATCATGTACTTGTAGATCTATACAGTTGGGGACATAAATAAATGACAGGTGGATTTGCTGAAGTGAGGATTTCCCATGTTAAAAATAAGAGAATTTACAAGAGGCCATAAATCAGTGGATGAGATTATACAAATTGTAAAATATACAAATTTTAAGGGATATGTATCTAGACAATATTGGAAATTATGGGCTTTCAGACCACCATAATTAGGAAATGGTGATCGAAAATCGACCTGTCATTTATTTTTGTCCCCAACTGGTAGACTAAGTTCTTCGCCAGCTAAAATGTCACTCGACTTTTTGGCAATTAAAAGTCCCTGCCTGCATTTAGTAGTCATATATTGTCATGTGCATAATTTTGAAACCATATCCTAATTATTTCACAAACCCTTTGTTGATTCTGCCATGGTTTCCAATTTGTAAACAGCATTTAGCCTTTTTAATTGGGAACTTTTTTGAAATTTCCAAAATGGCTGCCATGTGATTCCAGAATTAACATGAGTGTGACGTGACATCACAGTTGCTCGTTCCTAGGTAACAACAAGATCACAATTGCTCGTTTCTATATAGCAACAAGATTTTTGATAAAATGGCACAGAATTACCCTGATTAACACCCTTAAAATCCGATTTTCAAAGAATATATTTGGAGAAACAATAAAAGGTAAGTGGAATAAATTAGAAGATGGTTTCAAGTTACCACAGAAGTCAATTTGAAACTCAAAAATGCTTTCTTTGACTCATAATCACAAAAAAGTCGAGTGACATTTTAGCTGGCGAAGAACTTAGGACTTCTAGATTTCTATGGCTAGATACTAAGTCGGTACGGCGGGTGCTAGAACTGCAGATATTTATATCCAAAGTTCTCGATACATTTGTTTTTAACTCAAACATCGATCCTTTTCGAGTTGATTGGATTGGTTGCCCATTTAGAATGAAAAACAGTAAAATTGTGAAAATTAAATTTTTTTGTGAATTTTCTTTTCCGGCGGAAGTCTTTGTCTCGGCTATTTCCGTGATAGTCCGGATGATTCCGGAGGTTTGTTGTCATGGATACCCGCTGTAAATGCACAAGATTTGATGACGTCAGAGATTTATGTGTAAAATAAAATAACTCCAGTTGCAGAAAATTATTTCAAAATGAGCTCAGATATAGAGGCTCATGTGACAAAGAAGTATGAGATAAAGAAACGGCTAGGTAAAGGGGTAAGTAGAGAATACTTTTGGCCCAAATGTTTTACGATGAGCGTCAAAGTGCTGCGAAATGCACCGTTTTTCGAATGAGTAATTTCAAATCATCGGCATCGCAATATTTTTCAATTCTCAATTCGTGCCTGGAACCGACACTGTGGCTAATCAGGGGCGGGTCAGGGAATGAACAAGGGGGGGGGCCCAATAATTCCGGTCAGATAAAAAAAGTTACGAGCTTGCGCCCAAAAAAAAACCCAAAAGTGGGCCCAAATTTTGAAATTTTGAGGCCCATTTTCATCAAAATTTGGCCTAAAATAAAAAAATAAGGCCTTATAAGGCCCATTTATGACCATAAAGGCCCTTAAGCCCTTTTTTGGCCCCATTTTTTTATCTGGCCCCACCCAAGAGGGGGGGGGCAGGGCCCCAGAGGGACTCCATCAAACTTCGATATGTGGAGTTACTTTGTCGCAGGGCTACTTCAACCATCGGGTTATTTCGACCATGCCCGATTCTTCAAATTTCATGGTTAGGCCAGCTTGGATTAGATCTCGCGCATTGGAGATTTTGATTTATTTTTTAAATTTTCTAAAACCAAACATGGTAGATTGCGTAGATTTAAATAATAATCCATAGTCGAAGATGAATTAACGTAGAAGTTTGACGCAGGGCCCTTAAAGCTTGGCTAAATCTGTTTATGAACTCTGTGATAATAACTCAAACTCATTGTGGTCAGGGAACATGTATGTAACAACCCATGGGTGCCTCTGGGGAGCCAGATGCTGGCTCGAGCTATGTACATATTTCTTACCTCAATCGATTCTAGACACTAGCCTAAATGTTCTCTCAAAGCAAAAACAGTTTCAGCTGTCTCAAATTGCAGAGGTATTTAATAAATCTTTGAATCAATCAATTTTGGGAATTATTTCTGAGTACATAACGAGCGTATAGAGTGAGGTTACCTCCAGTTTATTTGTATCTGGAAACTGGATGTAATCTCATTCTGTAATGCTCGTACTGCACATGGATATATTCTCTGAAGTTGATGGTGAACATTTTGAAATACTGGGCGATTTAAAAATTGAAATATTGTCATCAAAATTTCAGGAAACCGCTAATCTGTTCAACTAGAAATTTTGTCATCAAAATTCCAGGAAAATCACTTATCAGTTCAATTTGAAATTTTTACAGAGCAACAACAGACTGGTGCCAAGATCTGATCAGGTTTTGGGTATGCAGGCTAAATTATACGGTGGTCATTTTGAATTCTTTGATGAATTGGCCATTTTGAATTTTTCAACTTGCTTCAAATTGACCAATTTTTTTTGGAAAAAATCCTTTTGAAGTTCTCAGGTTCTGACTATTAAGATTTGACCTTTGTTTGGTCTTCAGTGCCCTCCGAAAGGTAAAAACATTCTTTGGGTCAGCTTAATTACAAAAGGCCAACCGAGGTCTGAAAAAGTGACATTTTCAAGGCCAAGGTCGAACTAGGTCACCGAAGATGTTGTTATCTAAGCTTCTCATAGTAAGACACTACAAATCGATTCTCCCAGAGATTTTGAATCTACATTCACTTCCGTTACATTTGTAATTCCATTCTGAAAGTGTTTCCGAAATTGATGATGGACATTTTGAACTTGATATTACATTGACTCACTGAACTGAAGGGAATATCTCAGCAAGTTGAGATTACCAATGCTTCCATTACCAAGGGAGAAGTTAAAGACTTGCAAAACGTTGATGTCAGGTAATCGACTAAATTCTTAGAACTTCGAAGAGTGTTTTATGGTACATATCCTATAATATTCTTTCATATTTCAGGCATATGGTATAGTATGGAAGGCATTAGACAAAAGGACGGGGGAGGTGGTAGCATTGAAAAAAATATTTGATGCCTTCAGAAATCAAACAGATGCCCAGGTAAGCCCTTCTACATCAGATTATGTTCAGCATGTTATATTACTTTCATTGATTTTCTATGTACTTTACAGTTTTGTTAATAGCTGTCACATTAGTTATATATTTAACAATATATTTATTATATAACAACGTAAATTACGTACATATGTTACTTTTAAAACAGACTTTAAACCAGATCAATTCATTTTATGTGACTTGCCAAGAGGCACTAGATCACTGATTTCACAGTTTCGGTATGGAATTCTACCTTTGCATATTGAAACTGGCAGATTTGTAAATACCGATGTAAATGAGCGTTTTTGTAACATTTGTAAGTCGGGTGAAATTGAAGATGAAAAGCATTTTATTTTTGATTGTAGTGCATATAGGAAAAAAAGAAATGAGTTCTTTGAAAAATTGGAAATAGAGAGTTTGACTTTAAGTGACATTTTTAAAAGTAAAAGATACACTAAGATGTTTGGTCAGTATTTAATTGACATAATGCAGATCAGGAAAGACTTTATTTTTAAACAATAATTAGCTATTTTAAAATGTTCAAATGTGTCTCATAAGCCCAGATAGGGCTGGTTGTATGATATGATACAAGTGACACTTTAATAAAATAAATAAATAAATATTTAATTCTGTGAACATATTCTGACCTGTATATGTCATACATATACAATTGTGTAAAATAGGAAACTTCTTACGTGCAATTAGTGTGTTCACTGCCAAACATTTGTCTTTCACACTTAATTTGACTTAATGACTTAATGTCACTGTATTTTTATTTTACAAGTTGCCAAAATAGTCTTAAGTAATGATAATGATAAAAAGTACGGTATTATATACTTTCTTCAAAATTGCCAACAATTTTATTGAAAGCACCTCATCGTGTAAGACATTCAAAAGTCCCCATGGTACAATTTCTTACTATTCTTATTTTTAGAGAACATTCCGAGAGATTATGTTTCTACAAGAATTTGGCGATCACAATAACATTGTTAAACTTCACAATGTTATGAGAGCTGAAAATGACAAAGATATATACCTCGTATTTGAATTCATGGGTAAGCAATTCAAACAAAATATCATAATTATCTGCAAAATAAGACAGACTGCGCTGTCTTACTCCTGAACCTAGTCTAGCTACAAGCCCCTGTGACACCCTCCCCCTATTACACACACCTCTGTTGTTGAAGTAGATGGGGGGGGGTTTAGAGGCTTGAAGCAAGACTATTCTCAACCAGTTACCTCTTATAAGTGAGTCTGATAACAGATCTCAGAATACACTAGTTTTCCAAATCAGTTTTGTCTCAAAAACAATATACGAGGGTTGATCCAAAAGTTCTGAACCGTTTGCTCTAAAAATCTTAAAACTTTATGAATATTGTTCATATTTGGCCATTTTTATATGAACAATATTCATATTAAGATTTTTAGAGCAAACGGTTCGGAACTTTTGGATCAACCCTCATACAGTAGAATGTGTTAAATGATCGGTAACATTTTATTCTCTAGAAAAATTACACTATTGTGACATTAATATTATGTTTTTAACATTGATTTTCATATTTTTATAGACACAGATCTGCACAATGTAATAAAGCGTGGAAATATTCTAAAGGATGTACACAAACGATATATTCTGTATCAGTTGTGCAAAGCAACTAAATATCTACACTCAGGAAATGTAATACACAGGGACCAAAAAGTAAGAAAAAATCTTAACTCCCAACATTTCCATTATAATAGAATATGAAAGGATTTTTATGAAAAAAACTTTGTTTCATCAATTAATGTGATTCACAATACAAAATTATTTAATAAGTGATCTTTGCATGTTATTAAAACTATTGACCTTTAAAAAGCTAACTATTTCCAGTTAGAACCTACAACTTAGCTACTACATGTTACAATTAAAACATCCTTGGCCCAAGAGTAATTCATGAGCTGCTATGAAAGCAGTGAAGGATCGATCTTGAAGGATGCAATTAAAATCATATTCAAATATCTTATTCTAGCCATCAAATATTCTACTGGATGGTGAGTGCTTTGTGAAACTATGTGACTTTGGTCTGGCTAGATCTCTCTCCCAGCTGGACATGGAGGAAGGAGGTGATCCTAACCTCACAGAATATGTAGCCACACGCTGGTACAGGGCTCCTGAAATACTGCTGGCTTCACACAAGTATGTAGAATTTTCTTGTACAATCATTCATTACTTTCTTGCTTAGTTTTAAATAACGAAGCTCTCTTTTAAGAAGCAAAGTCAAATGAATGGAGAGTACTTTCTCACTTTACCATTGTATCTTTGTTCAATTGGCAATGGTAGTTTCTCACTTTACCATTGTATCTTTGTTCAATTGGCAATGGTAGTTTCTCACTTTACCATTGTATCTTTGTTCAATTGGCAATGGTAGTTTCTCACTTTACTATTTTATCTTTGTTCAAATGGTAGTTTCTCACTTTACCATTGTATTTTTGTACCAGGTATACCAAGGGTGTTGACATGTGGTCTGTGGGTTGTATTCTTGGTGAATTACTACTTGGAAAGCCACTATTTCCTGGTACATCAACTCTCAATCAAATAGAAAGAATCATGTCAACAGTTCCTCGACCAACAAAAGAAGGTACAGTCTTGAATTGCTGAATCAAAATGTTTTGTCTGATTCAAAAATAATGTTTGACTTGTTTGTACATCTCTTGTAGCTCATTACACATCATTTATCAATTTTGTTGATGTATCCTAGTTAATGTAATCTATGCTCAAAAGTCAATGCAATCCTAGTTTTAATAATGCAATCCTAGTTTTAATAATGCAATTCTAGTTTTATGTTACCAGGTCTATGTACACTTTATATTCCAAAATATTTAGAAATAATTCAAATTCTCAAAAAGAGTAGATTTGTTTTTAATGTGCATGTATTATGGTTATTTTTTGTTCTTCAGATATAGAGAGTATTAATTCAACTTATGGTGCTTCAGTTCTGGATAAAGCAACGCGATGGTAAGTCGATAACATATTCATTTAAAAAGTAAACCATTCTTGTGAAAGTTGTGCATTGTCCACCAAATGGATAATTCAATGATGCGTCCCTGGTGAAAAGAGATTGGTCTCAAAAGATGATCACTCCTCATACGATAAAAGTTGATGGATCAAATTATTGATGTATCCATAGCATGTAATCACATGTATCAATTTCAATATATTAATAATGAATTTACTCCAGACTTGTTAATGAAATATCTAATGATTCTTTTATAAGAAGCAATGTTTGATTCAAAATTGCAAAAAATCTTGTAGTTGTAAGTATCGATATATCATAATGAGTGGAGGTATAAACTTCATTTTAATAATGTTAAATTAAGTTGCTATGTGTAATAATGTTAAGAATACAACAATTTATTTCAGTCCACGTAAGAACTTAGAAGAGATGATTCCCGATGCACCAGATGATGCTATAGATATGTTAAAGAAACTGCTGCATTTTAATCCTGGGAAACGCATGACAGCAGATGAGGCCCTTAGACACCCTTACCTATCTAGGTACACAGCTACAGTAAAACCTTTCCAAGTGGAACACATTTAGTACCTCTAAAAAGTGTTCCACTTGGGAGCTGTTCCACTTATAGAGGTTCATTTAACATTAAGTCATTTGGCATTGGGTCTCTAAAAAGTGATCCACTTCTATAGGTGTTCCACTTGACAGGTTTCGCTGTAATTGATACTAACTTATGCACTGTTATTATACAAATAGTGACTGCCATTGAGGGCAATAGTATACAAATAGTGACTGCCATTTAGGGAAATAGTGCAAAATATTTTCCTCAAGGGTATATCCTGTCCAATGTCAGTGGACAGGATATTCCCGAGAGGAAAATTTTTACACTATTTCCCGAAAATGTGGCAGTCACTATTTGTTTTATTATATACCTGATAAGTACTCTGTAAACAAAAACAAAATGAGAAGTCTTTTCATTTCAATATCAAATGTTCACAGGTTCTTATTGGCATTTAAAGGCATTTTACCTTTCAACTCCTATAATCTCAGATTTGGGGGAAGATAAAACGTACTATTGACTGGTCACATGACCTAACTGGTGATAAGTACAATTCATCTTCCCTGAAAGCAGGGATTTAGGACTTTCCAGGGAATTAGTTCATCTATTCCATGTCATGTGACCATGAATAAGCCAATGAGCATCTAGAATACATTTGAGGTATATAATAATGTAAATTATTTCCCCGAGGGAATATCCTCTACAATGTACTATTCCCGAAGCCGCAGGCTGAGGGAATAGTACATTGTAGAGGATATTCCCAAGGGGAAATCATTTACACTATTGCTCGAAATTAGACAGTCACTATTTGTTTTATTATATACCCTATACTGACTCTTTTCCCGTTTCCTCTGCGAAGGCCAAAAAGGCTTAGAAAGCCCCCTCCCCGGGTCCATTGTTAGCACTATAAGCTGTGACGTCATCAGGTGCTCAACAGAAATTTTTGCCTCTGAGACTCTCACTTGACAAATTCAATTGCGTTTAACACGCGGAATAGTTTATCATAACACTTGAAATTACACAGACGTATTGAGCTTAGGGAACTTTATACACGTTGCTTATATTGTATCGTTCACGCACGTCTGTCATGGTGAACGGAGTTGATTTGTGTTTGTGCTCATCCTCCATTTTTCTGTTTTTCGTCTGCGCAGTGATGATGAGCAGACGTTTCCAAGGGTAATAGAACTTGCAATTGTGACGTCAGCGGGCAATAGTTCAAATGTATATTCCCGCTGACGTCACATTTGAGGGAATATAACTTTCCAAGGGAAATAGTAAATCTATTTCGGAACACGTGACTAGGTATTGACCAATCAGGATTAGTGTTACATATTGGGTATATAATAATATTATTTATTTGATGATATTTGAGATACATAGTGTTTCAAATAGAATAGGAATTCACATGACAGATTGATTACTGCTCTGTTGACAGGTTTCACAATCCAGCTGAGGAACTTGGTATAGGACGTGATGTGAAACCTCCTCTCAGCGATGACATACAACTCTCTGTTAATGAATATAGAGAAAAACTTTATGAAGTGAGTCCATTTTAACATACTTAAGAGTTGACACTATCAATTTTCATCCTTCTGAGGTTTTAGCTCAAATAAACTATATAAGAAAGTAGATACCATTTTCTGGTCCATAATCATCAATCTCTCAAAATGCATTCATTTTTTAAATATGATATCTTGCATTTTATATTTTGCATTGTTAGAAAGGATAGGTATCGATATGGTGAATTGAATTCAACAATGTTTTTCTCTTAAACCAATTATTGAAAACATTCTGTAAAAAACACAGTATTTTATGTAATGTTGACTGATTGACAACAATTTAATGTGAAAATTATTTAGAGATATTTTATATAACTGTTTTTGTTAATGTTTTTTATTTTATATAACTGTTAACCTTTTTTGTTTTTTAGTGCAATTGTTTTTGCTCCTTTCTACCAATTCTTGAAAATGAAATAAAATGTCTTTCCGGAACTTGTTGGAACAAAATAGCATATATGTTTTTAGACCTCTCAATATTATAGTTATACAAAGGAATTTTTGGTTGATTTTAAAAAAGTATTCAAAAAATTAAATCAAAATCCCCCAAAATAGATAAAAATCAAGATAAACCTTTTATTTCATTAACAAGATACTTTTTTAAAATCAACCAAAATTTCCTTTGTACAATTACAATATTGAGAGACCTAAACATGTTGTGTTTATGTCGTTTTGTTCCAATGAAAACATGATACCAAGAACAATGACAGGTGTCTGCTGTCTAAAACAATATAGATGAAAGTATATATATATTTTTCAAATTATATTGTTGCCATTCAAAAGATGACCATTAAATTGACGATGTGTTAAATTTTTAGATTTTTTTATGACTGGTTTAAGCTACAGTGTTCAAAAAGTTCACTATATCGGTACCACTCCTTTTTTAAAAATATTTATCCCCCATCTTGTTCATTACTAATGCTGCCACCTGTTATTAGCCAACGGGAGAGACAGAAATATTCAAATCTCCATCTGTAGACTAGTCCATTGTTATACATTTTAGATGATTATTATGCATCCATAGACTAGTCGATTGTTATACATTTTAGATGATTATGCATCCATAGACTAGTCGATTGTTATACATTTTAGATGATTATGCATCCGTAGACTAGTCTATTGTTATACATTTTAGATGATTATGGAAAAGAAGTTAGAGCGTCGTAGAAAAAGAAAAGAGGACCGGTTACAAAAAGTAGCAACAAATGATTCCGATAAAGAACAATCAATGCCTGCCCAAGCAGTCACTCATAATGGGCACAATGGCCAGGCATCACCAGCGTCAAAGAAAGAGCGAAGTATGAATGGTGAACAACAACAAAATGATAAACTGTTCTATGGTAAGAAAGGCTAAGGCACCGATGTCATAATCCTATATAATTAGACTATTAGATACCATGATTAATGCACATGAACAAATAGAAATGTGGGTGCCTCATAAGGTCTTAGAACTTACTGGTTAATACATGTTATTTTAAAACCAGATTAGACAACTAGAGCAGTTATACTATTTCATATACATCTTGAATAAGTTGGCCTCCATTATAACTGAATGACTGAGCCTCTAAGACTGCATCACTTACAGTATGTCACTCAACCTTGTTCATATTTATTGCCTTATTTATTTATTTATTATTGTATTTAATATTGTATACTAAATCTCTTAAATGTTGTACTTGTAGGTGTTGCATTTGGCCGTACGACCAATCAGCCACCACCTCATCATCATCAACGTCGTCCTAGCTCTGGGTTGCCACGACAACGAAGTCTTGAGAACATCAACGCAACTAATAATTTACAAAATGTAAGTTTTCCAAATCACTGCTTCAAACTCATGCTGAAACTGTAATTAAGAAACCAAGCAAGACTAAATTCAAGAGAGCTTTAATAATTATGATAATCTTCATTTTAGACCAAAGATGAACAGGTGAGTATTTAATAAGCTTTTAGTTCTTCAGAAGGAATTATTTATAATCACTAGACATATTGTTCTTTTCAACATTCCCTTGTAAATTGCATGGTGTATTTGTTTTGTCTATACTGATTCATCCATATTTTACAATGTTAATACTAGATTTCATGTAGTTTTGAGTGAATGTCTACATTAATTTAGATTTTATTTAGATCTCAATGCACTATGCCATTGTACAATCCTATTGCCCTTTGTCATTATACTGTTTTACTGTACTTCACCACTTGTCAATTCACTGTTTATTGTACTTCATTACTGTACATTGCCACCATATTTGTCTATGTGCTTTGTCAATTTACTGTGTCACTGTACTTTGCCGCTGTATGACTTTGTCAATTTACTGTGTCACTGTACTTTGCCGCTGTATGACTTTGTCAATTTACTGTGTCACTGTACTTTGCCACTGTATGATCTCACTGTACTTTGCTACTGTATGATGTCACTGTACTTTGCCACTGTACTATGTCACTGAACTTTGTCAATGTACTTTGCTACTGTACTATGTCACTGTACTTTGCTACTGTACTATGTCTCTCTACTTTGTCAATGTACTTTGCTGCTGTACTATGTCACTGTACTTTGTCAATGTACTTTGCTACTGTAATATGTCACTGTACTTTGTCAATATATTTTGCCACTGTACTATGTCACTGTACTTTGTCAATGCACTGTCTACTATTATAGTGTGTAACTAAAACTTAGACTTAGGTTTAGAATGCACTGAATAGTTTTGTATCAAATCCTTGTATATCCCCTCTTCTTAAAAACAAACTTGATAAGAAGAGACGGGATCAGCAATTTGGTATGCAAGACTATAACTAGCATGTGCACTGTGTGTTTGTTTCTTAGTTACCACCAGTGAGAAGACGTCCTCCATTTGCTACCAATGGTTACTACCCAGGAGTACCAGAGGCTAGTATCTTCTATCTAACTTATACTTTATTTCATGTAGTACACTGTAGTATCTTTTTGATATATATATAGTTCACTTATCACTTTTTTATTTACTAAACCAGTGTGCATAACTACTAATAATCAACTAATAGGAAGTCTTTTTTCATTGATTGTTTCAAATGCTTGTTGCCCAGATACAGTGTTTCTTTGCATGCTCCATTCCTCTCAGTGTGCATATAATGATGCCAGAAATGATAACTGAGAAAATACTCCTTTTTTCATGAAACATGATCAGCTGTTTGATAGTATCCCTTTCGAGAGCTGATTAACCTTTGTATGTCCTTCTTCAATTTCAAGGCAGCCATTTTGAATTTTTGATATTTCCTGTCTCTGGATTCAAGGAAAACCAAGTATAAATTATTTTTGTTATTCCTTCAGATATTTGACTGTTAATTTTGGCTTTAATCTACTCTGTCTAACACTCTTGATAGTGTACTCTGAGATTAACATACTTGATCAATTTTACTTAAATAACCAGTCATAGTTTTCATCACATTTAAAACCATATTTTGATTCATTTCACTATTTAGGGTTCCCCTAGTAGTAATAGTGCCCGTCAGCGTCGCCAGGCATCTGCACCCATAGCAGGACGTCATGCCAGGACCTCTTCCTCGTCTGGGTTTGCAAAGCAGGCCAGCAATCCTGTCATCACACGTGATGTGAATAAAGGCTCTCTAGAAGTATCCAGCTCAAGAATCGTAAGTACACATGTACTTTATACAATATTTAGAATTCAATTTATTCAGAATTAAAGTTTCCAGAAAGGGCCTGGTATTTGGATTTTTATTCAGCTTTTGATGCTACATCTCAAAACATGTTTGATTGTTTAATTTCATTTTAAATAAACTTGTGTTTTCAGGTCCCAGGGCAAAGACCTGGATCTGCTAGCAAAGTCGAACGCAAACCAGCCTATGGTAAAAAACAGTTTGACAATACGCGTAATAATCCATCCTCTGGAGCTGCTAAACAGTCACTGGGTAGTTACAGCCAAGCATACGGCACTGTGTCTTCAAACAAACTCAATCAACTTGTCGGTTCTACAAGCTCGTCACGCTGGAAGTAGGAGTGAAAAAAGTTCTGAAGTCTTATAGGATGTAGAACAAAGAAACTGTTATGCATCTATCATTCTATGGACAATATGCATTCCAGATATTTTTGGAAGAAATGCATTGTAGAATTTATATGCAAACAGAGATGTGGTGCAAACATTGCATCAATGAATTAAACACACTCTTGATGATTCAATGCATTTCTAAGGTAATGCAATGCAATTCAATGATGTCAATGCATTTTAAGAGGTTAATGCATTGAATGTATTTCACTGGTATGAGACATTCCAACATGGGACCGTATGACAGAGTTGATCCACTGTTATGAGGTATTTAGTATGAGAAATATTATGATATGGAATTTAGATTGCTTTTATAGGTGAAAACATGTACATGTATGTATGGGGAGTATTAAGATTCAAGTGTATATTTGCAACATTCCATGTAGTCTTGGAAGAGGACATTTTCCCAGGTGCCTAAGTTTTTCTCATTGATGTTGATATCTTATGGGAAGGTATATACATGTTTGTTAGATGACTTTATATGGCACAAGATAAGCAGTTTATATTTTAGGAACATGTTATACAGGGAGAGCCAAAAAGTTTTTCAGTGGTCTGGTACCTTATCTAAACATTGCTTGTATTATTTGATAGTATATTGTGTAAAACAATTAAGGGAAAAACTGTAATATTCAATTGTTTGATCAATTAGAAAATGGCATTAGTTTTTCTGAAATACGAACCTTCTTTGAGAAGAAGATTCGTGCCATAAATCAATCTCCAAAAGGGGCATTATTTAAGAATATTGTTAATATTTTTTCAGCATTCGTACACTTATGAATTGAGAAGCAAGGGGCAAAATCTAGCCTATTGTTGAAATAAAAGCAATTAACAAAAATCAGTTTTTACACAATATGCCTTCTCTCATTTTGTATGTCTTTTTGGATTTTATATGTTGCAATGATTCTATAGAGTATGAGCCCCTCAAAAATGGACATATTTAGCCCCACCCTGTATGACATATATCGGCCAGTAGTTATTTGTATACAAATACATGTAGGCCATTCTGGTATTAGTCATTGTTTTAGTATTTCAGAATGTGCCATGATATGGCAGTCTAATATTAATGAGAGTCTTCTACTGATCTCTTGATCCTACGTGACCTTATATAGTTTGTTATTTAACTTTTTGAATATTTAAATATTGACATAATTATCTAACTTTCATCATAGAAATGTACATTTTGGGATCAGGTCAGAGCAGATTGTAAGTCAGATTTTAAAGGAATTCTTAGAAAATCTAAAGGTTAAATAATGAGCATTGTAAAGCCATGTAGGAACTGAAGAGTCATGAACAGATTTTTTACATCATGTTATGGTGAAAATATCATAGTCTAAGGAATTACCGTCCATCCTTTTTAAAAATATGATATGATTATTATATTATTAATATTTATTCAGATTTATCAAATGTTAAAATATGAATGATGTTCATCATTTTATTATTATAAAATATCATTATCAACTTTAAACTTATTATGATACTAGTATCTAGTAATTTATAAAGATGACACGTCTGTACATTTTACAGTGATATTTAATGTGTGTCATACTATTTAAATCACTTTGGGACATAATTGTAGTATAGTTGTTCACTCTGTTCATTATATTTAATCACAATTTGTCTTTTTGGAAAGACTTCACGCTCATGCCACTGTATCTATAGTATATATAGAACAATATATATTTAATGATGGATATTCTGTCTGTCCGTCCACTTTAAACAAAATAATCCACTGTCAATGTAGCTAGTTCTCACTTCACAATAATTTTTAGTGAACATCAAAAATGTCTATGATCGAATTTTTAAGAGAGGTATTCTACAAAGCCTACCAAAACAGTGAAAGACAAAGATATTAGTTATAATACCAATGCTGTTAGTACTAATACTAATGTAGTAAGGTTTTAGTGATATATTTAGTATGGTCATACTAATATATGTAGTAAGGTTTTAGTAATATATTTAGTATGGTCATACTAATTTATGTAGTCAGTTGTTCAAACTTATCAAAAAATGATTGTTTCAGTGTAAACATCTTGTACGATTTTCTATATTCAACATTTTGCAGTACCCATGATCTTATTTTATACAAAGATGTGATCTTATATACTTAGTATTTCAATGTATAGTTCGAGCCATTTGATAGGGTACTTTGTTTACATGTTACCAAGCAATGACAATTTAAAGATTTATCTATACATACAATTCGATATTTGTACCATATTCAGATACACAGATGCACATGCCATGTAATTGATGATATTACACTTTTGAGTGCACTAGAATAACCTATAAAACTGAACGATCAAAGGACCATCTAAGTTGTTTACTTAGAGAAGTGTTCACATTTAGAGGTGTTTACAAACACATGTTTAACTGTACTGTACAATTATGTGTTTATGAATAAGGCCATGATAAATAATGTTTTTATCTCCATGTTTCAGGTCGCCAGCCACATTTCACATGTTTTCCAGGCAGTATTTTTCTTGAAAATGGTTTCGCTCTTTTATGTCTGGAAATTATCCTTAAAATAGCAAAGCCTGTAGTACCCTAGCTGTGATAGTTTTCTATTAGGCCTATCCATGGGTACATTATTGTTCTGTTGTTTTTTAATTGTTGATATTTATGTCATCCTCTGGGTGAGCAGAAACACATCACTTATTATTCCATGTTTGTTACTTGAAAGCATTGCCTTAGTTCAATCGGTATACAATATAATGCCTGTTTTTAGTTTCTTTAAGAACAGCCATCATGGAGTTAACATACTGTATATGTAGGATGTCAATAAAGTCTTTTTTCAATTCCAAAGCAAAGTCTTTAAAGTGGAAAGAGACTTTATGGATAAGTCTTTGAAATCAAGATAGGATATGACCTTATTCAGTCAGCACTATAATATGTGTATGTGCGTTTCACATCACTTCATCACTGACTGTCTCTGAAGCACAACTTTCAATTCATACATTTATCTTTATTATGTAGTATTTAGATTTTAAGTCCATAGTTTTAGTCAAATTATGTTATTTCAAATTTTCCCAATTGGTTTTAGAATGCTTATATAGATTACATAATTGTACATATTAAATATTTACAGTGAGTTGATATATGCAAAGATTTTACATGTTGACTGAGAATGTGGATGTGAAAGTGAAATAAATACAAAATGGATGGAAATCAGAAAAATATTTTAGTGTATTGTATATTTATTTACTCATCTTCGTTTACTCGGCTCCCGTTGCAGTGAAAACAGAGCTTGTTAAGATAGTATTTGCTATCATAAGAAGTGTTTTAAGTGTATTTAATCACACAAATATAATATTTTTATGAATTTTGGAAAACAGAACTTGGTAAGTTTGAAGAAAAATTCTGTGGTATGTAGTATTGTTTAGTGCTATGTAGTTTTCTGACAGTATTGTTTGGAAAGTAGACACAAAATAAGTGCAGCATTAACAATTGTGTTGATAGGATTTACATTAGAAGTTGATTCATATATCCACGGGTATATCCAGTAGTATATCACATATATGAACAATACTTGAAGAATTGTAAAGAGAGTTTGAACACAAAGGTGGACTCATATTTTTTAGGCCACTCTGGAAATCGTTTTCTTTAAAAGTCTAATATTGAAGATTTTTTACCAAAATGTATGTTATTCCAAAGGAGTCATTGGCCGAAAGTATAACCAACCTTCTCAAATCCTTAAATGAGATTAACATATTAGAATAGACCTTCCAACAAACCCTGCCACCTTTTGATTATCAAAGAAACAATGATATATTGGCTAGATTGATGATGCCATCGGTTGTAGCCAATTTGTACGTAGTGGTCTGTCCAAAAAAGGATTAAGTTATTGCTAATTTGGAAAAAGTACAACACATGACAACAATAATCTTGCCGATATATCATAGTTTATTAGATGATGTACTGAAAGGTGGCAGGGCCTATTGGAAAGGTCTATTCAGCAGCATTACAAAAGAAAGTCTGCAACTAGCAGTAGCACATTATGGTACACGTGAGGGTATATGTAAGCGATGTTATTGATTTATTCAGGCAGGGTTTACCCAATGAGGCTTCAGTATTCCTGAAAAGAAATAATTATATGGTAAGCCTATTGATATTATCCTTTGTGAAGTAATGAATTCAATAATAGGAGATCAATTTATAAGCCTTGAAGTGTGTTCTGCAATGTGGATATCCGAGTACCCATATACAGTAAACACTGGCAATTGTTACTTGTATAGCCACTATAGCCAAGCGTGAAACAGCTAAAAAATAGATAAAAACTGCTAATAAAGCCTACCAATCAAGTATTCACGGTTACTATTGATTAAGCGAGGTGAACTATTAGGACGTAAGCAAACTGTCGATAATAAGAGATGTTATAAAACTGTATATTTTTAAGCTCAGAGAAGGAAGTAATTGTAAAAGAACCATACAAGTTTATGTAAATGGATTTGACTTGAAAACAAATTAGAAGATGTCAAGTTTGGATGCTAGTAAAAGCATGGAGGCCACTAAGCCATCATGTCTTCAGAGACTAAGTGGGGCCATAATAGGAGGAATGGAGAACATCTTTTACAAGTAAATATACTGTTCAATAACAATTAGGCAAAGATATTAGTGCATATTAGTGTTGTAAGAAAATCAGAGAAATGTTCTTAGCACTAGAAATCATTAGATATTAGTGTACATGTAAATGAATAACTATTTTTATTTGTGTTCATTGAATTTTTAAATAAATCAATCTGTTGTCTAATTGATAAAAAGTAAAATTTAAGAAAAGGGAAAAAAATTGTAAAGGTAATGTCTCTGTGTAGATTTGTTGATTAAATATTAATGATTGTTATTATGAAACTGGGTTAAGGTAGTTCTGCATTGCATAAGCATTTTATGTAATTTTCATAATTGCCTTAAGTCAAGACTAGATCATGATCTAAAATACCAGCATCGAACGCTATATATTAAAGCTCTAAATCATTTACATGTACTCAGTCATGCTATTCAGCTATCAACTTTCATATAAATAGCACATATAACTAATATGTTACCTGTCAACTCTGAAATCCCATACAGTGATTTTCTAATCCATTCTATATCCCACTAGATGATTCCTCATAATGTGTCGATTAATCCTTTCACACATGCAATATTTCAGACTAGGACTTAAGATAGGTCATTACCCTGTGCCAACTCTTCTAATCTGTATGCTCGTCACATTGCTGTGTGGGGTAGGAATGATCAAATTCTACCAAGAAAGTGCCCAGGAGAATCTCTGGGTCCCTATTGGCTCCGAAGCACTTGTGCACAAAGCTTGGGTAGATGAGCGCTTCCCGTCAAAGTTCAGATTTGAGTCAGCGTTGATTGAACATAGCAATGTTCTCACCCCAGCAGTATTACAGGGGGTGAGTACAATTTTAAATATTATAATAATATCATTTTTTTACTTATTTTTATTAATTGTTTTATTTACATTATTATATTTCATGTTATTTTCTGTATTAATTTATCACTGCATGGTATGTTATGAACATTAATTGCATGGTTATAATGTTCAAATTATGGAAGT